AAAAATTCGAAAACATATCTATGCTCACTATATTAGCTTTAAAATACAAGATACAATACGGATATGTGTACGTAATGGTAAGCTAGGTACATACAGTTTACATCGTCCATTAATTTCAAACCCATACAAACATACGTTCCCATAAACACCCCGCCCACGTTCTATCGTACTATTTCGTCACACACGAGCACGGATCATTTCCTATACGAATTATGGTTTCTTGTATGTTGACCCCATTTTTATATTTTATCGTCCCTTGGATGTAGGGCTGTCAGCTGCTACTATTAATTATTTCTAATCTTATTAATATTTTTTTTTATTATTAAATAAAAGTACATAAACATAACAGAGGGAGATTTTTTACAAAAGTCGTTTGCTTGGGTACCTTTGTCCAATTCGTGTTTCAACCGTAAAGCAGTTGTGTTTGCATAACTGTGTTTCGGTTTGAAGGGTCGAATATGGCGTAAATTGACAGGGTACAGAGGAATAACACCTGAGTCCTCAGGAATGGCAACAAATGGGTGGTATCATGGGCGAAACAGTATACTCTGTTATGTCCATGATACTGCTCATGTTTATAGGCGACGGTTACCACTTTCCATCAGGTGGGCCGTCAGCTTGTTTGCCATTCTAAGTTGTGTAAAAAAAAAATTAAGCATATAGGAAACTTTATGCGGTAAATTTACGTGAACAGAGCGGTCGGGTAAGAATATAAATTTTTCATCGTAAAATTACCTATTATTGGAAGGAATGACGCCATTAACTAAGTAATACAAGCACAAATTGAAAAAGACTTGAGATGACGCATCGAGTGACGTAAGCCGATGACGTCGCCGGTAATAGAATACTGTGTTCGCGGAATAATGGTAATAATTCCTATTACTGTGAGTAATCATGAGCAATAATTTGTGAAACTTTAATAAATTAATAAATGAATATGCTTTATTTAATTTATACAATATAGAGAATAAGCAAGACTTATGCGACTCGCGAGCTACATGCGGCTCTTTGGATGTTAAACTTCGAGTCTTTAGTTCCATACGTAAATATGATTTATTTTATAAAAAAAAATACCAAATCCTTCTGAATCGATTAACAAAGATTAGGCACCAAACTTTATTTATGCAAGTACTATTTATTGTTAACAAGATAAGTTTTTGTGGCTCTTTAAAAAATTTGTAAATTGTAATTTTTTACTCTTCAGACTCAAAAGGTCGCCGACCCCTGATCTAGGCATTTTATGATGTTCCAAATGTGTATTTCCCGTATTCCTGTATTTCCCGCGACATATACATATATGTGTTAGACATACATATATGTATATGTCGCGTACATATATCGTCATAGTCGTAGAATACTGACGAATCTGACAAAGATTACATATAAAGATCCGTCAGTATTCTACGACTATGACGATATGTGTATGACAATTATACGACAAAATTAGGTGTGTATACAACATGTATGTATGTTATATACACACCTAATTTTGTCGTATAATTGTCAAATGGACAAATGTGCACTCGTTAATGTTGGACGCCGCCCAAAAACCTAGTGACCCAATTTCAAAAGAAACGGAGACAATATAAACCAACACCCACAGAAGGGCTTTGACCCCGGCAATAGGTATGCTGGATTAGTATGCTCAATAATTCATTACCAAAATACTACCGATTTTTTTTTATCTCTCTTTAGGTATAATTTATATTCGATTTTTATTCCATAAAACTTCATGTGTGCAACTAAACAAAAAAATATGTTAATAAACGAGTTATACGGATTCAAAGTAAATCGACCCGTATTAAGACCCGATTTAAAGGGTACAGAGGAATAACACCTGAGTCCTCAGGAATGGCAACGCATGGGGGGTATGATGGGCGAAACAGTATACTCTGTTATGTCCATGGTACTGCTCATGTCTATAGGCGACGGTTACCACTTTCCATCAGGTGGGCCGTTATCTTGTGTGCTATCCTAAGTTATATAAAAAAAAGAAAAATCTAGATATATCACAAGTTCTTCTCCTCCTAAAAATCTATTTTAACTATTCAAGTGAATCTCTTTCTTTCAAATTGGGAATTTAATGCAAAAGGAAGAGAAAAAATACCTCAATTATAAAATAGTTTTATGAAACGTTTGACATTTTCATAAATAAGGGGTACATAAGTTTTATTTAAATGCAATATTTTAGAACAATTACAATAGTCTTGAACAAGAATTGGCAGGAAAAATTATCTCATTGCACGAATTAAAACAAACACACGAAGCGAATACGCGAATGTCTTCTATGTTTTTAACTTCAATTCGTTTCAATTTTAGAACTGACACATGCTCACGTTTACATTACACATACTATATGTATATTGCACACTAGTGTAGATGATTGTATTTTAGTGCCGCCTCTGTCGTTGCATTTCGTTTCGTTATTTTTATTTCTCTCAATAAGCCAACGACTATTCTCATAATACATTTTATTTCAAAAATAGTCACAATTTGTCCCTAGTGAAACACTTTTAATATATAATAAAAACTTCAATTCAATCTTTATATTTGTAATTTGACTTGTAGTTATACTTGTAATGGAACCAAAAAAAATGTTGAATAATTCATATAAAATAATTTGGACAGTTAAAGGCTGATCATGATGATAAATTAGTATTCATTTCTTCCTATCACCCATTAGTTTTGTAAGACTACACCCACACACTCGAAGCATCATTAAAACACCCACTCACACGAATGGCATTGCTGACTTCCACGTTTAACACCTTATCGGGTTAAGGTCGTGTGCCTTTGATGGGTTTAATGTGATCAGATGTGTTTACTTTTTTTTAAGACGTTGATCCAAATACATAACTAGTCAGAGAGACTCTAAATCTATAGTCGTTTTGACCCATGTTTCAATGTGTTAGTGTTTACTAATTGTGCATTGTGGGGGGAAAGGGATTGTTAGTAATGGAGACTAAGAATCCCATTGCTAGCAATATACCCAACCAGGTCGACCTCCTCGCGGTTCCCCCCGGATACTATATTAGTTAATTCCTGATGAATTCATCATGATAGGCTAACTGGCCTGTTTTCATTCTCATCTATCACCCTCCACTGGTGCTTCGCCAGCGTATCCCGTTAGCGCAGGCGGGGTTACCATTCCATTTTCACCCATAAAAAAAATGTGCATTGTTGTTATCAATTCAAAAACATCGTAGTTAAGTTTTGGTAGTTTTATCACAGGGCCAACTGACCTAACTTCATTCTTATCGGGGAGAAAGATTTTTTTTAATGGATGATAATGGAATGGTAGCACAGGCGAGGTTACCATTTCATTCTCACCCATTAAAAAAAACTTCATCCTTATCTATTATTTCCTACTGTACTCCGCCAGTATTGCGAATTTGTCATTTTATATTCATTAATTAAAAAAATATATTGGCTAATGTATGCTTAAGTGAGAAAAATATAAGTAGGCGTTAAATTCGTATATGTTTGACTTAACTACTTGATTTCGCAACTGTACCTATTTTAGCGTGCTTGTTAATTTAAAGTAGGCGGAAAATCGCCTACTTACTCCCCGACTAAATTACGCAAAACTTTCTAAACAAAATATTAATTTAAATGTTTATTTAAACAGTACCTAATAACAAATAATTCAATGGCTTTGTAAAATAAAGTATTAAAATCCTATCCAAACATTTACTAGTATCTTGTCACTTGTCAATTTATTTCTTACCTGAAAAATAAAAAAAAAATTATATCTCTCAAAGTTTGTTTAGATATAAATATGTTTTATATATAAATATTTTTACATCAATATAAAAAAAAAAAAAACCTCTATTCAAAATAACAATATGGCCGTGATTTACCTACAATAATATTTAATGGCGTTCTAACGAAGTCGATGGCATATGTATCTAGTAAAATAAATATATTTCTCAATACGAATAGGAGGATATAAAAGGAATCAGCATAAATTATGTCATAAGCATATTAAATCAAAGAGACGTAATCTGTAAAGTATGCATTTTATACAATTAGTAGCTTGTGCAATCCGTGCGTGTGATTTATGAAGCGTGACTGTTGGTGATTGCTATTCATATTTGTGATTGCAAGATATTCGTATGAACTGTTCGTGACGACACTTCGTGTATCTACCATAGGCGATGCCGCAAAATGCCGCAACTTCTAAAATCACAAACACCAGTCGGTAGAAAACACGTATGACATCATGAATGATTATGATGGAAAAGAAAGAAAACAAAATAATAATAAAATTTAATTTTAAAGTGCTGTCTTCGCGCGTCGTGCTCTGCTACCAAAATAGATTACCTACACAGAGATCATATGTATCTAGATACGTTTAGATGAAACGTTGTGTATTAAAAAACGCCCCAAATATAAGTCGGCTAACTATTAACAGATGCTTTAAATGTTTTACTACATCATAATTATAGTTATGTACTTATTTCTTGTGATATTGTTTTGTGGCCAGTAAATATTTTCTATTATATTTTATATGTTTAGGAATATGTATAATATTTTAGTTCATATATATTTCACATTCATTCACACAAAAACAAGCTAGTCTGTGTTCTGTGAAACCAAACAAAGATTATGAGATGAGATATAAAAAGTCGTCTGCATCGCTAGCGTGGATACTTCTGTCCTATCCGTATTTCTGACATGAAAATGCCAGGTGTGCTTGCTGTATTTCCATTTAGAGAGTATGATATGGCAGTGAAATTACAGGGTTTGGAGGTATAAATGGCAACGTATAAACTGTATCATAGGTATCGCAATATATTCTACGATATCTATGGTATTGTTTATGTCTTTTCGTGACGGTTACCACTTTTCATCAGGTAGTCGATAGCTTATATTCCATTGGAAGTATCATAAAGTAAAAGCGTTTTTAGAAATACGGTCTATCTAGATTCTATTAATCTAAGCTTACATATTTACATCTTTTGATTTGATATCACTCACGCGCATTTTTCTTGTTGCAGATCTTCGGAATTGTGATCATAGCTGCAGCATGCGTGGACATGGGCATGATCAAGGGCTTCGCTGGCATGGAGCCGACAGGCCACGAGACGGACGCTGTCCTCATAGCTATTGGCGTGCTTATCATCGTGATAGCCGCCTTTGGATGTTTCGGCGCGTGGAAGGAGAGCCCTAAGTTGCTGTATATAGTAAGTAGTTTTGAACTCAACAGGAGCCCTTATTCATGAGCACTAGTGCTGGTCGCGTTACAGCCGTGTAAAGCGAAACTTGTTGGGTATCCCCAAATTTAAAACGTAAGTAAAGGTGACATAAATAATTACAGTGATGATCATCGTCATCATCTCAGCCATTATCTGTCTACTGGTGAACATAGGCCTTCCCCATAGACTGTCATAAGGAACGGTCCTAAGCCACCTGCATCCACTGACTCCCTGCAATGCATTTGAGGTCGTCACTCCATGAAGTAAGAAATCGTCAGCGAAACCGGAGTCGTAGTCGAATTAGAATGATAATATTTATTATTTTTTCTGTCTCCTAGTTTGCGGGTTGCCTCATCATCATCATACTTCTCGAGCTATCTGTTGGCATAGCGGCCGCCGCCCTACGTCCCCAGATCGAAGGCACATTGAAAACTCAGCTCCGGGCGTCCTTTATCAAGAACAAATCGACCAGGGAGGAAGACTCCACTTACAGGGATTTCTGGGATCGCATTCAAACTAATGTAAGATATTTAGTTTATTTAAAGCAATGCGTTGTAGCCACTTTCATTATTGTTAAAGTCATTAATGGAAAATCTCATGGTCAAAATCTTCTTCTCAGTCGATTCCTCAAGGCTGACCAAGTTTGCAACTACCAGGAATGTTTCTACCAACGAATACTCTCCAGGTTTCCCTTTATTAGTTCATATGGATCGCTGACTGAATATACAACGTGGTAGCGGTTCTAAATATCATTCTATCCAGTTGGTGCCCTGCTTCTACTCTTTCTACTTTCCACGCACCCCACCATCAAATAGATACAATTGAATTTACAATATAAAATATTAAAAAATTAATACAATAGGCTAATGACTCCACCTTTGAATGTCTGAATAAAATTGTAACTTCATAATTTTTTTTTATAATTGAATTGGTAAACAAACTTTCGTTTCGCCTAATGGAAAGTGGCTATATATATCGTCCTTGAGCATTTATAACACGAGGAATATTAATTATCAAGGCATTATTGGCATAATTAAAAAAAAGTAGGCATGCATGCGAGCATTTCTTTATTTTTGTTAATAATACTTCTTTACTCTGCCCGTACGGTACTGGCCTTTCAGAAATTCGTAAACATGTTTTTAAGAGCCTAATATTGCTGTGAAAAAAGAAAACCTCAGAGGGAAGTCCATTCCACAACCCACATGTGTATTGAAGAACAACCGTGATACACGCACAATGGTCGTGAGCCACGCACCTAAAAAATTTGAATAAGCTCCAATTTTATGACATGAGGTGTGCTGGTAAAAAGTAATCATAGTGGTACAATTCATTAGAAGACTTTCCTCATGAAATATCAATCATATAATGAAAATACAAATAATAAAATATAATCAAGGAAAAATAGATAGAGCCAAGTTCTCTCTGCAAGTTCAGGGTTTGATTTTTAAATCTAAACTGTGATCCTTCAGATCAGAAACTCTTAACGACTATTGCCGTTGTTGGGAATATAAAACTAGATATTGCCTGATTTTACTCAGCATGGCAACCTATCAAATCTAATACAAGGGTGAACCTACTACCGTCACTCGAATTAATTGACTTACTGTCAAACTTAAAGTCGAAACGTGAATCAGTAATTTAAATTCTTTTTATGCAAATTTAGAATAGCAAACAAGCTGACGGCCCATTTGATGTAAAGTGATAACCGTCGCCTACAGACATGAGCAGTACCATGGAAATAACAAAGTATACTGTTTCACCTAGCGTTGCCAATTTAAATTGACACACAATGCTTTTGATGTTGACTAGATTCGAAGCCACGATCTATGCAGTCTATAAGTCGATGTGGTAGATCCTTTGGTCTACTGCCACAACGTTCTAAATTTCTTTTTGATTTCTGTTAATAAATATACCTTACAGCTTGAATGCTGCGGTATCACCGGCCCGGACAACTACGGCGCCTCAGAGCCTCGTCTCAACCCTTCGTTCAGCTGTTGCCCCCCTGATGACTCAAACCGCGACGACCAGATCAAGCGCTCCGACTGTCTCTCCCTTGGCAAATACTACAAGGAAGGGTGTGAAGACAAGGTGCTGAGTACCGTACACAGTGCAGGCATGACGGTCATCGTTTGCGGAATCCTCTTCTGTTTCTTAGAGGTATGATATTAGGAATTTACCAAGTTTTAGTCCTAGCTGAAAACACACTGTACACGAATCACAATTGGCTTTGATTTTTATAATCCATTGATGTAAATGTACTAATTAATCTGTTAATATTACGCATTCAGCCTTTAGCGAGAGAAGTCTATTGAAGTTATGCAAGTATGCAAACCAATAATTGTATAAAAAAAAAAAAAAAAAAAACCAAATCCTCTCGTGATATCATGTTAGATGGGCTTAAATCAAAATGGGCTTAAATCTCCAAATATTAAATAGTAGATCAATCATGGTCTATAAGCATAAAAACCATTTATATGTAATAATGAACAATTTTGCAGTTTTGAGTACATTTTTATGCAACTTGGAATGGCAAATAAGCTGATGGAAAGTGATAACTGTAGCCCATAGGCAAGAATAGTATCATGGTTACTACAGATTACACTGTGCCGTACAGAGTATCTTAGTACACTTTACTCGATGCCGTTTATTTATTTATTTATAATTTCATTGACCACTTATTGTACTTAGTACAAAACGAAAATAGTGAAGCCCATTTATTTATTTAAATAACTTTAAAGTTACCTTTGGTACCATATTTTTTTTGGTTATTAATAACCAAAAAAAAAAATATGGTACCAAAGGCAGACTTAATGCTAGTAGCAATCTGTACCAGTCAATCTTTGGGATGGGTTCTTTGGGAACAGTGAATCACGAACGCGGTACTACATTATTGGGATAGGTAAAGAAAATAACAGTTAATTATTTATTGTGTATAAGTATACATTATACCTTTACTTTGTATATATGTCAACATATTTATTATTTCTTAATAGAAACATTTCCTCCTATTATTGTACGCATACTGCCCGCTCCTTTTCACTCAGGATTTACTGGAAGAGAACTCTTACAGAGTTAAACTCGCCTGTTATACATCTTTATTTAATATATATTACATGTTTGTAATTTTTTATGTACAATAAAGAATAAATAAATTAAAAAAAATTATGATTATAATAAACATACATAGATGAAAAGAAACATATATTACAAGTAGATAAATATATAAATTTTAAATAATACCATTCCTTAAAACTAAAGTAAAACCTAGTAATTTCAATACCTTTCAGACCAAAACACAATTTTACACACTGCTGTTATACTAAACTGAACCGCAAGGTTTCTTTCTAGTTCTAAAAATAACGTAATTACTGTTTCTTTAGTTTTATGACCTAAATATTCAGTTATTTGGTCATTATGGGCTTTCCGATGAAATCAGCCGAGCCGCGCCGTAATTCAGGGCTCTCACATAAAGCACGCTTTCATGTCGTAACACCATTTGCTTGGCGGAATCTAATTTTACTTACTATTAAAACTCGTTTTGTAGAATATTATTAACATGTAACCAAAAAAAAAATATAAATAATTTACCTCTATACACAAATAATAGTTGAATTGTTTGAAATTCGAACAACTTTTTACATCGTCATCTTTCTTTCAGCCAGCTAGCCAGCTGTATTTAATCTACCAGTGTATTGTACTAAAATGTTTAGCTGTATCTTATGTTGGTAATCCTATAAATAAATAAATAAACCTATGCTCAGCTATGAGCATGAGTCTTTCCTTGTAGTAACATTCTTTATATTACCAAAAAAAGACTACAAAAATGCTTTCTCTGCCCCACACTTGTTTATGTTGCCAATCAGCTAAGCTTGTATTAGTTGAATGCTGAGTTTTCGTTATAATGGTAAAATATGGCATTGAAATTATATAGTACGGGAACATAACAATTTAGTCTTCAGAAGTAACAATACTTAAGGCGTATCAGGATATCACGATATTATATCTAGCCCAAAGTTGATTTTGTCCAGTAATTTAATAGCTATAGCCAACAATTTGCTTGACTTGAGATTATTTCAATCTCAAAGAGAAATAAAAAATAAACACAGAAAAACTGCGGAATATTTTTTTTTAATTGCTTATAACAGTGTCTCTATAACTGACTTATAGATAAAAATGGAAATAATATATTATATGTATAGAAATGATAACAAATGGTAATGAAGATCGGACGCAGCACGCCACAATACAATCTTTTAGTAAATCTGACCCAAACACGAGGGCTAGGTCAGATTTTAACAAGTCAAATAGCTTTTCACGCGGCCTATTTTATTATAGGAGTCAATTGGTGGGCAATGGTTGGAAACGAAGGTCGTGGTGTGAAAATTTATTACTTAATCACTGATATTATCAGAAATCTAGTTATGCGATAAACAATATCTTGTAAAAAATTAATTTAGGAAGTTGAATAGGTCGAGCGAAATACTTTTTAATAATTAACAATTAATTTTATTACATCATTACGTCATTACGTTACAAAAGTTATTCATTGTTATAAGAACAGAAGAAACATCGCTTGTGTTCTGCTATTTTTGTTAATGTTCTAAATTTATTTAACAAATTTTTTAAAGTCGTCTAGAATGACTCAGCCAGAGTATGAGTAGGGTCGATATTTTATGTCTGGAATCTAAAACGAAATTTACCTATTTGAGTACATTTGACGAATGTTTGGAATTCTAAACAAGATTTGACCTGAACACTGAGTATATTCGATAAATTTTATAAATTGTAGACAAAATTTTGTAAAAGTTGAGTAGGACTAAAAAAACTAAAAGTTTTTTTAACAAATAACATTAGGAATAATATCTACTTATTTAAACTTATTAATCCTTAATACGCTATACAATCTTAATATGCCAAATAAATTATTTTATTCAAAAATTTTTTTACACAACTTAGAATAGCAAACAAGCTGACAGCCCACCAAATGGAAAGTGGTAAACGTCGCCTATAAACATGAGCAGTATCATGGACATAACAGAGTATACTGTTTCGCCCATGACACCCTCCATGCGTTGCCAACGCGAAGGTTCCTGAGGACTTAGATGTTATTCTTCTGTACCCTGTAAATTCACGCTATATCCCACCCTTCAAACCGAAACACAGCTATGCAAACACAACTGCTTTACGGTTGAAACACGAATGGGACAGAGGTACCCAAGCAAACGACTTTTGTACAAAGTCTCCCTCTGGTAAATTAAGTCAAAGAAATTTAGTTATACATCTTGTTTTTAGTCAACAAACGTCAGTTGCAAAATGTTCATAGATAATATTTTTTTTCAGGTGGCGGGAATAGTGCTCGCGTTATGGCTGGCGCACGCCATAAAAACGCAGGGGAAAAGCCGAGAGACAGCTTAAACTAAGTCACAGTAGATTATTGAAGCATCTTTGTTAAAATTCACATTCTACAATGCACATATTTGTAAGGTAGACCTGTTAGAATTAATTGATAATTTATTTTTATGATACAAGTAATGATGATACAAGTTGCCTTATTGTCAATATCATTAGTGTATTTTTATTATTTGTAATATTGAAAACAACTTCTCATATAATAATTAAAAAAAATCTTTCCAACTCTAAGATTGTATGTGCTAGATACTTTTGCCTTGTGTTCAATTAATTGAAGTTAAAAAAAAATTACGAGAAAACATAAAATACTTTTGCCATTTTTTATACATACATACATACATACATATCTGTCACGCCTGTTTCCCATTAGGGTAGGCAGAAACAATAGAACGCCAAATGCTTCGATTCAAACAAACCTCTTTCGCTTTTTCCACATTCATCAATCTTGTCATACACGCTCGCCGGTTACGTACGGGTACTTATTTTTTATACATATTAGATATTGAACTATTCATAGTTTTTCAATATTACATGTAATAAAAATATAATACTTATCACGTACTTTTGTATTTGAAAGTTACCATATTTAATTACAAAATTTAGAAATTTATTTTGTACTCATATACAGTCAGCGTCAAATATCAATGAACAATTTACAATCTACTAGATTTCCAAATTATATTTACCCGTATGGTATATTTTTTTAATATAACTTTAAGGTATAATTTTGAAACATCCCAAAAATTGGGACATTTAATACATGACTAAATTTTATTATATTTATATAAGACTAAATTTAACTGCTACATTAATACTATAATAAAATCTAACTAAATTGTCTAAAAAAAATTAATTATTGCTTAGTTGTTTAGAATACAAACTTTGTAAATCTAATTAAATATTTAATTCCAATTTCAAAATTAAATCTATGAATATGTTTCTTATCGATATATGAAGCTGGCTGTATAAATCAAACATGTCAATTTGGTTAAGTAATTAATTTATTAATTATTATAATAAAGTAATAAAATAATTTCACTAAAAAAAAAGAAACACTGAATATCGATTTGGTGCTGTTATTTTATTATAAAGTATAAAATTTATAAAGTATATTATATATATAATATTAATAAAGTAACATTTTATTGTATTCTTTTCTACTATGAGTCTATTGAATGATTGACTATTTAGTAAAATAAAAACCAATACTTAGAATTAATTAAAGCCCGGTTAAGTACATACGTATTTATATAAGTATATATATAATTTAGTTATATAAAAATATTGTTTTTCGAATGCAAAAAAAGCTTTTTTTACGTTAAGTATAAACTTTCTGCATTTTAGTAGCTTATTTTGTTACGATCAAATTCAATAAATTTTAAAGATAAAATAAATTTAAATAGGAAATTATGATTCTCTTGTGTACTATGCTTAATCTATGATTTGCTATAGACATAGACCATTCTTTGTCTATTTTTTCTTAATTATAAAAATTATGGAGACATCAATAATTACCTCTTAATTTTCGCTTATTAATTTTTTTTTTATATTCTTTATTTTTCTACTTTTTTTATTTTTTATTACATTGTTATTTTATCATCCTAGTACCGACAGTGCTGTAAATTGACTTTAATTTGTTAGTAAAATACGTCAGTAAATAGGTAGTTCATTTTTGTTATCGCTAGTTTTGTCATAATTTAAACTTTTAATATAATATCCATTTTGTAATATTAATACTTAAGCTTTAATAATTTATGTAGAATTCTTAGATTAAGTATGGCCTATTAAGGAGATTTGTGAAGAGTAAGTAGTTCTGTGTTTAATATATGTATAATTCTAATGTATGAAATTTATATCAAATACGTCTTAATCATAAATATTTTAATGGATATTTGGAAATATAAAAAAGTCCTGCCCCAAATTCGAACATACGCACTTCAAAAAGAAAATTTTCTACGTGGCTTGTATTCAATTTGCGACAATTTAAATGGTACTTAAATTGTAACTATTAAATCTTAAACATTTGAAAGTAGAAATACGTAATATTTTAAATTTCTGACAGTAGAAATAATGAGTATATCATATTAGTATATAATATTATATTATATATAATATCTTTCTTTTTCTTTTTTCATCGTCGATTATGTAAAAGAAAAAAAAAAGAAAAAAATGGAATCACATAAATATTTAAAGTTGTTAAAATTTAAAAACTTTTTATAACGCTTACCTCTTTCTTGTTAGCTCGAAACTCAGCCATCCGGCTGAGAACGTCTCCACCACGGAGATACTTACGCTGGTATTTATGGCTCTTTACAGCTGTTAACTCCAAAGTTATTTTTATATAGGCCTATTACTAGTCATAATAGATCATAAATATAATTGTTAATACCAGAATCCTCGCTATGTGTTTAATTCAGGTATTATGATATATCAATTTTATAATATTTATTATAGATAAATAAAAAATAAATATATAAAACTGTTATCATGTAATAATAGAAAAAAAATAAAACGTAACCATAGATCACTACAGGTAATTGGAAGGGCAATTAGATAAAAATCGATTTGGATTCTCTTCCATCAATAATTTTATAATTATGAATATTCATGGGCGCCGTTAAAATTACTTTAAAACTATTTATAACTACTCTTCTTCAACCAAAAGTTGGCTGCAAGAAATCGCTTTTAGCGATAAGGGCCTCTAGACAAGTGGCAAGCGAATTCGTCGATGGAATCAACATCGCTAGCGAGTCCGTGAGTTGGAATGAGTCATCCGGCGTTGCTATCTCATTCTGTCGCACGGACTCGCTAGCGATGTCGATTCCATCGACGAATTCGCTTGCCACTTGTCTAGAGGGCAAAGTCACCCATTGTTTTCTCAATTTGAACATTTCATGTAATTGTATATATTTATAATAAATTTACTACTGTAATGTTTTGGAAAAAACATCTACCTTAAGAAAGGATGCATCTGCATACTATTAATATACTATACTATTAATTAATAAAATATAAATTCTAGATAAATTATACATATATGTATAAACTGGAACAGCAACTCAGATGCTTTAAGTTTGAATAATCAAACATTTCAAGCATTTTATTACCGACAGGATTCTGCTAGTATACCCTGCACCTTGTCTCAGGCGCCCATAAATATATTTCAAAGCAACTATTATATATATAATTTTCATAAAGTAATCAATGTTTTCTTATTCCCACCCTTTATGTACAAAAGTAACTATAAGTAGAATATAGTGAATAAAAACACTAATTTGAAATTGATATCGTGTGATCTTGTTTATTTGTAAGTATTATTATATTTTTATTTAGTTTCGTCCAATGACATAATTTCATAATTGTACAGATGTCATGTTGCATACAATTGTAAAATTTATGAATATTTTAAATAAATTGATTACATGGAGATTAGAGTCTTTCATTCGCTTGAGTCTAGATAGTAATTCTAATGTTGCCAGCTATAATTTATTTTACTACTAGCTTTTACCCTCTGCTTCGTCCACCAGAAAATTGCATTAGTTAATATCAAATTGGCAAATATATGTTATATATGTTTTGTATGGAACATGTTCGAGCGACACTCCTATAAGATAATCCTAATTTTGTTCAAAAAGATTTTGTCTTTACCGATTTGGCCCAAAAATTTAGGTACACTGTGCTGCGCATCTATTTATCATCTATCTGTCATTGGTGAGCAGCTCTCTAGCTATTAGGTACCGTTTGGGCTGTACATTGTTTAAGACGAGGTTTTCCCAAGAGCCTACAGCATGGGGTTCTTCAAAAGGGTGTAAAGAGTAAGGGTGTAAGGTTTCTTTAGAGTCGGCAACGCACGCGTAATACCTCTGGTATAGCAGATGTTCATAGGCTACGGTAACCGCTTACAATCAGGTGGGCCATATGCTTGTTTGCTACCACAGTGGTATAAAAAAAATATATAAAAAATATACTTGATGTACCATAATTAGTATTTAATCTTGATGTTTTTTAATCGTAATATCTTAATATTTCACGATATTCTTTCATGTAAATCTCTGAAACTGATTTTAATGAAATTTTGTAAATGTGTATTATTTGCCTCAACTTGACAGGCAAGAAACTGCCATCCTTTTTGCTACCTATCAAGTCCACTCGATAGGTAGGTATAATGGGCAAAACAAGTCTGCTGATCAGGTAAGGGGGAGAAGGGATTGTTAATAATGACACCAGCAATCCCAGTTAGTAGTGTACTCTATCGGGTCGACCTCCACGCAGTTCTCCTTGGAAAACATCATGGTCTATCCACTATATATTCATCACATTGAGCTAACTGACCTGCTTTCATTTTCACAAATCATCCCTCACTGGTGCCCCACTAGCATATACCGTTAGCGCAGGTGGAGTTAAGATTCCGTAATCATCCATTAAATTAAATAGCTGATCAGTATATAAAACGTATATTAAATAAAAATCTTTATTACCGTATATACAAAAAGTATCTATTCTGCTCGTATTTTGTTTTAAATGCTTTACTGACTGTCATAAAACATGCTAAGATTAATTATGTCATGTATAAAAAAAAAAAAAGATTAAAATAAGCTAGTGAAAGCAATAATAATAACTTGTCTCACTATATACCATCGACTGACATATTAATAGACTGTGTTCTCCATTATAATTATAGAATGCAGTTTGAGCAGTCCAGAAATGAATATTCGATTTTAAATTTAAATTACACGATAACTTAAGTGGTCAACTCTAGAAATGGCTGTTCCCGCCATAAATTACGACGCCATCTTTTAATAGGCAAAGATGTTGACAATACAATTTTGATACTGTTTATAGTATTTTAAATTCAGTGTAATAAATATGAGGCTATACGAAGGTTTTTTGTGCTGGAAGATCGATTCACAATATAAAAGAGAGTTGATTTTTACAGGGTACAGAGGAATAACACCTAAGTCCTTGGGAATGACAAGGCATGGGGCGTAACATGGACGAAACTCTATGTTATGTTCATGGTACTGCTCATGTCTATAAACGATAGTTGCAACTTTATATCAGGTGGGCCGTCAGCTTGTTCGCCATTCTATGTTGCATAAAAAAAGGATACCTTATATTTTTAATTTTTTGACATGACTCGTCTGAGTGCATTGCTTGCTATGTGACCGACTTCTTAATACCCGTCTATTCGTAATTAAGTCATTCGTTCCATTCAGTAAGTTTCACTCTATCATCGTTCAAAAATCCTACATATATCACAATATTGTACACTGCTCTATCCGCTGACACTGATGCTCCTTTCTACTTTGGATTTGCTGGAAGAAAACTCTATTAGAGTTAAGCTCGCCTTTGTACATTTGATTATCTCTGACATATTCTTATTAACTGGTGGTATAATGTAAATAAAGAATTAAATAAATAAATATTATAATACAAAATTTTCAATTTTTTATCTTTATTTTTTATAACAAAGCAAATGAGTATGCGACTTACCTGGTAATGATTGGCATGATGGAAGAATACTGCTGCTGGAAGTTGAATCAAGAGCGAAGTGGTGCGCTGAAGATAGTGTTTTGTTTTAATCCTTTATTATGGTGCATAAATCTATTAACAGTTCTGTTTTAACTAATAAAACCTTTTAAATAAATAAAAGTAAGGGACAAAAGAAGAAAGAGGCCAAGTGGCCTAATATGAGTTATACAGATATATTTATATAGATTGATGAATGTGGAAGAAGCGAAAGATTTTTGTTTGAATCAAAGCATTTGGCGTTCCATTGTTTCTAGCTACCCTAATGGGAGACAGGCGTGACAGATATGTATGTATGTACAGATATATTTCAAGTAACTGTAAAAATTAAAGTATACTAATATATAATAAAATACAAATGTGTTATAGAATGATTTAATGTCAAACATGAATACATTATATCTCGTCATTACAATACATTGAACACGATGCAAATACATAGAATAAATTAAATGTTATTTCAATACTATTTCGAACACAAATGATGTCGATTAAAAAACAGATATAGACAAACCTTACACTCTAGTTACTTACTATTTATGCTTATTTAAAAACGAGAATCAAATATAATTTATATCCCCAAAAAGGATTCTAGCTCACTGACTATATTAAGTGCGAATACATCAAATTGGTCCCATTGGCTTAGTAGCCACAGCTGTCATTGTTTTTAAAACTTTAATCTATGTAGTATCACAGTACTTAGCTATTGACGAATAGGGACTCCGATATATCGATAAACTAAAATTGGAGCTGTGATCAATATAAACTCCGAATAAAAAGTTATGAAAGAAAGTGAGAAAGAGAAAAAAAAGTTAAAGTTGCCAATAAATCATTCAATAAATGTGGAGCATAATTAATAAAAGTATTGGTCAGATTAATAAGTACTCTGAAAAAATAAGCAACCCTTATCAATATAGAATGAGATCAATATGAAGTGAAATCAATAAGAGAGTATGATCAAAAAAGATTTAATCAATGTAAACTCTGATTAATTGACGCAGACGAAAGAAATCACAGCTTGCAATAATACAAAAAAGGTTTGATTATAATCAATAAAATCAGCAAGGTCATTCATATCGACTACTTAAAACTTGGTTACAATGTAAAGACTTCATTAATCTATTAATTCTTAATTAAAAGTAAGTATCCATCCTAAGAACTCTCCTGCCCTAGTAACTTATAATTTAGCAAATACTTATTCTATGACATGAAAAAAAGTTTTTTATGTTAATCTCTAAATAGTGATTTTTAAATAAAGAAAGAAGTATATGTACGTCCTTTTAATTTAAAATCCATAGAGTCGTAATATTTTTTAGACACTGCTCTGACTGATGCTGATGTTTCCCTTATGTCTGAGCAGTTTTCCATCTGATTTTATTTAAATTATACGTATGTATATACGTATGTATATACATATGTATATACATATGTATATACATATGTATAATTTAAAATAAATATATATATAATATAGGTAAGATGAGTATTTTGTGTATATTATTTTTGAATTACAGTTTTAATTTAATATTGTTCATCACGTTGCACAGTCAATTATATTTTCTGTTATTCCTGTGTCTACGGTCGACTGGTAGATAACGCCACATGGTGTTAAGGCCGCCATTTACATTTTCTATGTGTATTAAAGTTTAATAAATAAATAAATATATTCTATATATGTTGTGCTTCACTTAAATTTACATTTAATAATAATAAAATTAATTTTAACAATAAAAATAAAAATTCTTCTTTTTCTTCTTAACTATTCTTTTAAAAAAGAATCTTAAATTTATCGTCTATAAACTATAAGTATTATTTCCTATCTATCTCCGACCGTAAGTTTATGGACGGATTATCTTATATATTAAATAGTATTATCAAATCTTCTTATAAATGTTAATAAAAAATTAACTAATTAACTTTCGAAATGCGCTTGCAAATTCTGTTGCAGCTTTCGACGCTCCGACCGTATAGTTCTTGCCATCCAGAAAGCTAGCACAATGCAAAGTATCTGAAATAATACATTAATATTTTAAATATAAATAAATAAATTATTTGGAATGAAAATATTCTTTTTAAATCATTAACTTAAATATTTATTGTTTGTATTTTTATATGTTTTCTGTTATTGGTCTGTTATTTTTTTGTTTTAAAATTTAACCCCCAAACTCTACGATGAGATGCGTAACCAAATCACTCAGCAATTTGGACCGAGTACGTTTACAATTAAACCATATATATAATTAAACCATGAAAAGAACTCTATCTATCCGTTAACAAATTAGTCAAAAATTCATATCGTTTAATTTGATTAAAGGACAATAATATGATAACTTCATTCATGACATTTCATACATTTTTATTTACATTATAGACGATACCATCATATCAGCTTTAAATCGTCCACTGCTGAACATAAGCCTCTCCCTTGCCAGTACTTGTCACAGACAGATTGGCAATCGCAATTAGGCTTTAGAGATGTTTTAAGAGGGACGCTGTTGCCCATCCCTCGCCCTCCCTTAGTCGCCTCTTACGAAACTCACGGGAAAGTAAGGAGTTACCTATTTTATGCCGGGACTACACGGCCAATATGGTCGATATAGTCAAGCAAAATGTTAAAGAACATTTTGGGAGTATAACTCCCCATTCACATAGAAAAATCTGAAAAATTAAGTTTCTCTACAAACCTCTAACAACACAAAAATCGCTCCTGAAGATATGAAAATGTTCCCTTTTAAAGTCTTTTTCTGCATTAGTGACTCTTCACAACCCTTTAGGTAATACGTCCGTTCAGATAAGCAGGTCGCGTGAAGATGCTTCCTGGCACCGCCTTCGCGAAGAGGATGAGCTCGTGGGCAGCACGAAGGTGGAATATCACGGTGGAGAATCGAGTAATCTTGAGGTCCATCTACGCCACAGCATTGGTTCTGGAGCGGACAAAATATTACACAATCGCCATAAAGTGACAAACTTGGCTCTCTCCAAAAATGAAAAAGATATTAAGATTAAAACTTCTGAACGCAGCAATTTGGCCGCCTTTTTGTATTTATATAGTAAATTAATGTTTCTATTGTTTATGTTTTTACAAGCAATCCGACCTGGCTTTGCACGGGTAAATAAAATTTCTGAAAATGTACATCTTATGTTACTCGATAATAATGTAATTTTCTGTAAGTGAAAGAATGTTTAAAATTGGCTGAATAGTTTTTAGGTTTATTCATCGTATACAAGGATCAAGTCTTTTTTCGTTATAATATTAGTACAGTTTTTCGTTATAAGATTAACTGGGATATTCCTATTAACCGGGATAAACAGTATTAGCCTATGTTCTTCTCTATTTCCTTGGTTAATAGAACATTTGACTTTAGTCCGGAAATATCTAGATCTATATTTTTTATGTCTTTACCTAAAATTATTTGTATTTGTCATTCGATCAACACTGACTCTATGGACTCTTTTGAAGGCAAAGAAATAAACTGAATTGTGACCATTTTTATTTGCTGTCGTGCCATACAAAAATTTGTGTAACATCTTTTATGTACTTTTTTTTTTATATATTTTGTCTTATTTCTTAAAATATGTACCAATAGCTAATGTTACTTGTGTGCTGTAAGTGATGAAAATAAATTATATATCTATCTATCTATGTACTAACCTCAATTTGCAATTTATCCCAGAACGATTGGTAGTTCGAATCGTCGTCAACAGTGGTGTTCTTGTAGAATTGAAGCCTCAATTCACTGCTGCCTCCAACCCATGCGCTGAGTACTGCCCCTCCCACACTCACCATCACTTCCACCAACACCAGAAATATAAAGAAACTTGCATGCTGCGAACGAGAAATTATAAAACAAGATTATATCGTTCCGTGGACCAAAATAGCTGAGGTATTGGAATCAAAATCTGAATCTACCGCATGAACAAAGAGGAAGAAAGTTTACTTTTACGGGGGGTAAGAGATTGTTAGTAATGGAGAATGAGAATCCCATTGCTAGCCATATACCCAACCAGGTCGACCTCCTCGCGGTTCTCTCTGAAAACTATCATGGTTAATTCCTAATGAATTCATCATAATAGGCTAACTAGCCTGTTTTCATTCTCATCTATCACCCTTCACTGGTGCTCCGCCAGCGTATCCCGTTAGCGCAGGCGCGGTTACAATACCATTTTCATCAATAACAAAAAAAGTTTACTTTTACTTATATATTTATTATAAATATGTATATATAATATGATCATTCATCATTTCAGGTTGTACCAGTAATTGCCAAACATGGCGGAGGCCTATGTACAACAGTGGACTGTTAACTACTGCTAAACATAGGCCTCCCCTAAAAAAGTGTTTTGCCAGTAATTGCCACATTTGGTAGACGGATTGTTAACCGCTGTTAGGTTTTGGTGATGTTTTAAGAGGGTCGCTGCTGCCCATCGCTCAACGATTAAGTTCCCTTAGTCGCCTTGGTGTCCTATTCTATGCGGGGAACACTTGATGGAATAGGTAATTATATGTCAGAGTATATCGAAGACGAAGGTTTTTGAGAGGAATGAAAGTTTTATGGCATGCCAGATAATGATAGAAGATGAAAAAGTGGAGCAAGTGAGTGAGTTTCTATATTTACGAGAGATGGAAAATGTGAGAGGGAATATTGAAAGGAGAGTGAAAGCAGGAAACAGCGTTAACAGTACACTGCTTACGATTATGGCAAACAAAAATATATCAAGTAAAGCTCGCCTTACCATAATTTAGGGAGTACTGACACTAACACTCATGTATGAGTGAGCATGGCAAAAGAAGCATGAAAGTAAGATTACAAGAGATACTGTAGAGATAAAAGCTCTGAGTATTATGTATGTATATGTATGAGTATATTTCGTATATAAATATCATAACTGATATTTCACTATTACCTTCCTTCTAAAAAAGATGCTTAATATAAAGAATCTGATACTCACCACATAGAGAATTTTGACGTGTTCTCTCAATGCTCCTATGCAGCCCAATATAGCTGATACCACCAAACAGAAACCGAGGGTCAGGAGGAACGAAAGCACTCCCCTAGACAATGCAGACTGCTCGGGACGTGACTTCCTTTCACGCAGATTCATCACGCAAATCGCCATCAGTATCAACCCGAATAACTATTAGAAATTTAAAAAAAATAAATAATTAAAAATGTTTATACAACTTAGAATAGCATACGAGCTGAGGGCCCACCTGATGGAACGTGGTAACCGTCGCCTATAGACATGAGCAGTACCATGAATGTAGTAGAGTATACTATTTCTCCCATGATACTCCCCTGAGGACTCAGATGTTATTCTTTTGTATCCTGTAAATTCACTGCCATTTCCCATATCATACCCTTTAAACCGAAACACAGCCATGCAAACACAACTGCTTCACGGTTCAAACACGAATGGGGCAGAAGTAACCAAGCAAACGACTTTTGTACAAAATCTCCCTCTGGTAAATTTACAATGAGGAATTATTTGATTTTTTCTTTATTTTTTATGATTTACACTCAAAAAATTCTTAAACAATTTTTCAAAAATTTTCACCTACAAAAAAATATATAAATTATCAGAGAGTAACGTGTGCTGGATTTTGTTTTATATTTTATTTAATTATATTAAAAAAAAACCTTTTATTTTAAATTCATAGTTTTTGTTTGACTAATCTTTAACACTTATTACACTTAACAATCGTAACTTAATTCAAGATTTAAAATAAATCTTCATAACAAAGTACTTTATCAAGTACAATAATATCAAACAAAAGGTAATACCAAACAATCAATAACGCCTTGGAATAATATATAAGCTAACAGTACGCTCTATCAACAATGCTATCGATTTATAAAATTAGAAATTATTAACAATAATTACTTACAATACAAATTATATTAAAAAGTGTGAGAAAAAACTTCATACAACGGAGACTTCTAGGCTTCATGTTGTCTCACAAACTTTACCACACTTTATTTATAAGGTGATTTTTTCACAAATTGTTCACAGGCGTTTCTGATATGTCCGGTGTTGGAGCGGTGGACATCGGAAGTGAAGGCTTGTGGCTTGTATCGATCATTGCATTTAACGTCCTGATGGTGGTTATTAGAGGTTAGTGCTTAGTGTTGGGCTAAGCGGAATATACAGCGGTCGGCAGTGTAACTTCTTTAAAATTATGCTACTATTCACTATCTCTGTATGATAATAGTGATCTAGAGATATTTGGCATATCTCAAACATTTAAATGACAATTAGAAATGTATCCCACAAGAGATACAGAACAGAGACGTCTAAACATATACAAATATGTTTAGACGTCTCTGTTCTGTATAAATATCTATCTGTCTAAATCTAACCCCAAATATTATAAAGTAATGAACCTTATGATTTTTTTTCATTAAGTTTATATGAATAAGATAATATAACTTTATTATCATTATGTTTTTTTTAATATTTAAATTATTTAAATATATATAAAAATAACTTTTTGTCCATATCTTACAACAAAAAGTAAAAATATTGAAAGTTAAAGCTTTCAATATTTTTGCATAGCATTAAAATGCTAAACCAACTCCTATAACTTTGTTTTTTATCATTAATTAAATTTTATTTTTTAAATTAACAGTTCTTAATCAATTTGAAAATATTAAATTAGGTTCAGAGTCAGTGAGAGTCGAAAACGTGAATTTGATATATCAACAAACTATGCCACTGTGTCACAAACTGAGGTTTCAACGATTCTTAAAATGAAAAATAACTTCCAATTCTGCTACAGTATCCGCTCCGCTTATTACCAAATCGCAATATCTGGAACGTGGGAATACACATGTTCAGTACCCACACTCCAGGGACTGGCTTCAGTGTTTGTCACAGCTATAATTTTTATAAGTACCTCTAATATAGCACCGGTATATCGCTGAACATCTTTAATTACGTTCGTTTTTGCACATTTTTTGTCTTTTATTAAATGCTTTTTTTTTCCTTTTATCTAAAATTCATCATCATCATCATATCCGCTTTTAACTGTCCACTGCTGAACATAGACCTTCCCTAGGGGAATTTTGACAGTAGTTGCCACGATTGGCAACTGCAGTTAGGCTTCGGAGATGTTTTAAGAGGGATGCTGCTGCCCATTCCTCGCCTTAACATAGTCGCCTCTTACGACACCAATGGGAAAAGACGTCTTCTCCGTGTGGTTCCGGCATAGTATTATATGCCGGAACCATACGGAAACGTAGTTTTATCTACAATTAGATACATTTTTTTTTTCTACAAAATGAAAGAACTGTAGATACCTCTTATTATCTTTAATTAATCCTGACTATTAAGTTGTGCCGTAGTGATTACTTGCACTGTGTTATAGATACTAGTAGAATTAGTTATAAGTGCATCATTATTTTTATTCACAACAACTGGTACTGTTAAACGTACGTCTCCCACCTTTACGTAACAGATTACGTTCTGAGGAATTGTTTGAAATGATGCCCACAGCCACGTTTTATCATCACACCGCTCGCCATCGACAGGGAATTCATGCTCACACGCTTAAACCTAAATAGTCACCTACAGTGTGGTTTCACAGGAAATTTCTCTCGCGAACGCTCAGGCTGTGGCAGTCCCTAGAAACTATAGTATGAGGATCTTCAAAAAGTATTTATTGAGGTTTTTACAAGGTCGGCAACATATACGTGATATCCCTTGTGTTACAAATCTATAGGGCCTATAATATAGGCTATAGTGGCCATTGACTATTAGACGAGCTTTATGCTTGTGTATCACTTTCGTCGTATAAAAAAATAGGCTAACACTCAGCCAGATTGTATTATTATATGCTCGCCGGGAGGGGGGAGAAAACTGTTAGTGAATTTTTGTATGTGAAAGTAAGAATAAAAAAACTTTCTAGCAGTATAGGGTATATTTATATCAAGTCGACCTCCACGCAGTTCCCTTTGTAAATCATCCTGGTTAATTCTTCGTCGAAATTGTCATTATGGGTCAATTAACCTGATATCATCTTCAACTATCATCGCTCACTGGTACCGCACCATCATATTTTTTTATTAATTTACTTATTTGCCTATTTGCCTGTTTGCCTATTTGCCTATTTGCCTATTTGCCTGTTTGCCTGTTTGCCTATTTGCCTATTTACCTATTTGCTTACTTGCTTATAATCTACAGCTTGCTTGTTACTACAATCTCTTATCATATAAGGAAGAATACCATCCGAACCCGCAGAACATTTTGCTTTGAGTCGTCTGAATACGAACTCGACATCATCGAGAGTAACAGTGTCGATATGTATGCGTACACCCTCCGACCCTGCCACTGCAACAGCTTCCTCCGCATCCAAACTAGGCGGTGTTTTCGAATAGTTTTTTTTTAATGGGTGATAACGGAATAGTAACCCCATCCGCGCTATTAGTATACACCGGCGGGACCCCAGTGAAGGATGACAGGTGAGGATGAAGCAGGTCAGTTGGCCCATCGTGACGAATTCAACAAGAATTAACCACGATGGTTTCCAGGGGGAACCACCTGGAGGGCGACGTAATAGGGCATATTGCTAGCAATGGGGCTATCAAACTCCATTGATAACAATCCCTTTCCCTCCTCTTTTTTAGGTTAGGTTAGGCATTCTTTCAGAGAGTATTTCCCCAAGTTTTTTAATTTGACACTTAGATGCTACATATTGTCAAAAAGTTGATGTTATATATATACGCATAGGCAAAGTTACCATTCCATATTCATTCCAAAAAAAATATGCTCGTCGAAACATGGGCACGTTGAAAGTTGCGTTCACCAGTAATTGTAAGTCATAATATAGCTGTAAAGCTATATTGTAACTCACAATAGAGCCCTAAGTATTTTTTTTTTTATTTTGGAATATTTATACATTTTGATGTTTAAAAGATTTAATTAATTTTAATGAAATTTGATTAACACATCACATTATCAACATTCAAGAGTTTATTACTATGCCAAATTATATGAACAAAGTCTCGGATAAATATAATTAGCAATAGTATTAAAACAATAAATTTTCTCTGCCTACCCCACAAAGAAGACGTGAAGATAGATACAATAAAAAAAAACAATAGAAATAAACTGATTTTATTATACTTATTATTCAAAATACAGACTTTAATTACATTGTAAAATTATTATTAATAAAATGTTTAATTATCCTCAAAAACACATTTATTTATTGCCATCTTATTGCAAAAAAAAATATCTAATATTGTTTATCTGAACCGTTTTTAAAAAACTACGCTTAAGTAATTAAAAAATTGTTTGATCGACGTTACAATTTTTATTTATTTATTTATTCTACACTTTATTACACTATTTATATAATAGTAAATACAGTTAATTTTAATGAAAATTAACATTATAATATAGTTTTCTTTTTGTAATTTTCTCCGAAAATCATATTATTTAATTATAATTATTAAATTATACAGTAATAATACAGTAAATACCTTTTATTTTTGATAAGACCGAATTTCTTTTGTTTACATAATAACAAATGTTAGTCACATTTTTGTAGTGAAACGTCTAAACCAGTAACTTTTTTATGACAAGATGCTACAAAAGGACAAAAAAATTAAATTTGATAGATGTATTTGAAGTATTAATACAAAAATTTCCCGTGAATGTCGTAAGAGGCGACTAAAGGAGCTTAATGGGCCAGAGATGGGTAACAACGTCCCTGATAAAACATTAGCAAAGCCTAACTGCGATAGCCAATTCGCTTACCAAACGTGGCAATTACTGGCAAACCCCCCTTTTGGGGGAGACCTATGTGGACATTTAACGACTGATATAATATAATAACTATTTTTTGGGCCATCATCAGCTAAAATTATATTATTTTTTACTTAAATCTAGTATTAGAAATTTAGTTCATATTAATTCTCACAGTAAAAAAATCTCTATGAAATTTAAAGATTTAGAGAAATAGCTTTCAGAGTCGACCCCAATGTATACATTACACTAATATATACTTAGATTATATATAAATATATATATTTCCTTTCGTGAACAGGTTATAGTTTAGAGACTACAGTACGGGACTCTTCACAGAGAGCGTAGTAAGGTTTTTTCCTAGTGTAACGCGCGCCTCACATCCATAATGTTACTATATAAGTAGCTACGGTAACTGTTTACTATCAGACAGGCCGTATGCTTGGTAGCCACTTGGTACAAAAATTGTATATAACTTGCTTATCCTTCAGGCTATGTTACTTATTTAGATTATATAGATAGAGTGTCTCCATACAAATGCTTCAAGAAAAACGGGTCAACATTTTCATACAATTTTGCGTGATGAATAGTTATGAGTGATTCCCTTAAAACTTCTATATTTATTTTGTCTTATAAATTCTGCACCTTTTTAATGCGTAAACACTCATTTTATTTATCAAATAATACGTCAAGATACATTTTATACGTAAATATACAAAATACTGATAAAAACAACGAGTTAGCTAATTTGACAATTAGCTGACAAAATGTTGACCAGTTTCTGAGGCTCGACTCTCTATCTATATAATGTAAGTCTATTTATTACACAAATAATTAATGATATTAATATTTGACAGTGTCTCGGTACACCTGGACGCTATTCTTCGTGTGGTTGGCGATCAGCATGGCAAGCAACATACTCGCCGCCTGGAATCGATCGATCACAATTAATTTTAAATGACACAGGTACATCCTCGTGAAAGCAGGTCGATACTACGCGGTATACGAGGGAAGTTTCATATCACGCGCGGATTACCGCGTATGTAATGGGTGTCACAGTGTAATATATGATAACTTTGATGTTATTTCTTTTTATTCATGAGGGTTATTACTGCCCATCAAGTGGACCGTTAGCTTGTTTGCCATTTCAAATTATATATTAAAAACTTGTGATTCTAATGGTGATTTGTTCTGAATGTTTTTTTTTTGTATAACTTTGTCCGACTAGTAAGAAAAGTAAAGAAAACGTACTGCATCTAATTAAAATTATTAATTTGTTCTAATTAAATTTAATTAATTTCTACATACTTTAAATTTTATAATCTGATACTGCAGATAATTTATATAATTAATTAAACTTTTTTAAGAAAAGCAACAGCTAATTTTCTTATCCATACTTCTTGACTGAAATTGCATTCCAAATGGGCGGTAGAATCATAAAAAAAATACTATTCAGAAATGCTTAAATTAAAATATTTACTTGAATAAAAATATTTCTCTCTTTCTTTCAATACTGTGCGAGAATCGAACCTACTATCGCCGGAAGATTATGTAGTTGTACAAATCGCTGCATTGTCATAATTGTAAAATAATGAAGTTTACCTCGAACCAAATGCTGAGTACTGCGGCACCGAGCAACCAATCAGCGTCTGAACGCATTAAATTCAATATCTCGTCTTCACAACCCTCGCTGTAGTAACTGGTCGAACTGATATACATAATTAATCAATTTAGCAACACACATAATAAATTACAAAACAGAAGAGAATTAAATTTGAAATTGTTGTTACTATAAATAAGCGTCATGTTCAAAAGAACATGGCATATAGCTGCGTGACACCGTTTTAGTGCATTTTCTTTTTATTTTTGTTTATTGTTAAATATTTTTTTGGTATTATGTGTGAAATTTAGTACAAAATAAATATTTATTTATTTATTTAAACTTCAGTACACAATTTTATAGTACAAGTAAGTGTATATTTGGCGGATTTAACACCTAACGGCGTTCTCCATCCATCAACCATAAGGCAAGCAGAAAATTAAGTAGGCGGTGCATTGACTTTATTTACTAAAATATGTATAAATATTGTTACCATATATTACATGCATACATCCATAAATTATAAGATTAAATATACCCATAATACACATATATATATACATAAGATATAATAAATATATACATAAGAATTAAATATACCCATACATACATACATATATACATATACTTACATACACAAACACAATATATATAATACACAACTATAATTCTAATGACGATAAATTAAAACAGTAGATAAAAGAAAACGCGGCAGAAAAATATTTCTTTCTTTCAATTATAAAAACGTTCACAAGCTTTTACAACTGCACTGAAAAGGTTTCCAATTCAGCATGCGCTCATTTGCATAAATAAGATTTTTTTAGGGAGAAAAGGAGGTAACCCCTTTAATAAAGGCATATATTTTCTAGACATGCTATTGCCCATAGCTGATCCCATTATAAAATATATACTTACTCAACGCACGCCTTATACAATTGTTGCTGCGCATACGCAGCTCTGGCACGGTAGGCGCGCGGGCAACACGACATGCTGATCGGTTGTTTGATCGCTGCGTAATCCTCAGGCCCGTTCAGACCGCAGCATTCATACTAAAAGAAATATTGGGATTTTACCAATTTACTATTTGATTCATCAAAATCCTCGTGTTTGTCGAACCATGTTTCTATTGAAATACTCAAATACTTGCCGTGCTCTGCAAATCATCCCAGTGTTTCTCGTGTAACTCCTTCTCATCAGCCGTTACGTTCCGGTAGAAGTCTTCCCTTATAAACTCTGTTACTTTAAACTCCAACCCATATCGTTGGACAGCTACAAATATCAATATCAACAACTCCAATATCATTATAATTAATAGAAACCCAACATACTGCAACAAAGGAATATACGATCAGTATTGATTTTGATTATTATGAAGACCGAGGATTAATTACATGGGACAGATAAAGGAAACACTAGGCGTCGTGTCGTATAGGGAGATAAAGGATATGGCCTGGGATAGAGCTGGCTGGAGGAAGAAGCATGAATTAGTTGCACCGATAAGAGGAAACTCTTAAATGAAAAGAAGAAATAATACAGACAACCTTGTACATCAGAGGGAGACTTTGTACAACCTTGGTCCCATTCGTGTTTCAACCGTGGGGTTTCGGTATCATGGACGAAACAGTATACTCTGTTATGTCCATGGTACTGCTCATGTCTATAGGCGACGGTTAGTACTTTACATCAGGTGAGCCGTCAGCTTGTTTGCCATTCTAAGTTGTATAAAAAAAAATCCGTCGTTATGAACTTTCGCATTTATTATACTTTAGGATATTTATACTTTTGAATACTCAGAATTGCTTTCGTTATTTTTACTCAAATTAAAAAATAATAATTAACCTTCATACAAAATTAATTAGTCCAGATGTCATGTGATTAAGACAAAAAAAAATGGTGAATTCTAAAGTGAGAACATGAATATTAAGAGTATCTCCATTGTCCATATTTAATGATTATACATACCAAGTAAAGTATCTTAACATTGCTCCTGATTACACCCACACACCCAAACACAGCTATGGCGACAAGTATAAGGCTCGCCACAATGATGATCACATCACCAACAAAGGTGCCCGATGCGTGTTCATCACCATACTGCTTTAATAACCTGGTATCGACAACAGCGAACCCGAAAACGCCTAGCGCCACCAACTGCAATATCATATAAAAAGTGCTAAAATCTTGTGCAATTTCTAATATCATTATAATGGGGGAAAGGGATTGTTACTAATGGAGACTAAAAGTCCCATTGCTACCAATATATCTAACCAGGTCGACCTCCTCGTGGTTCCCCTTGGAAACTATTATGGTTAATTCCTGATGAATTCATTATGATGGGCTAACTGGCCTATTTTCATTCTCATCGATCACCCTTCACTGGTGCTCCGCCAGCGTATCCAGTTAACGCAGGCGTAGTTACCATTCCATTATCACCCATCGAAGAAAAAAAATACCATTATAATATTTACCCTCTTATTTATTATAACATCAAATCTCTTATAAATGGATTTTAGCTGTTGACGTTTTTTTTTTTTATTCTTTTTTTTTATTATTATTGTTAGTTGTAGTAACTGTTGAGTTACTTGCAGGTCCTTCTCAGTAGACAACGACGTTCCGAAACCAACAGTACAATCATAAAAAATATATATATTGACCTATAGACATGAGCAGTACCATAAACACAACTGTTTCGGTCATGATAACCCCCATGCGTTGCCATTTCTCTACTCGAGTGTTATTCCTCTGTACCCTGTAAATTCACTGCCATATGCCACCCTTTAAACCGAAACACAGCCATGTAAACACAACCACTTCACGGTAGAAACACGAATGGGACAGAGGTGGCTAAGCAAACGACTTTTGTACAAAGTCTCCCTCTGATAAATAAGTGATTTTATAAAAGCATATAAATGAATAAATACTATGAAACTATTAATAAATTCAATCATACTTACTATGACCGGCGGGAAAGGGATTGTTAGCAATGGAGTTTGACAGCCCCATTGCTAGCAATGTGCCTTATTAGGTCGACCTCCACGTGGTTCCCCCTGGAAACCGTCATGAATAATTCTTGTTGAATTCGTCACGATGGGCTAATTGACCTGCTTCATCCTCACCTATCATCCTTCACTGGTGCCCCGCCGGTGTATACCGATAGCGCGGGTGGGGCTACCAATCCATTATTATCCATTAAGAAAAAAAAAACTTACTATGACCAATCCATTTAATACCAACAGCAAACTCTTCGCGCAGCCCGCACTGATCCGGCTCCAAGTGACCATTGTTGTGGACATCACTAATCGTATACACACAATACATCAACTGGACCCTACATGGCCAAACATATGACATTGAATGAACGTATCTCTATGTTTATACACTTGTATATAACAGAATGGGAACCTACATGTGGCCTATTAATAATTTATAATTAAATATGGCGCATTAATCACTGGACGTCTTTACAAAATAATCGATATTCGTGAATTTTTAAAACTGCATGAGTGTGTTTGTCTTCGATTGGAATTCTAATTGATTTTATTTCAATTGATGTTTAAAGTACAAAAAGTAAGTCCTTTATTATTGATTTGATATGTATACAAATTAATAAAGTGAGTGAAGAGTTTATACTCTTAAACAAGTATATTTAACAAGAATTAAATGATACCAGTTATCATATCTGGTATCATTTAATTCTTGTTTCTTATACATTATATTAAAGTCACGATTATCATTATTAATCATCATCATTTCAGCCATTAACTAAAACGTAATGTTTTAAGAGGGACGCTGCTGCCCATCCCTTCACCATAAGCTCCCTTACAACAGCCACGGGAAAGGAAAGGGTGGCCTATTCTATGCTGGAACTTACACGGCAATCAGTAACTGGGTATAATTTATATAGAGCTGTAGACAGTGTTAGTAGTGAGATCCAATGGATTAATTACTAGCAATATACACTAATACGTCGACCTGGTGGGAAAGGGATTGTTAGTAATGGGGTCTAATAGCCCCATTACTGGCAATATATCCTCTCAGGTTAACCTCCACGCGGTTCCCCCTGGAAACCATCATGTTTAATTCTTGTCGAATTCATCATGGTGGGCCAACTAACCTGCATTCATTCTCACCTATCATCTTGCCATACTGGTGCCTCGTCGGTGTATACCAATAGCGCGGGCGGGGATACCAATCCATTTTCACCCATTAAAAAAAATAAACGTCGACTTTCACACGGTTCCCCCTGAAAACCATCGTGGTATAATTGTTGGTGAATTCATCACAATAGGCCAACTGACCTGCTTCATCGTCACCTATGCCCCTCACTGATGCTCCGTCAGCATATACCGATAGCACAAGCGGGGTGACCATGCCATTTTCATCCATTAAAAAATAAGCATGAATTTTATAACTCGCAGCCCAGATTCGCACGGTTTTTTTTAAAGGAAAATACAGTATTTGTAGTAACATTAAAACTGTATTTTTCTTCATTCAACGAGTTCGCTATATTTTTCTATAAGCGAAAGAATTTTTTAAATCAATTAACAAATTTTCAGTTTATCCATTACAAACAATTTGTCCTTTTAAAAAAAAAATAAAATAAAATTACTACTACTGAAATTTGATGAACCAAAAATTCTACGACACATGTTTCTTTAATGAAATCTGAACAGAGTTTCGAGACTAGAACTATTTCTATTTCACCCTATTTATATTTCATACTCATAGACGTTTCCTACACATCCTTTCAACAGTTTATTATGATATTTAATTACATAAATCAAGAGTGTTTTGTGTTTCAAAAATAAAACAAAAAATAATTAAGTACATACTCTTATATTATACAAAGCAAAATAAATAACTTAATTAATTTGCAATAAATACAAAATAGTGAACAAACCATATTTTAATTTAAACTTAATTGAAAACTTATAAATTTAAAAGAAAAATAATAATAATTAAATAATAATTTATAATTAATACAAAAACAATACTAAAGTTAATAATATAATAAAAGTGCTGGAAGTTCTAGATGCACCGCTCCAAATGTATGTGTAGTACACAGGATCCCTGAAACAGGATAATAATGTACAAATAAGAAATAAATCCCTAAAAAAGATTTTTTTCCAAATTTCATTGAACTTTAATATTTATTATAAAAGCAAAAGGTTTCAAAAATGGATAGATGGTTAAATAGATGAAGGGATGTTTGTTACTCTTTTACGCAAATTTTTTGGGATTTGAATAAATTTAGTACATGGGCAGGTTATATGCTGACTTAGCACATAGGATACTTTATGTATTTACTGATTTACTTGAGTAAAGCCGTGGGATACTAGCTGTATGAGAATGCAACTTGGCAGGACACAACCCCATCTGCAGCATTATGCAACATTCTAATTTCGACATATTGGAGTCGATTCCGAGATGCCAACTCTCTAAATTTATCGCTAAATATGCAATTTCAATTAGATATTACACCAAAAACTTTATTCAGAAGATCAATATAAACTAAATTTCTGATAGATTTAAAATTATAAATATAGTTTTTATATGCTATAAAACAGTAACTTCACGAAACTCTAAAATTAAAATATTAGGTTAAGAAATTGTTGACTTTTAAAAATGAAACTCTTATTTCAACGTTGTCTTAGATCATTTTCTATACAATATATATATATATATTTCGAAAGGATGTAAAAGAATTTGTATTCTCAAGAATAACATTTGCAAAACTGTCTTTTAAAGAATTTAAAGCTTTAATTTTCGAATCTGTCATTTATTTAAAAAATGATTTAGTTAAACATACATTATCACAGACGCGATGTTTCTAGATATGTTATATTTTTATTTTATTTTCTTAATATATCTATTATAAATATATATCTCCGTGTAGTAACGGTGTAGAAATAATTATGCGTCATCACTCCTTTTTATTCCCAAATAAACTAGACCAAAAGAAGGACTCGAAATAATACCTTATAGCTGGCTAGCAAACACCACAATAGTAGGCTAATTTACCGTTTCTTTATGAAAAAGAAATCAGTGTTCAACAAAATGAGATGTTGATAAGTCATCATAGTATTAGAATTACCTAACCCCCCCCCCCCCCCCCCCACTTTACTAGTTGCTTGATCATGTACAACCGTAATAGTGCAGATGTTAAACTACGAATATTGGTGTAGTACGATAGGTAAAAATGAAATAGTACTTACAGTATTTTTTACAAGGTCTTTTATTAAAAATCACGTTTTTATTTGTATTACTTATAATTTGTCTGTCATGCCTACATGTGTGTATTAATAATACGTGAATGTTTACAATTACAAATGCAAATACGAGTATATGAAAAAATTGATTGTTCTAAATTTAAAAAATATAATAATTTGAGATGTGTTGATATTACATTCATTTTGAACTGTATTTGAAATGAGTAAAGAAAGACAAGTACACAATTTGTAATATAAAACACCTACTATAAAATTTGTAAATTAATATTTTTAATTGTACATTAAAAGAGTATCATAAAGTTACTAAAGATACATAGTATTGTCATAGAATTCGGGTAATAAGATAACAAAAAAAAAATATAGCTAACAATTATATCAGTCAAGAAAGAAAAAGACTATAGAATCATTCCTATATTAACATCTTCGCATAGAAAGTATAGTAGAATAAAGGATTTTTTGTGAAATCGAAATTTGTCTTTTATTATTAGGCGAGGCAAACGAACAGACGGTCCACCTGATAGGAACCGGCTGCCGTTGCCCGTGTACACCTGTAACACGAGAAGTGCTTGTGTTGCTGGCCTTTAAACGAACTCGTTGTTTTCTCAGTGTAATATTTTCTTGTAATTGTTTGTATTTATAATAAGTTTACTATTGTAATCTTTTAAAAGAAACAAAGAGTATCTATCCATCTATCTATGACAATACAAGAATGATTTTAAAATAAAAATTAAACTCCCGACTGGATTCCGATGACGCCGCACGCGACTCGGCCGCCAGCATTGCCAGTCTTCCTGGAGTCAGGGTGGTTGGTCCTGCCGAAATCGTCAGCTCTCTCGTGAAGAACCACAGCTCTGCCGATAATGTTATGATCTCCTTCCAATGAGAGTAGGCTGTCAACGAAGTCTATGGTCGCGATATTGTTGGCATCGAATTCTACATTGCCCAGGTCTCCGACGTGGCGTTCTTTGTCATCAGGGTGGCCATGGGGTTGCTGTAACCAATAGAATATGTTATAGCCTTAAATTATATACATACAGTGTCTTCCATAGAAAACTTCTTCTTCAAGAAAAATGGGTGAACATTTTTATTCAAATTTGCGTAATAAATAGTTATGATTGATTCCTTTATAACGTCTATATTTTTTTTTATTTTTAATCTTATAATTTCTGCATCTTTTTATTGCGAAAAAATAAAACACTCATTTTATTTATTAAATAATACGTCAAGATACATTTTATGCGTAAGTATATAGAACACTGATAAGATAAACGAGTCAATTAATTTGACAATAAGCTGACAAAAATGTGAACCCGTTTTTGAGGATTGATACTCTATCTATATAATTTAAGGTTACAAGTTAATTACAGTTACTAATTATCTAGAGAGGAATTATTAGGGAGGGTAGCGTTTTCCAATGTCAAGAATTTTTAAACCACCTTGATTAATTAACCTTAATTATAAAAGGAAGGTTAAGAATGGTAGTTAGAAAGACTAGTCCTGACTTTGTTGGGGGAGAAGGGATTATTAATAATGCGGATTATCAGTTCCATTACTAATAATATATCCTAACAGGTCGACCTTCCCGTGGTCTCCCCTGGAAACCATCGTGTTGAATTCCAAGTGTATTCAACACGATGGGCTAACTACTATCACTGGTGCCCCGCTAGCGTATACCGTTAGCGCAGGCGGGGTTACCATTCCAGTATCATCCATTAAAAAAAAAGTCCTGACTTTGCATGGTTTTTTGAAAATAAAATACATATTTATCTTGTTTAAACTTATGTGCTTGTTACTATTATTTTTGTATTATTGCACAATGAACATCTGTGATATACCATTTTGGGGCAAATGCTGTTATAATTATTTCTTTACTGCCTACAATATATTTTTGTTTCTCTTCTAAAGTATTCGTCATTACAGTACCATTGTTCGTATATTGAAAATTGTAAAAACGTGATCAAATCATCTTATTTAACTAAAAACTGGGTTTCAGTCGAAGCTCCATTATGTAATACTAAACAATTCTATTAAATAAAATACTCTAGTATTATTTACAAATATATAAAAAAATATAAACTATCTATTATATACACACCTTACATCCAAATACATATATTATATATATAGTAAATATATTATTTTTTGCCGAAATACAGCTGTCTATATGCAGAAGAATTTAGAAAATCTGTTAATTCGAGTTTATTTAATACAAATAAAAAATCAATAATTTCCTCTTTACCCTCCCATCATCTTCGCAGTATTACTATTCAAATACTCACATTTTCAGGGTTGTAATGTGCGCCGGTGGAAGCACACCCATTGCTAAGGTCTCCCTTCTCGTGCACGTGGAACCCGTACTGTCCCGGAGTCAAACCAATGATGGTGCCCTGAACCCTGACTTTATTGTCGTCCAGTTGAGTGAAGGTGATGTTACCGTCCACGTCACCACCCTTTAGCCTCGCTGACGCTACGTGCGGCGCCCCCTGGCGTAATTGATAAATATAATTACAGCATGTTAAAATAATTATGTGCCTTGTAGTCCTGACATAGAAAAAGCCACCCATTCCTTTTCCGTGGATGTCGTAAGAGACGACTAAGGGACGGCAAGGGATGGGTAGCAGTGGCCCTCTTAAAACTTCGCCAAAAGCCTAACTGCGGTTGCCAATCTATCTGCCAAGCGTGGCAAGTCCATAAGGAAAGTTTTGTTAGTAGTCACTAGCAAAACTCCCTTTATGGGGAAAGCCTATGTTTGGCATTGTACAGTTAATGCCTGATATAATAATAAAGGTATTTAAACCTTATATAGATAGGTATTTATTAAAAAGGAAATACTACTCAAATCCTGTCGTAACGAATTTACTAAGAATTGACTGCGATGGTTTCTAGAGAAAGAAGGATTGTCGACTTACTTCGCTAGATGGAGTAACGACCGCAAATATATGGGTAAGGGAAGGAATTATTAGTAATGGGGATTTGTACCCCCATTACTAGCAATGTACCCTAACAAGTCGACTTCCAGACGGTTCCCTCTAGAAACTATCGTGCTTAAATCTTGTTGAATTCGTCACTATGAACCAACCATGAATCCAGACCATGGTTTCATTCTCATCTACCGTCCCCACCAGCGTATACCGCAATTAGAGTCATTCTATTTTATAAATTATTACAGGTTGTTACTGACTGCAGATTGCACAGAATCTTCTCTTACGATCTACAGAAGAATCATTTATGAGGATTATCAATTCAGTGTAGTTTAATTCAGATTTTTTTTTAAATTCAATACTGTAAGTAATCTCGAATGATTTAGTCAAAATCAAAAACTTTAGTCAACATAAATAACAAAATTAGAATAATCATAAACTCTAATTGCCGGAATTCATAGCCTAAGATGGTTGTGAGTAGATGCCAAAAAAAGAATAACAGACTGTATACACTTCTTACTATGTAAATTTACTTTGCATCGTTCAGAGCTTAAGAAAAGGAAAAATATATATATAAGTGAAGTGCTTGATTGAAGGTCACGTTTATTGGTAATACAGAGCAGTCATTTTTTATTTGTGGCCGTAAGATCCCGATATAGAATAGGCCACCCCTTCTTTTCTCACATTACGTCACCTATCATCCCTCACTAGTACCCCCCCAGCGTATACCGTTAGTGCAGACGGGGCTACCATTTCGCTACAATCCATTGAAAAATTAATGATGATAAATGAACATAGATCATGTGGGGGAAAGGGGTTGCTAACAATGGAGTTTGACAGCCCCATTGCTAGCAATATCAGGTCGACCTGCACGTGGTTCCCCTTGGAAACCATCGTGAACAATTCTTGTTGAATTCGTCACGATGGGCTAACTGGCCTGCTTGATCCTCACCTATCATCTTTTACTGGCGCCCGCCGGTGTATACCGATAGCGCGGGTGGGGTTACCATTCCATTATCATTATATAAAAAAAAAAACATAGATCATGTAATTTTTTTTATACAACTTAGAATGGAAAAAAACAAGCTGACGGCCCACCTGATGGAAAGTGATGGTTGACTGGGAGAGAATGCTTTTAGCATTAAGTCCGCCATGTACACATATTTGTACTAATGAATAAATAAATAAATAAATATAAAGTGGTAACCGTCGCCTATAGACATGAGCAGCACCATGGACATAACAGAGTATACTGTTTCGCCCATCATACCCCCCATGCGTTGCCATTCCCGAGGACTCAGGTGTTATTCCTCCGTACGCAGTAAATTCACGTAATTAAACAAATATTCAAAAGAGCGAAGGTATTTATAGAACATTTCGTAAACAAACAAATGACTCTTTCCTCTTTATAACATTATTGTTGGTAAACGTGACCAATTTAACTCACATTAAGATGATGGGCAAACGCCGACACGACGACCGTTGCGATCAGGATAATAATGTGCTTGAACATGTCTGCTTATCTGTAATGAAAGATTATATACTCAATTATAATATCTTATTAAATTACCCAGTAATTTAAAGTAATTTAGTATTAATACTAGTGAAATAAGGTCCCATATAAAATAATTAAAGATTGTGTCCCACAAAAAACCGGCTTTAACTGTGACAAAAGCAGTAATTTTGATCTTAAAATATTTTTTTTATATACAACTTAGAATGGCAAACAAGCTGACGGCCCACCTGATGGAAAGTGGTAACCGTCGCCTATAGACATGAGCAGTACCATGGACATAACAGAGTATACTGTTTCGCCCATGATACCCCCCGTGCGTTGCCATTCCTGAGGACTCGGGTGTTATTCCTCTGTACCCAGTAAATTCACGCCATATCCCACCCTTCAAACCGAAACACAGCCATGCAAACACAGCTGCTTCACGGTTGAAACACGAATGGGACAGAAGTACCCAAGGAATCGACTTTTGTACAAAGTCTCCCTCTGGTAAACTAACTAAACTATTGAACTGGTTTTGATGAAATTTCTATGAGGCCAGTCTGTGAGTATATCCTTTTAGATAAAAAGAAAGAATTTCTAAAACAATTATGAGGCAATAAACATAAAAAAATACAACCGAATTGAGTGCCTCCTTCTTTTTTGAAGTTGGTTGAAAAGCGACAAGGATATGTTAAATATATAAATTAATTAACCTATGTCTTACTCCATCCCATACAGTACACATATGTATACATTCAATAATACCATTTTCATTAGGTTTTTTTTTAAATCTATGCACCGCCATTTACTCTCTCTGTTTAGCGTAACAGTTGACTGATAGAGAATGTCATCAGGCATTAAGTCCGCCCTGTAGACATTATCTAATGGGGGAAAGGGATTGTTAGTAATGAAGACTGAGAATCCCATTGCTAGCAATATACCCAACCAGGTCGACCTCCTCGCAGTTCCCCCTGGAAACTATCTTGGTTAATTCCTGATGAATTCATCATGATGGACTAACTGGCCTGTTTTCATTCTCATCTATCACCCTTCACTGGTGCTCCGCCAGCGTATACAGTTAGCGCAGGCGGGGTTACCATACCATTTTCACCCATAAAAATAAAAAGATATACATATACAAATAAATTCACCCATTCCATTTATAGTATCTATAAGTATTAAAAAAATGTGTAACAATGTTGTCTTTATAAATAAACATACAAAAACAAGACAATGTTTACATTCTTGTACTGGGACATAATAAGCCGGACCGGTTACACTGGTAATGACTATAGGCAATTATCCGATAGTACCACGATTTACTAAAAATAATTGAGGAATGTCCATTTAAAACTGTGTGTGTCTATTTATATCTTTTTATATATTGTAACACACATGGTTATTTTGATATACAAAGTATACCTATATATAAACCTTAGATAATATACCATAGATATAGCATCGAGTCTCAAAAAAGGGGCAACTTTTTGTCAGCTAATTGTCAAATTAGCTGACTCGTTTTTTTTTAATTATTAGTATTTTATATATTTAATACTACATAAAATGTATCTTGGCGTATTATTTAATAAATAAAATGAGTTTTTACGCATTAAAAAGATGTAAAAAAATTGAAAAACGAAATAAATATAGACGTTATAAAGGAAACACTCATAAGTATTTATCACGCAAAATTGTATGAAAATGTTGACCCGCTTTTCTCGAAGCATTTGTATGGAGACACTATATCTATATAATCTAAATAAGCAACATAGCCTGAAGGATAAGCAAGTTATATACAATTTTTTTACCAAGTGGCTACCAAACATACAGCCTGTCTGATAGTAAACAGTTACCGTAGCTACTTATATTGTATTATTATGAATGTGAGGCGCGCGTTACACTAGGAAAAAACCTTACTACGCTCTCTGTGAAGAGTTCCGTACTGTAGTCTCTAAAGATAGCAACGACAGAAAGGTTTACATACATGTTCCCGAAAGGAAACATATGTATCTGAAACCACATTTGCATGACTATTTTGGTACTAGGGTTTGAGGTTAGAACAACAATTTAAAAAAGGAACGTTGGCGCCAACATTCGTTAAAAAAAAACTAAGAGAAAATACATTCAAATAAAGAACGTAGTTTTTAAATTTATTAAAAAAAAGTCAAATTGATGCATGTTTACAAATAATGCTAAGTTATATAGTGCAAATTATATTTATATCTATGTAGTACGTAATCGAACACGAATATCTATTAAAAACAAACTTGAATGACCTCTGACTATCTGTAAGTGAAATAATTTCGATCTGTTTACTCTCGAGTAATAATTTTAAAGGTAAATAAGTGTTGTCATATATGTATATTTTTTAGAAAATTTTGTAAAAATAATTTAATAATAAATACCTCCAATAGGGAGGGCAATAAATAATAAGGATATTAATTGCCCCGGAGGTATATAACATATACAAGAGGGAGACTTTGTACAAAAATCGTTTGCTTGGGCACCTCTGTCCCATTCGTGAAGCAGTTGTGTTTGCATGGCTGTGTTTCAGTTTGAAGGGTGGGATATGGCAGTGAATTTTCAGGGTACAGAGGAATAACACCTGAGTCCTCGAGGAATGGCAACGCATGGAGTATCATGGGCATAACAGTATACTCTGTTATGTCCATGGTACTGCTCATGTCTATAAGCGACGGTTATCACTTTCCATCAGGTGGGCCGTCAGCTTGTTTGTCATTCTAAGTTGTATAAAAAATATAGCGTTAGCATATAGTCTCGAACTATAACAACAATAACTAACAAAAATAACAATAACGTCCTGAAATCATTATAAATATATGTAACTGTAAAAAAATCTGTTCTGCTTAATCTGTGAGCTATATACCGAATAAAAAAAAAAAAAAAAACAAAGAAAATGAGCAACCTTATTATAAAAAGATACTTATGAACAAAAAATATTATTATTGCGCAAGAATCGAATCTGCGACCATCAACAAGTCTACTTTTGAATCTAATATCCGATATCAATCTAATCTATTACCAATGACAGTTTTATACTAAATTTATGATACAAAAATTAGAAATTAGATTACAGTTTGCCATAGTTTATATTTAGCAATACTAATACAAGTAAGTATAAGTCAGAATAATATAGAACCAAGAAGTCGCTAGTATTGCAATTCGAGATTATAAAACATTTCAATTCTAATATCGATCTATTGGAATTAATTTCAAAGGTAACCCCACAAATCATAATCACCATCAAGGTCAATCAAATGAAGCTAAATAAACAGAGACGAAAAAAAAAACAAATTCGGACAAATTAAAACAATAATCAAGCATAAATGCATGGAAAAATATTACATCTAAATAATAAATAAATTGTTATTTATTTATTATTGACATTTTAATGTTTTAAAAAATCATTTGGATTACTAAAATAAAAAAAAAAACCTGCATCTTGCAGACTTCCTATTGTGTATACAAATAACAATTTAGATTCAAGATTATGGCCATTATTATTATTAAATTCATTATTATACGTAAAAACTCAAATGGTTAATACGTATTATTAATATGCAAGTCAGATGCATACACATTATATACATAATAAGGAAATCTTAAAGTAAAATCCAAATCTCGAAAATACAAAACATAAATGTTTACTCGCAATATAAAATCTAATTATTTAATTAAATGAAGCCCGACTATAGTTTTTTTTTTTTATACATATACAATATCTTGAATAAACTTAAGTATACGTAAGCAATTTGAAAAATTACAATAAAATAAAGATGTGCAATCAAACGTCTTTGCCTTGAAAATTATAAAAAAAAATATATCACGAACTCTATGGAAAGATTAAAGAAACACGACTCACCTTTGCGGCTTCGTATAGCGAATGGTTCCATATGCACGTTACTCACGATAGTGTTGTAACAATGACCAATATAAAATGATCTCATGATGAATCCAGAAACGACTATCATCATAGTGAATGTTGACAGAGATTACAATATTATGGGTCTTATTAGACTGGTTGTACAGACCGGTTTTATCCATTAATCAGTCCAAACGACCCAAGTTGTACTAAGCCACTTATCAACTTTTTGCTCATTGTTGCCAACATAAAAACCAGTCAAGTGCGAGTCATGCTCATTGGATTGTGTACATGTCATGGGTGACTAAAAACTAATGCGAATAAAATAAGCGAATCGAATGTACAATGAAAAAGTATAACATTTTTTTTTATAACATAAGGGCAAACGAGCATGTGGCCTCACCTGAAGGTAAATGATTACCGCCGTCCACATTAGAGAAATAAGTGTGTTGCCGGCATTTAAGTAAGGATGCTCTTTTCTTAAAAGTATCAATGTCGTATCGTACCAGAGGAAGACTTTGTACAAAAGTTGATTGCTTAGGTACCTCTGTCCCATTCGTGTTTCAACCGTGAAGCAGTTGTGTTTGCATGGCTGTGTTTCGGTTTGAAGGATGGGATATGGCGTGAATTTACTGGGTACAGAGGAATAACACTTGAGTTCTCAGGAATAGCAACGCATGGGGGGTATCATGGGCGAAACAGTATACTCTGTTATGTCCATGGTACTGCTCATGACTATAGGCGACGATTACCACTTTCCATCAGGTGGGCCGTCAGCTTGTTTGCTAAGTTAAGTGGCTAAGTTGTATAAAAAAAATCTGTTTGGAAATACTACTTCTGGGAGTTAGTTCTATAGGAATGGAAATAAACCATAGTTCTCATAATTTATAACACATCTATTTATACAGTGTCTAACCACAGACCGTCTAAGTAATAAAACATTGTTTTATCTGTGCATTAATATTAATTTGTAATTTTATGTGCCAAATCAATATATTTTTGTTATAAAATATATTTAACATCTGTCTATTGCAGGTAAAATTTTTTTTGTCATAAAACCAACTAGTTTTTTTCCTCAGATCCATTAAAATGTATATTGATAGGTTACATTGATTTATCTCAATTTTTTAAAATTGCAACATTTTATACTTGTACAAAGATTTTTTTCTTTTTTTTTTTTGTTGTTTATGAAATTAGATTAATAAGTTTTAAATAGAGCATCCCTCTCTACAAATGCTTTGCCAAAAACGCCCCAACTTTTTTTTATATGCATTTTTTTATTTTTGTATATGTCTAGTTTGTATATGTATCATAAACCGTAGCCTTTTACACAATTCAACATTGTGTGCTTGATTACTTGAATAGTGATATAAAATACATTTATTATTAAAAATACAAACATGACGCGCTTAATTTTATTAAAAATAAAGCCTTAGCCAACAGTTGGTTGGCGGCTTAACTAATCAATGTGAAATTTAATGTACACGTACTATATGGGATAAAGAAGTATATTTATTTATTTATTTAAGGACAACCAACAAAGCATATATTTATATCTACTTAAAATACATTATAATAAGGTTACGTTATAAAACTCTGCCTCAATTAAAGGCCGCCACGACATGCGTATTCATAATATATTATTATATATATGTAGATATAAATGTAGATATATAGATATAGGCTGTTTTTTATCACGGACAATAAATATAATCCTGGTCACGCGGACGAAGTCGCGAGTACAAACTAGTTCTCTAACGATTATATCTTTCACATTATATATTTTTGGGCACAAATTTAACCTAACTATATCTTCCGTGACACCTTATGAATCTTCTTATCCTAACTAGTCAATCAATGTAAATAAGGAAAACGTTCTAATAAAACATAATATAATGGTTTTTATAATACATGTTGATACTTATCCGGTACTGGGAAAATCCCGCGATCAACCGAGCCTGATAATTTTTTATTTTTATTATCGTTTATGCCTTAGACGCGTCTTTGAAAAAGTTACTGAATATAAGCCTCGGAATAATAATTCTTGTTAGCTGTATGTGTGCATGCCTTAACACGGCTTCCAGGGGGAATAGAAATTGTTAATTAATTAATTTATTTATTTAATTCTTCATTGTACACACCAGTTATAAGAATATGACAGAGGTAATCAAATGTACAAAAAGGCGAGCTCAACTCTAATAGAGTTTTCTTCCAGCAAACCCAAAGTGGAAAGGAGCATCAATGTCAGCGGTAGCGGTGTACAATATTGTGACAATTTTCTTAAAAAACTAGGCAAAATTAAATTAATAACATTATATTTAATAATATAGACTAAGGGCCCTATTGCTAGCTATATACCAGGTCGACCTCCACGTGGTCCCCCCTGGAAATCGTGCTGAATTCCAAGTGTATTTATTACGATGAGAGCTAACTGATCTGCCTTTTCATCCTCAACTATCATCCCTCACTGGTGTCCCCCAGTGTATACTACTAGCGCAGGTGGAGTCATCATTCCATCCCTTCCCATTAAAAAATAAACAAGGCTTCCAAGGAATTATTTCCGTAATTATGACGTTGCTATACGTATGAATGCATTATAGATTTTTCCTCAACACCTGGCACCAATCGTAGTCAATATCTAGGTAGGTTTTTAATTGGTGAGAACTGTAAGCCTGTCTGTGCTATCGGTGCACGCTGGCGGGGCACCGTTGAGAGATGACAGGTGAGAATGAAAACAGGTCAGTTAGCACATCATAGCAATTAACTACGATGGTTATACTGCCTATTGATATCAAAAAGTCCTTAACCTTATTTATATACGTATTGTATGTGATTTATGTGTGTATATTTTTTGTAATCAAGCTAACGGCCCACCTGATGGAAAGTGGTAACCGTCGCCTATAGACATGAGCAGAACCATGGACATAACAGAGTATACTGTTTTGCCCATGATACCCCCCATGCGTTGCTATTCCTGAGGACTCAGATGTTATTTTCTCCGTACCCAGTAAATTCACGCCATATCCCACCCTTCAAACCGAAACACAACTATGCAAACACAACTGCATCACGGTTGAAACACGAATGGGACAGAAGTACCCAAGCAATTGACTTTTGTACAAAATCAATATAATGTGTGCAAAAGCATAAATAATATGGTTTCCAGGGAGAACCGCATTGACGTCGACCTAATAGCGTATATCGCTAGCAATGGGTTTGTTACACCCCATAACTAACTATCCCTTTCCCCCAACATCGTGCATCGTACAACACATTCTAATTCGGGGGGAAAGGGATTGTTAGTAATGAGGTTTAATAGTCCCGTTGCTAGCAATTGACCCTCTCAGGTCGACCTCCACGCGGTCCCCCCTGGATACCATCATGATTAATTTTTGTCGAATTCATCATAATGGGCCAACTGACTTACATTCATTCTCACCTATCATCTTCCATTTGTGTCTCGTCTGTGTATACCGATAGCGCGGGCGGGGTTACCATTCCATTTTCATCTATTAAAAAAAAAACATATTCCAATTCATCATCTTGCATTTACGAAAATGATATTTCTAGTCAGCTAGCATAGGATCATACGGTCGCCATTACTTCCCTAGTAATGGGGATCACACGTAATTTAATTTCCCTTCTCTTTTCCATGCTAAATAATCCAGTGGTCCAATAGATATATTTATACAGAGCAATGTATCCCGAATTGTCATACAATCCTTCGGGACATACCGAAGGCGTTAGACCGCTGGTTACATAGACTACCGCTTTACAAAAACGCTTCTCAACTTGTTCATTTCAACTTTCATTTGTGAAATAAACATATGTATGCAATGCAGATATTAATGGAATTATAAATAAATCATTTTTAAAAAGCCAGGGGTCATCGCCTCGAAGGAAACCAGGTAACGATTATTTCGCAAGAAAACTGTCGTGCATGGTGAGAATTAGCTCATTGTGGTAACTGCAGTAGTAAATATGTAGATAGTAGATTCGATATTGAATCTTATGTCGCAACACTTTAAGCTGAATAATCGACGGTACGTTGTTTAATCAATCAACTGACGTGTTCAACTTGACATAGTTTTATAAGTAAACAAGCTATGCCTGCGGCTTTATTTGTAGGTACTATATGTACCTACAAATAAAGCCGCAGGCAACTTAGTTTTCAATGCACAATTTTGCAATTAAATACATTGCTAACATTCTATCAAACAAATCTAATTTCGGGAAAAGGTTGTTAGTAATTGGGTCTAACAGCCCCATTTCGGGGGGAAAGGGATTGTTAGTAATAGAGACTGAGAATCCCATTGCTAGTAATATACCCGACCAGGTCGACCTCCTCGCGGTTCTCCCTGGAAACTATCATGGTTAATTCCTGATGAATTCATCATGATGGGCTAATTGGCCTGTTTTCATTCTCATCTATCACCCTTCACTGGTGCTCCGCCAGCGTATCCCGTTAGCGCAGGCAGGGTTACCATACCATTTTCACCAATAAAAAAAAACAGTTCCTTTTCTAGTAATATAGGGTATATATCAGGTCGACCTCCACGCGGTTCTTGTTGGAAACAATCGTGATTAATTCTTGCTGAATCCGTCACAATGGACTAATTGACTTGGTTTCATCATCACATAGAATCATTCAATTGTGCCCCGCCAGTGCAAACCGATAGCGCAGATGGGGTTACCATTTCATTATCATCCACAAAGACCACGCGATTCCCTCTGGAAACTATCATGGTTAATTCTTGTGGAATACGTTACGATGGGCCAACTGACCCTTTATCATCCTTACCTATTGTGTCTCACCAATGCCAACGTATACCGATAGCGCAGGAAGAATTACCATTTTATTTTAACCTATTAAAAAAATCCTTATCTCTTTCGTCTGTAAGAGAGTTGATATGTATCACTTTATTATCCTCTTGTACAATCTAATAATAGGGCAAGGAAATTTCTAGAAATAATCTTCTTCCTATATCATTATATTAATAATTATAATTACATATAACAAATAATAACTTTGTATTACATCATATAAAAATACGTAGTTGAATTCGAATTAGTATATCGCATAAAAACTTGTTCTTTAGTTTATATATATATATATATATATATATATATATATATATATATATATATATATATATATATATAGAGAGAGAGAGAGATATAGTGGTTTCAACGTTAATACCGTTGTTTTTAAATAATTTAATTTAAAACGAAATTTATTATTTTGCAAATTTAAACTCAAATCATTTTTGTAAATAATATTCTCGCGACATCTTCGTCAATTAGGTATGACCTAATTTTGTTCCATCGAAAATATAATACCCATATTAAATTTATACAAATTTTATAAAGAAGTAGATATCTTTTTTTTTAATGAAATAATAAATTATGAAAGAATTATTTGTTCTTGATTTTCCAAATTAAAAATTAACGTATGTTCATCTCTGGACTGTATACTATTTTTATACAATATTTAATGAAAATTGATTTAGTCACCAATGCGTGAAAAAGTGATAAAGAAACATGAATGATTCCTTTGTAACTTCTATATTTATTTTGTCTTATAAATTCTGCAGCTTTTTAATTCGCAAAAATTTATTTTATTTATTAAATAATTAAGTATAGATACGTCTAGATACATTGTATGTGTAATTATATAAAACATTATTAAAAAAACGAGTCAGCCAATTTGGAAATTAGCTGACAAAAAATTTACCCATATTTGAGACTCGATACTCTATGTATATAACCTAAAGTTACATGCAATATTTATTTCATGTAGCACAAAATATTATTTTTAAATTTTTTATAAGAGAAACCGTTAAATCTATGACTATTATAAATTTTTTTATTAAAAACTCACCCAATCTCACTGAAAACTATGCACTTTATAACTTGGCAATCGGGCTAGAAGTTTAAAAGAAATTCAACTTTGAAAAATGAATCGTTCAAGTCGCGCGGCCGGTCTGAACGTATCTCGAAACTGTACACGGAGTCAGCTGTTTAGTAATAAACCCCTACTGTAGTAATATGTGTATATACTGTAGTAGTATGTAGTAGTTACCACAGTACTAAGTTCTCATTAGTTCAGCTGTTACGTAGAACCGTTAAACAGAAGAAGAATTAGTAGGTAGCAAACTAAATTTTTATAAACCGTTCTTTTTAGTTGATTACACAGTGAACGCTCTATATAAATAATAATGTAATAATAATAATGTAATTGTTAATTTTATTTGACCATATTATTTATTATTATTAATATGTACATACACACATTTATTGATTTGACTTGATAATTGTTTGAGAATTGTTTTTTCTTTTTTTATTATTCTATAATCTTAATTATCACTAAGTTAAATTTGTATCCTTCATTAAGCAATAAATTAGATTTGCATGCCTACAATATTAAGGCAATTAAACAGATGCCAAAAAGTTTTGTCACATGACCCTTATAATGTCAAATGTATGTTTAAAGCAAATAAATATTTCATTTTATTTATAAGCAACTCAATTGAACAAATTTCAATAAAAAAAGTTTCTTATTGGGAAAAGTTGCTTAAAGGAAAAAAAGGAGTATAAAAATACTTACCGTCTGGAAAAATATTTTTACTTATTTCTTTTACTAACTAAGCTGAGTAGAATAAATAAAATATAAAGAATGTTGCTTATAGAGAGGTTGCTTATATAGAGCGTTCACTGTATTTGTATCCTGATTAGCAAGCGTAAGTACTATTCTATATTGACAAGTCTTTATACAATAGCTTTCATATCATAGACTATTAACAGGCCCAAAATCGCACGATTTATATTATTATTTTCGAAAATAATAATATAAATCTATATATATTATCGGCCTTCCTCGCCGATTCCTATAGTTGAAAGAGTTTTTAAAATCGATTGAGTAGTTTTTAAGTCTATCCATTACAAACAATCAGATCTTACCTCTTTAAAATATTAGCATTGATAAAAAAAATTTAATCTTTTTTTCCTTATATTTTATTTTTCCTAATTAAAAAATTTATTTAAAAATCTTATAAGCCTATGAAGGGTTCGTTGTATAGAACAATAAAATAGAAAATACTTAATAAAGATGTATTATATGTTTCCCAGTACAATAATAGTGATATTTAAAAATGACGTTCTCTAATAACAAAATATTAATTAACAGATAAAGAAAATAAATAAATTCCATTTTTAAAAGTAACATTAATAAAACCTCAACAAGGCCCATAATATTTTACACTTCCAATATGGCATCAGGTAAAAACAATATAGGAAATTACCTATTACATCTCACATACATAAAACATAGTAATTACTTGCTTAGTATACTTATACCATACACGTGCATACGAATAAAGTGGAAAACTACCTTTTTTATTTAAACTAAAAAGTAAATAGTACTTACATTTTTTCCCGGAAAATATCTAATCACAATTTTAACTTCCTGCACGTGTATCCAACTGTAGAAGAAGGCTAGTGTCTGCATATATATGAGAAGATGAATTGCTTAAATAGTATCAGTGCGGATTCATTTTCCTGTGAGGATGCGATTAATAAAAAATGCCGTTATGTCTATTGCAGTAATTTGCTTCGTGCAAAAAAAAAAAACAAAGTAAACAAGTTGATAGGAATTGCAATTTTAAAAACCATTTCAAAATAAATTTTAAAACTAAAACCCGACTTAAACGTGTGAAACAAGATAATATTTTTATCTGAAATAATTATGTACAAACTATATTAAATATTTATATCGTATAACCTTTTTTACTACATACGTATATATCGTTTGGTTGTAATTTTATTTTTATAAAAAAAATATTTAAAAATAAAACATTAGTTTTACTCCTTTAAAAAACTACTATAATATAAAAGGGCGATTATACAAAAGTTGTTTGCTTGGATACCTCCGTCCCATTTGTGTTTCTGTCGTGAAGCTACTATAATATCAAATGGAGCTATACAAAAGTCGTTTGCTTGGATACCTCCGTCCCATTTGTGTTTCTGTCGTGAAGCAGTTGTTTGCATGGCTATGTTTCGGTTTAAAGGATGAGATATGGCAATGAAATTACAGGGTACAGGGGTTTTCCCCTTGTATTTCGCATATAGAGATGTATTTCGTATTTTAACGCATATAGTTTAAGCACATTTTATAAGAAGCACTGTGTGATAGTTAAATATATATAAATATATATGTATTTAAGTCTATTATACTTATATAATAATATATCCGGGGAAATATATATAAATATAGTTTGTATAAGTTTATTATTACGTGTTATTAAATGCCTTTAGGCTATCTATTATATTTACCAAATGTGTTTTGAATGGATTAGTACAGTTTTTGTTCTTGATTATGTGCTGAAAAGAGTGCTCCTACACAGTTGTCTGAATACAAAAGGTTCAAATTGCTCAGCGAGCTATAGAGAGGGCTATGCTCAAAGTTTCTCTATGTTCAATAGTGGACAGAAAATAGGTGATGATGATGATTTGAATCCGACGTGATATGGGACGAGCATGTCACCGTTACTCGGATTGATTAAATCTGTTTACAGTATTTTCCATGACTGAGGACTTAATAGAAAATTTAAACCGGGTCAGTTAGATAATTTTCATTATTTATCTGCTAACTGACAACTCAGACAACAAGAGCGCGCTGGTCGCGTAGTGCAGCTCGCGATACAGCTGTGAACCGCCCTCATGAATAAAATCTCCTATTGAGTTCGCAACTAGTTCTGCATACCCAATTTTAAAACGTGAGTAAAGACATAAACAATTGCAATTCTGAAAACGTTTAACTGCGGTCTAGGAGTCCCAAAGTCGATCGCATGTTTAAATCATTCAAATATAGTCGCTTGCTTTGTGCTTCGAAGGGTAAGTAAAGCAAGCATTCGCGTAGTAAGCCACGTCAGAAGCGAAAACATATGACGTGGCTAACTGAACACCCAGGGGGGGGGAAGGATTGTTAGTAATGGAATTTATCAGCCCCATTGCTAGCAATATACCTTATTAGGTCAACCTCCACGTGGTTCCCCTGGAAATCATCGTGAACAATTCTTGTTGAATTCGTTACGATGGGCTAACTGGCCTGCTTCATCCTCACCTATCATCCTTCACTGGTGCCCCGCCGGTGTATAACGATAGCGCGGGTGGGTATACTATTCCATTATCATCCATTGAAAAAAACTGTACACCCACACATTCACTGTACACACCAAAGGGTGATAATCTCAAGTGAATGATCCTATTAATATAATAAATGCGAAAGGTTATAACGATAGACGGATGGACGAATGTTACTCTTTCATGCAAAAACTACTAAACAGACTAACAAAATTTGGTACACGAGTACACGAGTACATTATATCCTAACTTAGCACTAAGGATACTTTTTTTTTTATACAACTTAGAATGGCAAACAAGCCGACGGTCCACCTGATGGAAAGTGGTAAACGTCGCCTATAGACATGACCAGTACCATGGACATAACAGAGTATACTGTCTCGCCCATGCGTTGCCATTCCTGAGGACTCAGGTGTTATTTCTCTGTACCCAGTAAATTCACGCCATACCCACCCTTCAAACCAAAACACAGCCATGCAAACACAGTTGCTTTACGGTTGAAACACGAATGAGACAGAGGTACCCAAGCAATCGACTTTTGTACAAAGTCTCAACTTACTATACTTATAACTTAACATACTTTATGTACAAACAAGCAAGAAAAGCTACGAGATACAACTAGTATTTTAAATGCGAATGTTTGCAAGGATTGGTGGATCCATGTTTGTCACTCTCTCACGTTAAATCTACCATACAAATTTGAATAAAATTTAGTACACAAGTTTATAGTCTAACTCAGCACATAGAATTCTTTGTGTACCGATTTAAGCGGACAAAACCGCGAGATACGGCTAGTAAATAAATATTATAACGACACAGTGGTGGGGTCTTTGTCCAATATTTTTCTATGACACACAATGGCATACTGCATCATGCGATAATAATGTATCTAGGGTAAACTCATACAGGAAAATACACACTGAAGCTACATTGTTGAAATTTTTTGCAATCACTTATTCGTGCATATTAAGATACGATGACACAAACAATACATTGTTTTTACCGCAAAATACACAACAGATTGTAACATGGTGAATTTAAGAGATAAATTTAATATAATACAATTAATATTTCAAGGAATCTACATTAGTCGGTAACTCAACAAGTAGGTTGATCAAAATCACATTTAAGAGTATTTACAATTTTTTTATGAATGATAAAGGAATTTGGAATATCCTAAATAATAATGGTAACTAACGCCTATGCTAACAAAATACACTAGCGTGGCACCAGTAAGGTAGAAAAGGTGAGGATAAAAAGGTAGGTCAGTTAGCCCATCGTGACAAGTACACCTGGAGGAAAGGGATTGTTATATACCCAACCAGGTCGACCTCCTCGCGGTTCTCCCTGGAAACTATCATGGTTAATTCCTGATGAATTCATCATGATGGGCTAACTGGCCTGTTTTCATTCTCATCTATCACCCTTCACTGGTGCTCCGCAAGCGTATACCGTTAGCGCAGGCGGGGTTACCATACCACTTTCACCCATAAAAAAAAATGTCATTGTATATTTTTATTTTTGCAATAGAGTTAAATAAATAAATAACTGAAAAAGTACTAATAAGTGGTTTCTATCAAATAAATCGTTCTGTTTCGTAATAAAAATATATTTCTGTTATAAAAATGTTCAATAATAGAAGTCTATACAATTATAAAAACTGCTGCAGCCGACAAATGCTTCTAAATACCCCATTTGGGAATGTGGTCGCGGGCATATTTGTATTTTTTTTATAAAAAATTATACAGTCGTCAGTTACGCCAATACATTATGCTTCACCAGAATGGGCCGGTCACTCAACCAGGCTCCGGGGTCTGTAGATCATCAGCCCTGGTGACAGGCGGCGCTGGCTCCCCTTGCAGCTGTGAGAGGGCGCACCTGACCGCGGACAGCATCTCAGGCGTGGACTTGCGACTTCGCGGCGCGTGCGGTCGATGAGGTCGCGACATACGATCTGCTGTCGCTGTCGACTCTAATAACAATTTAAGATTTAAAGAAACAAAAACTTTATTTGTATTTAACTCGAAAGTATAAGTAATCGTCTAAAAAAAGAAGCATCCAAATCGGTTTTTTTATTCACGAAAATGGGACTATTACCTTGTCTGAATTATTTGGCAGAATAAAGTTTGATATCATGAGTTTTTTTTTATAATACAGAGGGCAAACGAGCATGCGGCTTGCCTGTTACTAAGTGACTAATACCGCCCATGAGTATCCGCAACACCAGAGGAATTACATGAGTGCTGTCGGTCTTTTAAAAAGGAATATGTTTTATTCTTGAAAAAAAAGGTTTAAAAAAAATAAAACCGCTGATCATCAATAGTTCGAACCATCCGAAGTCGAAATTTGTCCAATGGGAAAAGCTGGTACTGTGGCGCTACAGCCCAGAGGTGAGATCGATATACCATATGTGGCTGTGCTTGAGCTTAATACAATTGCAAGCGATCTACCCGTGTAAAATACCATCTCACTCTACTGAACACTCCTTATATTTTATCCTTTTCCATCTTAGCCTTTTCCCCCAAATAACCATAAACCTGGACGTTACTGGAAATATCAACGACAAAAATCTCCAGGCTCAATATCAAAGGGAGTGTTTTGAAACTGATAGGAAATAAGACAAACTTTTATAAAAGGAACGTGGAGATTTGTCTTCTATTAATCCAATTCAACCTTAGGGTTGGATAATATTGTGTTTACACAAAACTAAAACTTTATCGAGTAAGGTTTCGATTTTCAATAGAATTCTGTTCTAGCACCCATCAATGACATAACGACAGACGTTATAAGAATAAATATTATGAATAACGCCTGACAGGCAGCTGTTAGCAAAATTACTAAAGTGCAATCTTTTGCTAATAACTTTATAGAAGTTTATGCAAGCTACACTGCAGATTTCAGCTCAAAAATCAAAATTCAAAATAATAATATTACATATCATTTTGATTTTTGTCTTTAGTGAAAATAGTTAAACACTAAATTATCTAGCCTCAATGTAGGAGTTATTAATAAACATATATTTGGATACCTATCTTTAAATTTTTAATAGACATTTATATCATTTCATATATGCTGTTGGTTAATAACACTAAAATTTTTGATATTTTTATAATAGTAACATTTTCTGCTTTTCTTCTTTAAAATAAATGTGAATTCATCTAAACTATGTCTCTTTGTTTTATTCACCGAAACCAATAGCGAATCTACAATCCATGACACCTTCCTACAAAAGCAATATCCTATATGCCTATCAAAAACTTCGCATATCTACAAATATAATTTATATTCAACTTGTTTATTATATTCTACTTGGGCAGTTTAAATGGCTACTAATTTTTAAATAATTTAGGAAACATACGGTTAATTCTCGACCGATCACGCTGCAACGCAACGTCGTCCATTCTCTGGCAGCAAGTACAGAAATAGCACGGCACACCGGGTATACCACAACACAACATCCCCCATATCCACCTGTTTAGGATACGTGTAATTCTGGACCATGTACTAGGTTGTGTTCCTTGATGATTGTATACAAATTCTCGATTCATTATCTAGATATCTTCCCTAATTTCGTCATCATAGAATCATTGTGAGTATTCTAGTGGGACGAGTCTGAATTAGTGTTGCTAGTAAAACTACATAATTATTGGGAATCGATTATTGATCGATTGTTACATTGCCAATAATACTATCTACTTAATTAATTACAAACGATATTATAGATCGTCTAAAAATAATTAAGATTATTATTGACATTATTGACATCGCCGTGTCGGTCCTGACATAGAATGGGCCACCCCTTCCATTCCTGTAGGTGTCGTAAGAGACGATTAAAGAATGGCAAGGGATTGACAGCAGCGTCCCTCTTAAAACATTTGTAAAAGCCTAACTGCGGTTGCCAATCTGCCGGCCAAGAGAGGCAACTACTGGCAAAATTACCCTTATGGAGAAGGCTTAAGGTTAAGGGCTGAAATAATAATTATTGAAATTAGTTATCACTAGCAAGTGGATAATGCAATACATACTATCCACTTATTTATTTAGCTACTTACTTTTAGGAAATTTGACATCTAAATAAGATGTTACTAAACATATAACAATATTCTTTTGACAATCATGTTATTAATTCATCATTAAAAAAGATAGTCAATGTATAGTGCTGTTTGGAACTTTCGATTAATACATTAAATTATTTCATACCGCATTGATGTAAACAATTCAATTTCAATTATGTTAGTTTAACAGTTATTTCATATTGAATAGATATAATCGATTTAAATTGTAATGTATTATGTTCAACACAATCGATTAATTATACGACTATTCTTAACCAACACTAGACTAATTTGACAAGACTTGTCAAAATATTTCTACTCTAATTTTTTATTACCGGCCAGCATTCACAGAAAAATATAAATGAGGTTTACATTTGGTCTGTGGTATTTTATAAATTATATTTATTTCTCATTTGTTTAGAATTGGCGCTCAGTCAAGAATTAGTATAACACGACAAAGAATTTGACTATATAATCTAATATATATAATATATCATATAATAATATAATATATAATAATATAATATATAATAATATCTAATAATATGTGTGTTGTGAACACACCAAAATGTAGTACAAAGCTAAAAATATTTAATACAATAAGAGCAAAAAATGCTAATTATTTCGATTTCATTATGATTACATAGGTAAATAAAATATATTATACATTATATATATGTATATATATATATATATATATATATATATTTTATATATATATTTTATATTTTATATTCCATTCATAACTATTTTAGTAACATGTCAGTAGTAATTATTTCTTGATATAAATAAAGCTAGCTTCAATATCTCGATAAAGAAATACATATTGAATAATTAAAATGTAATACAATTACTACAATAAAAAATAATGTAATACAATAAACAAAATTACGATCGTCATTAGACATTGATTATGCGATGTAGGTGTGTCCACAAAAATCTAAAGTATGTACCTGTGTGTCAAAGAAAAACAAACAAAAAACATTAGCAGTAAAAAAATTTAATACCATAAATCGGTTCGCAGACTATAAAACTTCAGCGTATAACGTGCATTGCATTTAAATAGTTATTAAATAATGAACCAGGAGCGAGCAATTTATTCGAGTAAAAAATAACACTAACATAATAATTCAGTCAACTGACTAGAGACTTTTTTAACATCAATAACTACAAACCAGATAGACGTGGCAACATAATATTATATATTTTTAATTAACAAAACCTTTAGCAACATAATATTATATATTTTTAATTAACAAAACCTTTAATTAACCCCACATGGGAGAATAAAAAAGTTGCTCAGTTTAAATGACCTATATAGATAGAGCATTAATTGTCAAAAACAGATTAAATTTACCAGAAATTAACTGAAGTCAATGGCTGTATATACTTAGTCCTTTTGCCTTCTCTATTGACAAGGAAAACACTTTGAGAAAACCTAAGGGAAAACAGAACCAAAAAAGTATTCCAGACAAATTATCATATTGAAGACTAGGCAGCATGGTCTCCGACCTTAGCCTGTTCCACAACGGAACAAACGTACTAAAAAAAAAACAAAAATGTTCATAATTTATTCAGCCAACATAAATTTAGTATATTGAATTTAGGCATATTAAAAAAAAAACAAAGCAAAGCGCGCCATTTTCCAATGTTATTGTTTAATTGGTTTAAAAATTCTGTCTATCAGGTTTCTTTTTTTATTTATTTAAATTGGAAACTGTTTTATCTGATATATAATAACCACGATGGTTTATAAACGTTACTATTTTCCCGTGAGTTTTATTTAAAACATTTTATTTTGACCAACTCTTTCTTGGTTAGTTCGATAGCAAGACGTACATAAGCATCAATTGTCGAAGGCTGAACACAATGTTGGACCGGACTCGTGATACATTAAAAAAAAATATACATTTCATAAATTTCATTGAATAATTATAAGTCCTATGTGTAAAGCATCACCAAAATGCTAACTTCGGTTGCGAACCTGCCTGCCAAGCGTGGCAACTACTAGCAAAAACCCCCTCACGGGGGGGGGGGGGGGAGGGATTGTTAGTAAAGGGGTCAAATAGCCCTATTACTAGCAATATACCCTGTCAGGTCGACCTCCACGTGGTTCTCCCTGGATGGGCTAACTGACCTACTTTCATCTTCATCTGTCATCCCTCACTGGTGCCCTGCCAGTGTATACCAATAGCGCAGACGGGGTTATCATACCATTATCACCCATTAAAAAAATCCCCCCTCATGGGAAAGGCCTGTGTTCAGTACTGGACAGTTAACGGCTGAGAGAATGATGACGATAATGTATAAATGGCAGGCTCTCAACATGTAAGGATACTTGATTCGCCCCATGGGATAGGTCATTTACAAACCTTTCGTACAGCAGCCGTTAGCAAACTTTCTGCTCGTTTTTAGTTATTTCATGCTGCCAGTAACCAGGATGAATTCACTAAAACACGCACGAAATCTACTAATAGTCTGTTTTCCTCTCCTTCCTCTATTCTCTTCTTTATTTTGCACATTAAATTATAAGTTTGGAATAAATAATTTAAAAATATTAATTTTGATGTGTTTTTTATCCAATTTAGACTGGCAAACAAGCTGACGGGCCACCTGATGAAAAGTGGTAACCGTCGCCTATAGACATGAACAGTACCATGGACATAACAGAGTGTACTGTTTCACCCATAACAGCCCCAATCTCATGTGATAGTATTGATCCCATTTATGATGAGTGAGTATATTTCAATATCAACATTATATGATTTACAGATTAAAAAAACTGGACATATGCCAGTAAGACATATATTATACAAGATGGGTCTATCCTCGGACACTGTGCAGACTGTGCAGTGAGGAATAGGAATCCATTAAATTCTTGATGTGCAACTGCGATTCGTTGGCAAGTGTACGTATGAATTTAGTGAGAACGGCTTATCCAGAACCAGGGAGCTACAGCTATCTTAAATACGTTAAGGTATACACAAAGGATCTATAAAATTATGGTATAAGGCAGGGGGGAAACACAAAAGATCCCGATGGGTCGACGTGCAACCACTTAACTGACCCCATACGCGAATAAAAGATAAAATAAGGTACAAAATCACGTAAATATTTTATGGATATTTATTCATACGTAACTATGTCTGAGTAGTTTATGCACCATCACGACGTATAAAATTTCATAATGAACAGTTAGCCATAACATTGAAGGCTACACTGTGGTGGACACAAGACATAAGCCTGCTTCCTACATCGACTTCCACTCAATAACTTAAACAATGCCGTGTCTAAGTTATCATTACATCATTCGTCTCAATTACAGAGCCTTGGCCATCTCGGGACTAAGTAATGACAAGCCACCGTAACGTGTGGTCGCCTCACTAGCTATTAATAAAAAAAATCACCAGCAGAACAGATTCCGTATTGTAATCATTGATTCCCAACGAGTTGTACACTAAACACGCACACGAGCGTTCCTTTGCTTAATTAAAAAAAAACATACTTTAATTATTTTTAAAAATGAACCTTCGAATTCACGTGTTTTTCGGCCAGTTGCTGTGGCTAATAGCGGTTTTGAATGGCAAGACCTTGCAAGGAGTCCCAGGATACGGAAGGAACCTCATTATAAAAACTTTACCAGCCATAGAGGATTACCAAAGCAACGTGTACGAAGTCTATATGGAACCTTATTTATATGTAAGTAAAAAATAATTTTAATCTTTAACTAAATAAAAAAAAAAATATATGCAAACGACTATAATCCCTGACGAGATAATCAAGGGCAGTTGTCGACTATAGCCGTTGTGATACATGTTCACCACAATATTCGACATGTCCAAATTTCGCCGAGCATATTAGAATCCAAAGTGCCCAAAGTGTAGGGTGTGTAAACCTACCGCCGTTTTTATTGTCGATGTAAAAGAAGAGCCAGAAAATTAAATTGACGCACAGTTTTTATTATCTGCGAGATTCGAATTCACCACTTTTAAGGTCCAAATAATATAGCACTGGGCATCGACGCTCATTTTATGTAGAATAATATCTACGTACCCTATTTTACTGAGTATATATAATTGTTACATAATAATTGTTACTTCATTTTCTCGCATTGTATAACTATGTTAAAGTAAATGCTGTAAATACCTATAATAGGCATGTGCATTAATATTGTATTGTATTCAATGTTTGTTATATATGTTATAATGCAATATGCTGTTGGTGTTCCTTTAAATAAATAAATAAATGAGTATAGTTTCTACGTCATCCCTTAATATACAACGTAATAAAAAAAATAAAAAATAAAAAACAAACAATAAAAACAATAAATGGAATATTATAAACTATCATCCATTTATTTATTTCAGAAAAAAAAGAGCTTTATTTTTACATAAACATATGCTAAGAACGTTTACTGTTTGTCCTATAACTTTGATTTCTATTCGCTTTTTGCCCGCTACTTAGAACGTGTGGATTTCAAAATAAAAAAACTGATCAACTAGTTCTAGATGGCGTATAAAAACATACCATACCATAATAATTCCCGTGAATACACCATAATTGATCTCAGTATTTAAACTTTATTGTACTCTTTAACACAGGGTTCTGCAAACATTTACAATGTCGCATGTTGAACGTATGAATGAATAATTAGGTAAAGAATATAGTACGAGTATGAAGGTACTTACGTAATTGTTTTTTTAATTTACTAACACAGGTCAAATACGCTCACAGCTTTGATTATAAAATAAGTGTCTTCATGCAAACGCTTTGCAAAAACAGATCGGTCTTTTTATTTATGTATGCGTGAATAGACACACCCAGAATATATAGTTATTACTCTATTGTAGGATATATATATATATATATATATATATATATATATATATATATATATATATATATATATATATATATATATATATATATATATATATATATATATATATATATATATATATTTTTTTTTTGTTTGTTCATTAAGAATAAACTCGGAAACCAAACCGATAATATAAAATTCTTTCACTAGCTACATTATCAATGAATGACATAAGCCAAGTATTATTTTCGAAAATTCTACCTCCCTATGCAATACCGGGCTAATAATACTAGTCTATACTAATATTATAAATACAAAAGATTTAATTGTTAATAATGTATAAACTCAAAAATCAATATCAGATCAATGACATAATATATTTATAAGTAATGAGGAGTCGGAGTCAGAATATCACTATTTCCGTTATGATGATCAAGGAAAGAAGGAGTTGTTAGTAATATTAGGTCGACTTCTACGTAATTCCTCCTGGTAACCACCGTAGTTAGGGGGGAAAGGGATTGTTAGTAATGGAGACTAAATTCCCATTGCTAGCAATATACCCAACCTTGTCGACCTCCTCGGGGTTCCCCCTGGAAACTATCATGGTTAATTCCTGATGAATTTATCATGATGAGCTAACTGGCCTGTTTTTATTCTCATCTATCGCCCTTCACTGGTGCTCCGCAAGCGTACCCCGTTAGCGCAGGCGGGGTTACCATACCATTTTCATCCACCAAAAAAAACCACCGCAGTTAATTCTTAGTGAATGTCGCCCTCACCTATCATCCCTCACTGATTGGTCAAAAAATTAAAAACATGAAATCATTAACGTCTTATATGAAAAAGTTTTTACCAGTAGCTCTAAACATTTTTTCCAAAGAAAAACAACTGAAAACTGTACAATATTTTGAGTCTCTTATAGTATCAACACCAATTAATATGTGATACAAATTATTTATTTAACACTTTATTGCATCAATTCTTGAAGGATATTCAATAAGTATAGAGTAGTAGAAAAAGCAGTCTTATTGCTAAGCAATCCATTCCAGACAGTCTTTTAATTATTTCTGATTTCATTCTGTATGTGTAAAAAATTTTCTTCTATTCCATATACCAAGAAACTAGTGAATTGTTCAATTATTGTCCAAGATTAAACGTCTAGTGAAACCTTAATAAATTAAAAATCACTTCCTGGATCAATTGACATTTTATTATTAATTCATTATTTGTATGTGACGTTGTTTATATGTAAAATTGTAGCATGTTTGTGATTTTGCAGTTGTACAGTATAAAAATCCTATAATATTCGACACAATGTAATATTGTTATAGAATAAATTGAATTGAATTGAATTGAATTGTTTGTAGAGAAACTTAGTACTTTAATAAATTAGACTTCTTGGATTGATATTTTGTTAGTACTTTATGAAATAAATTAACAAAGAAAGTTTACGCGAACCGAATTTTCAATAAAAGCCACCATATTTGTGTAAAATGGTGAAAAAACCGCAGCTTTTTGCCGAAGCAACGGCGGTTTGTTGAACTTGTGCACCGGCCGTGTCTGTTTCCAACAAAATATCAACTTTCGTGAACGGCCATTTACTTTTTGCAACCCATGTCTCGGTCTTTGAACTCTAGAAGAGATACTGTAGATGATTTTTATGGAATTCATTTGTAAAAATATAACATTATCAATCGTTTGATACTAACACCATCTAGGGGGCATTTTCATAAACATGGCCATCTAATTAACAAAGATTGTACAGAAGTTGTCTACACAGACCGTCTACCATGAAATCTTTTTTGGGACTTTCGGGGACGAACGAAACACAAAATTGATATTAAAATTACATAAAATATACCGTTTAAAAATATTAAAGTATAGTAGTCCTTTGGATTATTATGGTAGGATTTATTCACTAGATCGATTTCAGTACGAACAAAGACACGAAATTGAGGCCGAAAATTCGAAATTTCATATCATGATAGACCCGCAGTAGTGTACTTCCGTTCTACTCATGTTTCTGTCGCTAAGCAGTTGTACCTACGAGGCTATTTCTGTTTGAAGGGTGGGATATAGCAGTTAAATTCCAAGGTACAGAGGCATACAACTGTAGTCCTCAGGAATGACACTATATGAGTGTTTTTTAATAGATGTTAATGGAATGGTCGACCCCGTCGTGGTTATTCATAACCATAACGTGAATCATTCACGATGGGCTAACTGACTGTCCATCCTCACCTATCATTCTTGACTGGTGCCCCATTGCTAGCAATATACGCTTATGGGGTTACCTCCGTTATCATCCATTTAAAAAAAAAACCATCGTGAATAATTCTTGTTGAATTCGTCACGATGGGACTTTGTACAAAAGTCGATTGCTTGGGTACCTCTTCATCCTCACCGTGAAGCAGTTGTGTTTGCTTCACTGGTGCCCCGAATTTACGGGTACAGAGGAATAACCGAGTCCTCAGGAATGGCAACGCGGGTGGGCGAAACATTACCATTATCATCCATTTAAAAAAAACCACATCAGTGAGGGTCATGATTGTTGAGATTCTAAGTTCTATAAAAAAAAAAAAAAAAAAAAAAAAAAAAAAAAAAAAAAAAAAAAAAAAAAAAAAAAAGGTCAGTGATCCCATCGTGACGAATTTCACAAGAATTAACCAAGATAGTTTCCAAGGGCAACAGTGTTGAGACCAACCTGATAGGATATATTGCTGGCAGTGGAACTTTTAAACCCCATTACTAATCCTTTCCCATAATGAGGATAGATGCTATGGCGTCACGTGAGGTCCATGATAGTGTGCCATTTTCACAGATGGGTTTGATTTATTCTATGTCGTATTTAAAAAAAGTTTGTTCTCTGAATATTTGGTGTAATCTGTAATATTGTTACGTTTCAGGACCTGAGCCGACCGGTTTATCCTCTGTCGGGTAATCGTGCTGAAAAACAAATCGATTTGGCCATTGTAAGTACATGCTTCATTTTTAATTATCCTTATTGCTCTAAACGTTTTTTTTTTTTTTGTTAGAGGTGTATTTGTTCAAACAGTTCATCATAACTGAGGTTTTCCTAAGAGTCTACAGCATGGGGTTCTTCAAAAGGGGGGTAAAGAGGTTTCTTCAGGGTCGGCAATGCGCACGTAATGCCTCTGGTATTGCAGGTGTTCATAGGCTACGATAACCACTTACCATCAATAGGTCGTATACTTACTTGCCACCTTAGTAGTATAAAAAAAAAACCTTCAAGAAAAGAGCATATTCCTTTTTAAAAGACCGACAGCACATCCGCAATGCCTTTGGTGTTGTGAATGATCATGGGCGGCGGTAGTCACTTAGCATCATGTGAGCCGCATGCTCGTTCGCCCCCTGGGTTGTAAAAAAATTATAATCTTTTTTATGCAACTTAGACTGGCAAACAAGCTGACGGCCCACCTGATGGAAAGTAGTAATCATCGCCTGTAGACATAAACAGTAGCAAGCAGTAGCAACAGTAGTGGAAAAAACATACTATACTGTGTCGCCCACGATACCCCTCATGTATTGCCATTCCTGGGGACTAAGGTGTTATGCATCTATATCCTGTAAATTCAATATCATATCCCACTCTTTAAACTAAAACACAGCCATGTAAACACAACTGCTGCACGGCAGAAACACGAATTAGGCAGAGGTACCCAAACAAACGACTTTTGTACAAAATCTCTCTCTGGTGTACAATTTATAAAGTACCTTCAAGTAATTATTAGATTCGGAACCCTAAATATATTCATAAAATCTTAAAAATTAATTAAACATTTTTTTTTATCATTTTAAATTAATTGCCCAGGGTCAGAGGTTACTGTTTTATAATCACCTGTAACTTGCAATATTAAAAAAAAAGTAACTATAAACAAACCGATAGAGTTCGCAGTTCAATCATATCTTCACTAAACTTGTGACCCTGAAGATAGGCGTTACCATAGATTATATGCGTATCTTACCGTAAAATTAAATATATCCGCGCAGTATCATAGATAAAGCATGCTTGAGCGTCACGACTAAATAAATAGGCTTCCTCTAGAATTAATAGCTGTTAATCTAAGCCAGGGTTGGTCTATGACATCACATCAATGAATGTACTTGTCATGTGGTGTGAGAAATCATCGAATCGTGATGTGTATAAGTGAGCTTGCTTCGAATAAGGAAGACAATATAGCAGTATAATTTGTCTCTGTATACAGCACGTATATTTTGTTTAAAAAAAAACAATTTCAATTGTAAACACAAATATACACAGGCATAAACGACTAAATATTTTATAGACATATTACATTGACAATATCTTAATTATTGTCAATGTTATAATTATTGTTTAGATTTTAAAAAATTCACATCTTATCTTAAGGAGAGGAGATAGCAAACTAACCCCCGGCAGAAGCACAGTCGGCCGGGGTTCAGGGCCCCAGGGAGAGAAACCGGCGTACAATGCGGGCAGAATCTAAGAGCACCGTTTTCTGCATCTTTTCCCTAAAGTGAGCCGCCTCGGAATTCCAACCGTCTGAGATGTTGTTCCAGACTGGTTGGGATAAGACCGTTCACTGACAAAACGATTGGAATGATTTCGGTGGACGTCACCCCCCACATTTTGGTCACCTCGTGAGCCAGGTCGAGATATTTTCTCTTTTTCTCAGTTTCGGCTTTCACGAGGTTCTCGTCATGCGGTATGGTGACATTAATATTTAACTGACATAATTATCTCAGCCGTTAATTGTTTGCTGCTTAACATAGACCTCCTCTTGGGAAGTTTTGCCAGTAGATGCCACGCTTGGCAGGCGGATTGGCAACCGCACTTTTAAGTTTTGTCGACTGTAAATAGAACTGTCCAGTTATGGAACAAACTCCCTTCCCACATACAAGAAAGTCCCTCTATTACCTCTTTCAAGAAGAGGTTGAAATCACATTTTCTTTCCCTTGAGTCATATTTTTTTTTATGTATTTTTCTAATTGAACTCTCAAATCTTAAAATCATTAAACGAAATTTCTAATGTAAGTAGTATATTAATTTATTTTAACATATATTATATAAGTAGGTAGGTATTGTATATATTTATAGTGTATATATTTATGTAATATTTTATTATATATTTTAATATTTTATTTAACTGTATATTTGTTTATGTATTAATAGTTGTAGCACTTCAGCTGCCCGCTAACGAAATGCTTTCTTACTGTACTGGGTTGACTGGAAGAGATCTCTGTCAGAGATAAGTCCACTGTAACTTACAAGTGCAATAAAGAATATATACGAGTATATTAGTAATATAATCGCATAACATAGCTATGTTATAAGTTAAATAATATGTTATGTACGTCTAATTTTTACTTGTAGAAAATAAAAATTAAGACGAATTAAGCACCTGCTTCTTTCGGAAGATACTGGAAAAAAATATTAAGTTCGTTATTTAAAAATTTTTATTTAAAATGTTTACACCATAATTTAATTTGTCTAGCGAAACAATCACAGTAAACACCGTGCCATCGTTTGTCATCAATGCCATATGCCAACAATTTACCAAGCTCGCGTGTTTGTAAAGGTTTGTAATTACGCGAATGGTTAAGATGCCAAGGACCAGTGATAACTGGTGTCATGTCAATTAAAGATTGACATATGGCCAGGTACAAGCTACGAACAAGGAATTACATAGAAGGAATGATAAAATAAAAACTGTGAATCATATGGTTGTCTCCTTTCTTCTTATGCAAATATGTATAATTAGTAAAAAGAGGACTAAAGATACACCATCAGTTGCTATTTTTCTCAATTCATAGTAGGTTAGTGTATAGAAAATGTTTGATTTTTTTTTATACAACTTAGAATGGCAAACAAGCTGACGGCCCACCTGATGGAAAGTGGTAACCGTCGCCTATAGACATGAGCAGTACCATGGACATAACACAGTATACTGTTTCGCCAATGATACCCCCCATGCGTCACCGTTCCTGAGGACTCAGGTGTTATTCCTCTGTACCCAGTAAATTCACGCCACTGATATGTCAATTATTTGTCAATAACAAATTTTACATTACTAGATTATATATTCGACACAGTTCATACAGAAAGTATGCAAGCAGGTTGTATCTGAATTTGGTAGGATTATACGGCCGTATAACATTTTCTATACACTAGCCTGCTATGAATTGACAATTTTATCACTCCTTCTATGTAATTCCTTGTTCTTAAGGTATAAGATTATCTAATCTGTCATTCAAAATTTCTTTACATTTAAACGGTATCGTATACCGGTTTGGCAGAGAATTTTGAACACTAATTTAGCTGTTCGGCTTTTTTATGACCTAGGCCTGGCCGCAGAGATTTTATCTTTTCTATGAAATTAAAAAAAAATACTAACTTCAGTTATGAGATGTCTAGATTAATACGAATGGACATACTCATGAATATTAATGTATTGGGAGGTGATTGAACCCGCAAATATCGTAATTCTTTTTAATACGACATCGTCATCAATACGACAAGTAATTATGCAATACCACAGATAATATAATACTATACTAGTAGCAATACTAATATTACTTACAAATATACAAGTATTTTTTTTTTTATTTATTAAACTTTAAAACACCTAAAAAGTGTAAATGGCGGACGTCATATGGTGTTATCTACCAGTCAACCGTTGACAGGAATTGTATATTATAAATTATGGTAAAATATTATATTATTTGCCATGTTGTCCCGACTTGGAATGGGCTATCCCTTCTTTTCCCTTGGGTGTCGTAAGAGGCGACTAAGATAACTTAATCGTCGAGGGATAGGCAGTAGCCTCCCTCTGGGGTGGAAGGGAGATTAGTCCCCATTGCTATAAATATACCCTATCAGGTTGACCTCCACGCGGTTCCTCCTGGAAAACTATCGTGACTAATTTATCGTTGAATTCGTCACGATGGGCTAACTGACCTTTCACTGGTACCCCGTCAGTGTATACAGATAACGCAGATGGGGTTACTATTTCATTTTCACTTTTTTTATACAACTTATAATGGCAAACAAGCTGAGCTAATGGAAAGTGGTAACCATCGCCTATAGACATGATCAGTACCATGGACATAACAGAGTATACTGTTTCGCCCCTGATACCCCCATGCGGTTTCATTCCTGAGGACACAGATGTTATTCCTCTGTACCCTGTAAATTCACGCTATATCCCACCCTTCAAACCGAAACACAGCCATGCAAACACAACTGCTTCACGGTTGAAACACGAATGGGACAGAGGTAACCAAGCAATCGACTTTTGTACAAAGTCACCCTCTGGCAATATAATAAACTTAAAATCTTATGAGTAATTTAATTTGGTACACCATCTAGAAGTATCTATTTTTTTTTTGAAGAAAGAATTTTGACGTATATGTTTTTAAACCAAAACACGTTTTTTCATTGTTGTAAGTTAATAGCTCTTATTATATAAAAGCAATACAACAATAAATTAAGTTAATATAAAATTCCTTAAATACTAATACTAATTATAAGTAATCCCCCAACGCACCACACCGAGTCAGCGTACCCAAGATACTGGCAGCATTACCTCATTGGATTGCCAAACTTATCTTTTGGGCAAGGTAGCTACCAGCTCTTGGGTCACCAGTAACCTCGATGAGGCGCGCTGCGATCGTCCGATAAAAATTCTTTGCATCTGGGCCCCACGGGCCCATCGTCTCTACAGCAAATGGCAGAAAACTCTTTATTGCTTCCGCTGTTACTGCCGCAGCACCCGAACAAGTATCTATTTTATTAGTTTAAAATCTATACATAGGAAGTGCGGGCAATAACTAGTCATTATTATAAAATGATTGCTAATTATAGGTAGTTTAACGAATAAATAGCTTAAATAACTGTCAAATGACTAATACCAATTAGCACGTACGTACTTACATACACGAACATTGATGGTAAACGACCATGCCGTTATTTTTTAGTATGTATTTTTTACCACTAACTCCGTTTATATCGTTCATACATTACTTCCTTAAGTTATAAAATGATAGGTTTCGATAAGAGCCGCAAACAGGTTTCATTTTTTTTTTATTTAAGAGGCTTTTTACACTATCCTACTTATATAATATATGTTAAATAAAAATTGAGTACTGTTCGTAGGTAAGCGTGAAATATGTAGTAACATACCTAAATCAAATCATAAACTAGAGGGGGGAAAGGGATTGTTAGCAATGGAGTTTGATAGCCACATTGCTAGCAATATGCCTTATTAGGTCGACCTCCACGTGGTTCCCCCTGGAAACCATCGTGAACAATTCTTGTTGAATTCGTCACGATGAGCTAACTGACCTACTTCATCCTCACCTATCATCCTTCACTGGAGCCCCGCCGGTGTATACCGATAGCGCGGGTGGGGTTACCATTCCATTATCATCCGTTAAAAAAAAATCATAAACTAGAGAACGGCTTGAGCGTTTTATGTTTTTTTTTTTTTATATAATTGGATTGTTCGGTTTGTTTTTAGAAAAAGTAAAAGTTTATTAACAATTTTATATGTATCGACACACTATACTCTGTTATGTTTGTGGTGCTATTCATGTCTATAGGCGACGGTTACCACTTTCCATCAGGTAGGCCGACATTCTAATAAAAATGATATTAAATATCATAAAAAAATATATTAAAAATGCATTAATATAACCTCGTAAATTGATCTAATATTATATATATTCGGCTTCTGATACTGATCCGTTTATAATTAAAAAAAACTAGTCATATTTGAGAATAAATATAAAGGTTTGATGTAAAAAAAAAAAAAAAAACTGGGCCCCAAAACCAAACCCCAGAGTCATTCTGGGGTTCTACCATGAAATTAAATTCCAAATTTTCAGGCTCAATTTCGAGTTTATGTTTGTATCAAAATCGGCCCAGTAAATGAAGTTTAACATTTCGTTCGTCATAAATCCTACCATCGTAGTCCAAAGGAATTATATTTTAACATTTTTAATAATTTTAAACGGTATATAATAAGTAATTTTAAAATCAAATTTCTGTTTTGTTCGGCTCCGAAATTTCGGAAAATATTTCATGGTAGATCCTCTGACCATATAAAAAATAACGGCTTCAACTGTGGCTGTTAATTGCTTTTTTATTCCCAAAATGTTTTAATGTCTGTTAAGGCGATAAAGAGAACGTTGCTATCAACATTTCGACTTCTTGAACTGTCTGTGTCGAAGATACTACTAAATACTTAATAATTTATTTTTATACAAGTTAAAATGGCAAACAAGCTGACGGCCCACCTGATGGAAAGTGGTAACCGACGTCTATATACATGAGCAGTACCATGGACATAACAGAGTATACTGTTTCGCCCATGATACCCCCCATGCGTTGCCATTCCTGAAGAGTCAGGTGTTATTCCTCTGTACCTTGTAAATTGATATAATAAAATAGTAGATAAAAATATATTTTTCTGATTATTTGAATAGATGAATAACCATGGTAATATAGTCTATCTATCCTATTTAAGAGCTACGCTCTTGTCGGTGGAGCTCTTGCCACTCACTACGATTTACAGCGAGTCTCTTCACCTCTTGATACGACACGACACCAACTCCTTCCTTCTATTATAATGTTCATAAGTTCGTCGTGTCGTATCAAGAGTACCAACATTTTTCCCCGGTAATATAGTAACCTGAAATAAATAAAAACTCCATTTTTCTTTTTCCTATTCAAGCTATTCTAACTAGCTGCCAATACAAACATTCATATTGTGTCATAATCTTCATTGACGCATATCTCCGAAACCGCTCAACCAGTTTTTAATGGAATTTTGGAAATGTATATTTTTTGTTTCAATTTGAAAGACAACTTTTAAGATAAGAAAAATAGATCCGATAGATGGCGCTAGTATAAGTAACTTATAAACTTATTATTGATTTTATTCCACAGGCTCCAAGATCAGCACCAGGCCTTCAAGCCATTGTCCACCTCCAAGCTGATGAGGGATCAGGCGTGACCGGGGAGTTGGTGTTCACCCAAATTGTGCCAAATGGTCCTGTGACCATCGAAGGCAATGTCACTGGCCTAGATGCTGGACTTCATGGTATACACGTCCACCAAGTAGGAGCTGTGAAGGAAAACTGTAAGGATATCGGGCCCCACTTCATTGCTTATTACGTAAGTTAGAAAAATTACGCGAAAATAAGGTTTTTGCAACAGCCGCATTAATAGTGCTAAGTAACGTACAATCAAACTAATTTTCTGTGTTGCTATTGTAAAAATATAAGAGGAGAGAACAAGAACAGTGGGTCGCCACTTTATTTGATATTTCCAATTCATTAAAAAAATATGAACATATTACACATACACAAATATTCACCAGAGCGAGACTTTGTACAAAAGTCGATTGCATGGGTACCCGTGTCCCATTCGTGTTTCTACCGTGAAGCAGTTGTGTTTGCATGGCTGTGTTTCGGTTTGAAGAGTGGGATATGGCGTGAATTTACTGGGTACAGAGGAATAACACCTGAGTCCTCAAGAATGGCAATGCATGGGGAGTATCATAGGCGAAACAGTTTACTCTGTTATGTCCATGGTACTGCTCATGTCTATAGGCGACGGTTACCACTTTCCATCAGGTGGGCCGTCAGCTTGTTTGCCATTCTAAGTTGTATAAAAAAAATATACACAAATATACACAAAAAAGTTTAGATAAATATATTTTCTAAATTACTCTAACCGAGAATCAAACGAGAGACCTCATTTACGAATAGCAACATCATGTCTACCTGTGTTGCACAGAGATTGTCAATCTCCTATTATTTCTTTACTATACCATACCAAAATAGCCGTTAAGTATCCACTACTAAATATAGGCCTCATTCTATTGAAGGATTTTGCCAAGAGTTACCACGTTTAGCAAGCGGGTTAGCAACAGCAGTTGAGCGTTGGAGGTTCTAGCTTCTTGTAACACCCACTAGAAAAAAAGGGGTGATCTATTCTGTCGGGACCACATGGCCATTATTATTGATTAAAATACTTTTAATACAGCTATATTATTACACCTATATTATTGTTAATTGTATATTTTCAAGTCTAATACATATTTATTGAAGCCTAAAAAATTCGCTGTAATAACTAAGTTGTCTATTATAAAATAGATTCCTAAACTATTTTAGACAAGAAACCCCGTTTCCAAAAGGAACTGATACCTCAGACTCTGATTTTTTTTTTTAATTGTTATGGGGATATTTTTTTTAAATCCTATCTCTAGTTCTTTTTTCTATTGATACAAAATACGTACTAATTTAAAAACTTTGCAATTGGTGAAGTGATTCAAAATTTAACAAATTAAATAGTTATAAAATTCCCCAAAAATCAAGTATTATATGAATTATTAATACAAATTATAATTATAAATAAAAAAGTTAATCACTGTTCAACCATCATTAATTAATTAATCAGCATTAAATTAATAAATTACAAACAATGCAGGGACGTCACGGCGGACCGCGCGACCACATCCGCCATGTTGGCGACCTTGGTAACATCAAAGCTGAGGAGGGCGCCACCGTCAACGTGAAAATTGTTGATCACCTTATATCTTTGGCGGGACCGCGCTCTGTTGTTGGCAGGTCTCTGGCAATATCAAAAGGCGAGGATGATTATGGCCGTGCAAGTACAGAGGATAGCGCCCTGACAGGCACTTCGGGCCCGGCTGTTGCTTGCGGCGTGATTGGATATTTAAATTAATTTTTTTGTATTACACGTCCATTTTAATACAGTTATCATTTTATACTAATAAAACATATTTTTTAATATTGTTTTGTTGTTAATCATTTGTATTACCAATTGTAAAACACACGAGGTGTATTCAGAAAATAAAGAGAATTTTTAAATTTCACGAGTTAGCCAAGTCTGATTGTATTTTTTTTATTATGTTGGTATAAATGCCATTGTGTGAGAGATACCTACCGTGGGCGTGTGTATTCTAAGAATCCATGTGTGTGCTGTTACTGGAACTGTTATCTATCAATGCACGAGATGAATTCATGCAAAAACACGTCGAAAGTGTGGTTTTGGGTTTAGAAGGGTTAGGACGTTACCTTTATTTGATGATAAATCACAAGAATTATATCAGTTGTCTATAAAGTTGTACAATTTTGGAGCACTCAACTACATATACAAACAAATTTAATTTCTCAATAGATTTATTGCATAATGTATAAAAGTTTATAAAAAAACAAATACAGAATGCTTACTTATAATTATGACGATCTTTACTTAAAAATAAATAGCGAATTTTTAATGAGTAGAACATAATCATCGACAAGTAAAGTGAATTTGTATCTTTGTTGTTCAGATATTAAGATCGTAAATTAGTTGTCGGTAATTTCACATTTGCTTTGTCGAACAATTATGCGGCGAACTTAGATCTATTTATTGGAGGCCGATTGAGGCGATAAGGCTCTCCACTTTGGCGATGTAGGCCTTCTGTGCGTCCTCCTTTGATGTGCCCTTCTTCGAGGTCCACGCCTCGAACTTCGCTTTGCCCTTGAGATCTAACATTCCGGGTTTGTCTAGAAAATGAAAAAAAAAAAACTATGAAATTAAGGCATTTAAATTATAGCAAAACTAGAGTAAGCATCATGCCTTGCTCTAATTTATCCGTCATATTTAAATATCGAATCATCACTCTGTAAGCACGGCTTAACCAATTACTATGTAATTTAATATATAGGATAGGTATGTACTGGATGGAAAAGGTTAGAATAGGTTAAGTTTTATACTGGTCAGTGAACATATCCGGGTCATTCAAATGAAGTCACGGATAAAAGATAGAAATACATATATACTAAAATTCGTTACGATTGGTTAAATTGTTAGAGGGTCAAAAAATAACAAACAAACCATTGTTAAATACTTGGACTGAAAAAAAAGATATCAAAAACAGCGGAAGTTTTGATTTTTTTAAACACAAACTTGGCGCTGTCAAATTAGTACATATCTACCTATGAGAGACTCGACATTTTTTTTTCACTTCGAACCTATTTCCGTTTATAAAAATATTTAGTATTAATATTAACATCATATCAACCTTTGATAGTCCACTGTTGAACATAAGCCTTCTCCATAACTGGAGATTTGGCAGAAGTTGCCCTAAACTTATTGTAGTTTTGAAACCATTTAAGTTTAAAAGAAATTAATTAATTTTATTGGTGATAATACTTTTTTTTTATACAACTTAGAATGGCAAACAAGCTGACGGCCCACCTGAAGGAAAGTGGTAACCGCCGCCTATAGACATGAACAGTACCATGGACATAACAGAGTATACTGTTTCGCCCATGATACCCCCCATGCGTTGCCATTCCTGAGGACTCAGGTGTTATTCCTCTGTACCCAGTAAATTCACACCATATATTACTATATATTCACACAATATTAATAGTTAATACGAGTGATAATACTCTCGTAAAAGGATGCCAATAATTCCAAATTCATCCTTATGTACACACACATATACACCTACTAGAACTTATATACTATCTACACATTAATATCAGTAAATAAACGTACGCTATCCCTATCACAGATAACCAATTTGTAATGGAATGTTTTCAATAAACTAAATAATTATCTATGTACTCACATATACGGTAATCATTCAGTTTGACAGTGATTGATTGCAAATTGGACGTTATCTTTGTCGATATAAGGATTAAAAAATAATAATGATAAGCGATTTCTTATTTAAAGTACACTAAAAATATCCAACTAATATTATATTAATTGTGAAAGTTCGTAAAGATGTTTAGATACTTAAATATTTATTACTCTATCAACTTTAAATGGCTAATCGAATTTGTATGAAATTCGACACACAAATAAAACACGTTCTTAAATCCTCCACACATAACTGAGTTTCCCATAATCGTTACAATCTATTAACATCCCAATCGTGGGTACGATTCCATGAGAAGCTTAATATAAAGTTTACCTTCGAGTTTCCCTTCTGTTGCTTTAGTATATTGATACCTTCCTTTTGAAGGTAACAAAGTACAATAATATCTTACTAATATAATAAAATTGTAACTAGACAATGTTGGGGGAAAGGGATTATTAATAATGCGGACTATCAATCCCATTGCTGTCAATATACCCTGTCAGGTTGACATCCATATGGTCCCCACTTGGAAACCATCGTGCTGAATTCCAAGTGTACTATTCATAACGATGGGCTAACTGACCAGGCAGGTCATTCTCACCTATCGTCCCTTACTGGTACCCCGCCAGTGTATACCATTAGCGCAAGCGGGGTTCCATTCCATTATTATGCGTTAAAAATAACTAGACGATGTTTATTCCAACATCACGCAGAAAGTACTGCACAAAATAAATATGATTTTCCCTGATATGTTCCTGAAGGTCTAAATAAAAATCTATCAGCCTATTTAACTGATTTTCTTATGACATCCACGGATACGAAGTAACAGGCTAGTAATTTATTAATTAATAATTTGCTTTGCATAACCAATCTACTTTAGCAGGCCTCTTACGTTAAAGACTTAACATTAACGGACTGGTACATTTTATTTGGTGGGTTAAGAAAATAGGGTAGCGAAGAAAATCCTACTATAATTCATATACAATAGGGTTTATAACCCCTCTGGAAATTTATATAAATGGTGGAGCAGTATAAAAAAATAAACAAAAATTTATCTCTTGGATATATGAGTAGATATAGGTAGATACTGGTAACATAACAACTTACTGCTTGGATCGGCATCTCCCACTGTGGCCTGTTTGTACAGGGCGTACAACTCCAGGAGATCCTTATCGCTGGGGAGGGACTTCAGCTTCTTGACGTTAGTGGCGGCTTGGTCGAATTGCTGGAAATCGAAGAAACTCTGCTTTAATTTCTTTCTTTTGGGATCACCGGGAAATTATTTATTTAAATTAAGAATGCTTTTCCACGGCGATTGTTTACAGGCATGTGGTCAGACTGGTTGTAAACAGTTACCGTACCCTGTGGACTATAAGTCACGTGCACGTTTCTGACCTTTCTGCTAAACCTAGATGAATCCTAGCTACTGCCATGGTGGCATATACAGAGCTGGGCATAATACATACTTAGCTTTTATTTAAATACAAATTACAAAATACTATAGCGTGTGTATTTAAAATGTGAAATTTAAAATTTACAATGTAAAATTTTAAATCATATATTTCAAATATAAAATATAGCACTTTGCGTGTTCTACTGTTTGTACAATGGATTGTGTTAGAGGAATTGTTTAATATGATACCCACGGCCACTTTCTACCTTCGTACGGCTCGCCATCGACAAGGAGTTCACATTCATACCTTACAGCCTAAATAGTCGCGTACAACGCGCCTGTTTCATTACTCCATAGAAAATGAACACTTTAGGTTGTGGAATGAACTGTAAAGCTCTCTGTCGAGATTATCCCATCTTGTCGAGAGACTACAGCATGGAATGCGATTCTTCAAAATGGTCTGTCGATAAAACAGTTGACGTTTCTCACGACGGATCGGCAACGCAAAATACTATAGTGCGTTAAAATTTACCATGGTATTATATTTCAGGCGTTCATAGGCTACGGCTCGCCATATATCATCAAATAGGCTGTATGCTTGTTTACCACCTCAATGGTATAAAAAAAGGATACGATATTTTAATTTTATTTTTTAATTTTTTCTTTTGATTTTAAATTTTTATTTAAAATTTAAAATAAAAAGAAGAATATGATATTTTGCTTCCTAAGTCTATCGAGCATAATTTTCTGCATAACGCATCCAATAATAAGATCCCTAAATGAAGGCTACATGTATTTATGTTAAAATATATTTTGAACAATATACCTACAACAAAATATCTCAGCATCAAGTATTTGAAATATGAATTACTGCTTATATTTTTAGGAAGTAATTGTAATACCAAATATGTATTTGTTGCAATTACGTATTTTAATTAACTACAAATAATTCGAATACTACCCAGCCCTGGGCGTATGGCAGTGAAATTACATGGTTCCGTACCACATTTTACCTTAGATATATTACTTTAGTCTGCAAAAAAGGCAAATGGCAACGCATGAGTGATACCATGGGCCTCACAACATCTTTATTACTTACAGAATATTCATATTTCATTGTTATATTCATAGACACACTATTATTCATAAGTAAAATGTTAAAATAAATTTAATATAACAAATTATAACTTACTGCCTGGACAGACATGTTGTGTAATTCGGACTAAGATACCTGAAAAAAAAATATATTAATAATTACAACCTACGCAATATAATCATATACAAGATATGTTCCGTGTAAGAACATATAAGAACCAAAGTGACCGATATAACCCCAAAGAATATCCTGATGAATTCATCATGATGGGCTAACTGGCCTGTTTTCATTCTCATCTATCACCCTTCACTGGTGCTCCGCCAGCGTATCCCGTTAGCGCAAGCGGGGTTACCATACCATTTTCACCCATAAAAAAACCCCAAAGAATAAAGAAGCTAGTGTCAACCGGACGGCTTTATAATTCGAAGAACCGACGACAGATAGTTAATAAACTTCCAGAATGGCAACCCCATACAAGCATAATGCAAGACAATCTGCACTAGATGGATCAACGTCCTCAAATATGTGTATGGACATGAGTCTAGACTGTTCCTCATAATAATCTACAGGTAAGGTCTACATAATTTTATTAATAAATTGTTGAACATAGTTCACAATGGACAATTAAAAACAGAAATTATGATAATGATTGATAAACTGACACTTACTTTAGACTAGAAAAATGGTCACAAGCGCACTACACGAGTACTTGGAAGGTAATAACATAAATCGAAACTTTACTAACGTAGTTATAATGATTGGAAACGATTAATCAAATGTTAATTATCTCCTAATTGTCCACTTACACTGATTAGATTCTATCAAAGTAGTAATTATTGGTAACTAAGTACGTAAAATAACAAGTGGACGTGACAGTCCCAAAATACTTCTATATATCTTATCAGCTCATTCATCCTCAACTGGACACAGGGTTCCTTATTATTGTGCTCTGTGTTGTTTCACAATTGGCCGATATCTCTTTGATCCTGGCTTGGTCGCTCTACTTATCACAGTTCTGTGTTAATCTCCACTTCCTCGAAGTACATTTTATGCCATCCGAATATTGTATCAATAATCTGCCAACTGTTCTCTGGCCCTTAATTCCCATTATCCTTTCACAAGGCCTGTCGTCTTCTTTCCTAGTAAAGTCTCGCCTTCCACTTTCTAGTTCAATAAACAATGTATTTAACTTCGACCTTCGCTCTACGTCAAATCTCGATATTTAATATTCGGTCAACTAACGAGACGCCTAACTAGCAAAACCTGAGTGATATATTTTCAAAGGTTTCTGATCGCCATTATTATATATCATCTTGTATTTAAATGATTTTCAGCAACATTTCTGTCTAATTTTAGTGAACCTTTTTGGTTTCGAGTTTTCAAAAACATCAATGTCTCCAGAAATTTTATAAAAGATAAAGATATATATTTCGGGAGCATCGGCTTTTCGGTGGACTCGACGTCGCGTTTGCTGAAAATTATATAATTTAAAATGTTTTACTGAACTGTCATCTTGCTGAAGTCCATATCCCTGGTTAAGTAGAATTATTCTTCTAATCCCCGTTACCATTAATATGTATGTGACTGTCAACACTCGAAATTTGGCCACCACTTGGCTTGGCGAAATTTGGCTACCAGAAATTCCACAACCTGCCATACTATGTTCGCAAGTTTTGCGTGCGTGAACGAAATTGCAGTCGAATCAAGCTAATAGTTACATTTGTCATTAATGTATGAACACGATAAACCTGTTTGCGCTATTGACGCTGATGAGCTACCAGTAGGTAGCAAATTTATTGGGAATTAATCACGTTGATTACCAGTAGAACTGCTATAGGTAGACTTTACAAGATTCATTGCTAGCAATGGGACTGCTAATTTCCTTAAGTACTTACAAAAAATGCTCTCACCCTATACCCTATTGCCTTAAAATGAATATTACTATTTGTAAAAAATAAGACTAATAGAAATAAATGTGTTCAGGACTGTCAAGCATCAGGAATGTATTTCTCTAGAAATCTATCCGATTCTAGAATAAGGGCATACGGATATGCGACCCCGGACTCCCAAACCGCTGCAGTGTCCCAGTCCTTTCCGCAACTGCATTGTCCCCCCTTTTTCCCCACATAGGTCCCTTATTCCTCTTATTTACCAATTTCCTTTACGCATTTCCAACGTTCCTTTCCTTTTTTCCCCTCAATACCTAATTCCGTAAGTGGCGAAAACCAAACAAATGCATTCCCAAAGAGAGTTGACGTCAGACAGGCGTAAAACAATAAGCCAAATCTTTTTTGCAATATGGATAAAATACATATTACGCCGACCCCAAATAATAATATAAAACCATACATAATAAAAAACCAGAGGATGACTGTACTGTAATCTCTTATTTATTTATGTCCCATTTTTGTATTCAACCGTGAAGCAGTTGTGTTTGCATGAAAAGCTGTGTTTCGGTTTGAATGAACAGTACCATAACATAACGTTATGTCCATGGTACTGCTCAATGTCTATAGGCGACGGTTACCTTTTCCGTCAATGGACCGTCATATCTTGCTTCAAACCGAAACACAGTTGTATATAAAAAAAACTTGGGATAACGATAGGAAGATGATGATGATGTTCAGGAGCAATCTCTTTTGGGATATTCATAAGTATTTATCCGGTACTATTGTTGTGAACATTTATCGGCGTATTTCCTATTATAATATACGTCGTCGTGTGTCGTGACAATTGGCATATTTAAACATGAATTTTTACCTCGATTAAAAAAATTATTCTTTTGTCTCTCTTAGGAGTAAACAAATACATCCGTCGTCCAATTTAAAAGCCTGAATAGGATCACACTAAATGTAATCCAGCACACCAACTTAGACGATGGAGAAAAGGAAACTGAGAAGGATTCTCCACTCGCAAAAGGCCCGTTCACAAGCTACCACCACTAAGTGGGGGGAAAGGGATTGTTAGCAATGAAGTTTGACAGCCCCATTGCTAACAATATGCCCTATTAGGTCGACCTCCACGTGGTTCCCCCTGGAAACCATCGTGAACAATTCTTGTGGAATTCGTCACGATGGGCTAACTGATCTGTTTCATCCTCATCTATCATCCTTCACTAGTGCCCCGCCGGTGTACACCGATAGCGCGGGTGGGGTTACAATTTCATTATCACCCATAAAAAAAAATACCACCACTAAGTCACATGTTTCGTTGCGTAAGAAAGGATTTTATATATAATACTATAATCGGTTTTCAATGATCGTGATTTCCTACTACACTATTTGTGCCACCATTATCAGGAATCTTTTTTTAGAAGATTAGAATTAGTGATACCATCACTATTCCATTAATAATAATTGATAACCCCGTCTACGCCATCCGTATACATTAGCAAAATACAAATGAAGGATAACAGGTGAGAATGAAGACAAGTACATGACAATACGTTCATCAGGAATTAATTAACTACGACAGCAATAAATTCATCAGGAATCAACCACGATAAATTCCAAAATGACCCCGAGAGCAATCTGACAGGGGATTAACAGGACATACCTAACAATCTCCCTACTATTGAAAACTAACAATTACTACTATATTAATTATAATGACTCCGAGTTATTTTATTTTTAAATTTATTTTATTTTTAGTTTATTAATTAGATAATACAGGTGCCTTGGGTGGTACCATAAATCTGTCACATAATTATGTTGAAACCTGTAAGCGGCGGTCATCAAGCACTTTCCTTCAGGTAGGAATCACCATGTTTACCATTTTCGGTAGTCTAATGATAAATTCTAGATATGCATAGATATAAATAAAATATTTTAATATTCTTGATTTTTATTGGTAGAAAATTTAATAGTATCCCCGCCTGCGCTAACGGGATACAGTGGCGGGGCACCAGTGAAGGGTGATCGATGAGGATGAAAACAAGCCATCATGATGAATTCATCAGAAATTAACCATGATAGGTTCCAGGGGGAACCGCGAGGAGGTCAACCTGGTTGGGTATATTGCTAGCAATGGGATTCTTAATCTCCATTACTAACAATCACTTTCCCCCCTAATATTCTTGATTTAGAAAACCTAGTGCAGTTTCCATGTGGTTTCGACATATAATAGGTCAATCCTTCTTTCCCCATAGGTAACTAAGGGAAATTAATGACTGAGGGAGGGACAGCAGTGACTCTCTTAAAACACAACCAAAAACCCAACTGAGGTTACAGACCTGCTTGCTAAGCGTGGCAACTACTGGCAATATCCCCTTTATGTGGAAGCAGTACAGCAGTGGACAGTTAACGAATGATAAATGGAGGATATTCGCAAAAAAACCAGTCACCGACATAACCCGAAGGATAACCAAAGTTACAATTGGATAGTCACATAGCTCGAAGGACCGGCAACCGATGGGGGAGAAAGGTTCTTGAGTGGCGACACTATACGGGCAAACGTAGTGTAGGACAACCCCCACTAGAGGGGGAAAAGGGATTGTTAATAATGGAGACTGAGAATCCCATTGCTAGCAATCGACCCAACCAGGTCGACCTCCTCGCGGTTCTCCCTGGAAATTATCATGAATAATTCCTAATGATATCATCATGACGGGCTAACTGGCCTGTTGTCATTTTCATCTATCACCCTTCACTGGTGCTCCGCCAGCGTATCCCGTTAGCGCAGGCGGAGTTACCATACCATTTTCATCCAATAAAAAAAAAGGCCACCCCCATAAGAGGGTTTCGCCAAAAGTTGCCACGTTTGGCAGGCAAGTTGGCAATAGCAGGACTGAAGGACAGCATTGAAGGACGCTACTACCCATCCTTCGACTTAATTTCCATTAGTCGCCTCTTACAACATCCATGGAAAGGCGTGGCCCATTATACCGTATACCGAGAGCAAACGGCAAACTACTTTAAAAATAAAATAATAAATTAAAAAAAATTATCCTTACTCCGTGATATAACTGATCAATTGGTAGTTGATCAATTACCGACTGGTGAGGTTTGACGATTAATTTAAATTGATAAAAAAAAGGAAAAATTATAAACTGTACATGAAAATTTCTCATACTACAATTATTATATTCCATTGCCATCTTGAAACCCTATTGCTGAATATAAAAATCGCGATTAAAAAACAGGGGTTGATCGTAAGAGCGTGAAAATTTGAAGTCGTTTGGTATTTTTAAATGCTTAATCATAATAAAACAGAAATAAAAAATTTTGTCAAAAAAAAATTAGGTATAAATAATTAGGATCACCCTTATCATTGAGGGGTATGAATAATAGATGTCGGCCGATTCTCAGACCTACCCAATATAAGGGTTCAGGTTAGTGAGAATTTCCAAAGAATTTCCAAAAAGAGGTTCCAATAATATGCGATTTGATAATAGTATTGTAATAAGTTACTATAATACTTTTATCGTTTGTACTTTTGGAGTGCTTTGATACATATCGGCCTTTAACTTTCCACTGCTGAACAAAAGCTTACCCCTTGGGTGGTTTTGCCAGTAGTTGCCACGCTTGACAGGCGGATTGGCAACCGCAGTTAGGCTTTGAAGATATTTTAAGCGGGACGGTGCTGCCCACTCCTCGTCCTCCCTTGGTCGCCTCTTACGACACCCATGGGAAACGAAGGGGTGGCCTATTCTATGCCGGGACCACACGGCGATTAGGTACTTATAGATACAAATAAACTCATTTCATTTCCCAACAGATTTATTTCATGTAATTGTATAAAAAACTTGATAACAAAAACAAATGCAAAATATTAAATAAAAATATGTAAGAGCACCAAAAGTTGTGTTCAAAAACGATATAGCAAAAGTTATGCTTACATTATAATTGTGATGATTTTTACTTAATAATAACTAATATATCCTAATACCATAAATAAATAGACAATTTTTAATGAGTCGGACGGTTATTCATTTGAATACATTCGACTATTCCAGAATCAAACTAGGCCATAGATAACACAACCTCACATTTGAAAGTCAAATATCGTGAATTACTATCTCTCATATGACAAATACGCAGCACAACCAAAGACAATTGTATCTGAAACACCCTGCGTTCCGCTCATTAAAAAAATAAATTTATATAATCATCGACAAGCACAGTGAATTTTTGTCTTTGTTGATCAGATATTAAGGTTGTAAATTAGTTGTTGGTAATTTCACGTTTGCTTTGTCGGACAATTATGCGATGAACTTAGATCTATTTACTGGAGGCCGATTGAGGAGACGAGGCTCTCCACTTTGGCGATGTAGGCCTTCTGTGCGTCCTCCTTTGATGTGCCCTTCTTCGAGGTCCACGCCTCGAACTTCGCTTTGCCCTTGAGATCTAACATTCCGGGTTTGTCTGGAAAAAGGAAAAAATATATAATGAAGTAGTAAACAAAAACTAAAAAATGTCCCCTAAATTTACCTATATAGGACATATGTAAATTGTAAATGCAAGGGATTGTTAATAATAAGGACTAACAATTGCCTCATTGCTAGAATTATAGTTAAATCAACCTCCACGCGAGCCCGCGATTAATTCTTTTTTTTTTGTCATAATAGGTGTAGGTATAAACAAAAATAAATCTTTAAATATATTGCCAAGTGTAAAACTAGTGAATGGTCTACTACTAATATTGACGTAATAGAGATTTTTTTTTATACAGCTTAGAATGTCAAACAAGCTGACGGCCCACCTGATGGAAAGTGGTAACCCTCGCCTATAGATATGAGCAGTACCATGGACATAACAGAGTATACTATTTTGCCCATAATACCCCCCATGTGTTGCCATTGAGGACTATCTCACTGAGACTGACGGACTGAGAGATTATTGTTCAATTATTCTTTAAACTCCGAGAAAATCTATGCAAAAAAGAAATTACAAAAACGTAAAAATCACATATTTTTCACATACAAAGTGTTCCTAACTACCAATTTAAATTTTTCAAACTCCTACGCAGATCTGTATAAATTACGGATGAAACAATTGTGTCCCCATTTATAAAGAAGTAATAGTAACTTATGAGCCAACGGCTGTATGAGCCATGCTCTTTGCCTGTCCAAATTAAATCAATTTAGAAACGACAACAAATAATGACATAAAATACGTTTTTTGACGGAATGACATCTGGCGGGTCACCTAGTTTTTAATACAAATAAGTAAATTGAACTAAATGTCTTTATACCGGTATGCGATGTTCAATAGAACGAAATAGTATGTCGGGCGTATCGAGTATTCCACTAAAAATAAGTGGCTAATACACTCGTACACGGTTGACTGGTAACCCGTATGCGCAAAGAAATATATGCGCATTGAAACTTGAACGAATAAAGATTTTGTTGCACAAAAAACCGACTTCAATCTTGACTTAAGTAAGAAACCGAAGTATTAATCCTTACAATTGAAGGAAACCAAATACACTTTAGAATTTATAAATATATCTTGCTGTTATAATGTTGACATAAAAGAAAAAAAATTTTGTTCGCTAATTTAGAAACATTTATTTATTTATTTAACTCTTTATTGCACCAAAAACAAAAATATCCAATGACAATTTGTTGGGGAGTATCACAACCGCAGTTTGGCTTTGATGACATTTTAAAAAGGACACTGCTGCGCATCCCAGGACCATCGACCTAAGAGAGTATATTCCTAGATATGGAAACTAGAATCCGCATTAATGGTAATCTTTCCACTTTGTGACCAGGCATTGATCAGACAACCAAAGATTTTCTACCAAACAGAGGTGTAACTGGGGCAAAAACATATAGTAAAAAAGAAGCCCAAGTTGTGATTCTAATAACATATCTATTATATATCTAAAGTTATAGATAAAATTACTATAAATAAATATCACAACTGAACCTTAAGATATCGACAGATAAAAGATAAAAATACGTCCGTATCGAAGATAATAATAAACAAACACGATTAATAGTGGAATGTTTTTAATATTGTTTCATACAAAAATAGTTTACTCTATTTGATAATGATTAATACTTGGCGTTATCACTGTCGATATAAAGATTTATATAAGCGCGACTTTTCGTTTACGGAATACTGGGAAATCTTACTAATATAACTAAAACTAAACATTGTCTCACAAAACAAATTGACTTCAATTGTGATAAAACCAGTTTATGTTGATTTAACCCTTCTTTATATATTTCTTATTTCTTTATATCTTTTAGTATAGGGAGATAAAGGATATGGCCTGGGATAGAGCTGGCTGGAGGAAGATGCATGAATTAGTTGCACCGACAAGAGGAAACTCTTAAATGAAAATGAATGAAGCCTTCTTTGCATACTGGTGGAAATTTCCATCATAACATTGAATGCCTAAAACTTATATAAAAGACCAAGTTCACTTGAAGTTGATTGTGTCTGGATAACTTTTTAATGTCCTTTGCAGAAAAAAAAACATAGCTGTCAAATTTATTATTTTAACCATTTTTCCTTTAATTTTAAACATAAATTATATCACTTTGATTGTAGAACTTTGATTTCATCAATAAAAAAATCATGCAAAGAAGGGGTTAAAACCTAAAATGATTTTGATAAAATTTCTATTGGACCAATCTGTAAGTATATCCATATTGGTTATTAACTGACAGGTAAGAAATATAAAAATATACAACCGAAATGAGAACCTCGATATAAAGAAACATATGAATGTATATGTGGATATGTATGTATGCATGTGTATATATCTTCTATCTATCTATACTTATAATAAATCTGTAGAGAGGTCAATTCTGTACATGAAATATATTTCCAAAGTAACTATCAGGTAGTGATTAGTGATGGATACTGATGCCAAAAATGCAATCAGTAAAATTTTTGTCTCTCTGTCTGTATGTTCGTTATAGAAACAAAAACTACTCGACGGATTTTAACGAAACTTGGTACAATTATTCTTCATACTCTTGGGCAGGTTATAGTATACTTTTCATCACGCTACGATCAATAAGAGCAGAGCAGTGAAGGGAAATGTGTCTGTTATATCAAAACCACTGAACCGTGAGGAAGGAGATAGGCTACTTATTTTACGAAAAATGACAGAAACGCGGACGAAGTCGCGGGGAACAGCTAGTATAAATATATAATAATGAGTAGGGATATATATTTACATTCATACATCTTCATATTTAGAAATGATAGAATTTTCATCGTGCCTCCGATCAAACTGTTTATACTTACTCCTCTCCATCCAAAGGTTGCCCGGAAGAGATCGCTTTTAGCGATAAGGTCGCATAAATTTTTAACGATGAATGAATAGAATGACATTTGTTACTCTTTCACGCAAAAACTACTAAACGGATTTGAATGAAATTTAGTACATAGATTGTATTCTACCTTTACATACAGGTTACACATTGTAGCGAACTCTTTGCTACATTTTTATATTCTTATTGTCATTCGAAATTTATATATTTTTTTGACATATTGTTTTTACATATTGTTTAAAAATATATTTTGCTAATGGCTGTCTCCTCATTTTTTCTGTAGTTTTCCATTCTAAAATCCTCTCATTGCATATTAAAAGTATTATCTCCGTTTCATTTGGTCCCTAGTTTTTAATATATAGAATTAATAAGATTTAGACAAGACAAACAACTCACTGGCTGGGTCCGCATCTCCCACTGTGGCCTGTTTGAACAAGGCATACAACTCCAGGAGATCCTTATCGCTGGGGAGGGACTTCAGCTTCTTAACGTTAGCGGCAGCTTGGTCGAATTGCTGGAAAACCAATAAAAAGCCCTACATTAATTTCCATTCCCATAGTACTCTCATGCTTTGTAACTTCCATTAGATAGTACACGTATTATGCATCTGTTGCATCTTAACCAATCAAAAGTACTATCGACTAGCAAAATCAGTCAAAACTACTTCTGATCGTATGCTTTGGTCAATAATACAAATATACTAAAATAACAGTTAAAAGTACCAGGGGGAGACTGTACAAAAGTCGATTGCTTGGGTACGTCTCTCCCATTCGTGTTTCAACCGTGAAGCAGTTGTGTTTGCATGGCTGCGTTTCGGTTTGAAGGGGATATGGCGTGAATTTACAGGGTACAGAGGAATAACATCAGAGTCCTCAGGAATGGCAACGCATGGGGGTATCATGGGCGAAACAGTATACTCTGTTATGTCCATGGTACTGCTCATGTCTATAGGCGACGGTTGCCACTTTACATCAGGTGGGCCGTCAGCTTGTTTGCCATTCTAAGTTGTATAAAAAAAACCTCGATAATTCAAAATAATTTAAAGTTGTTTAGAAATCCTCACTAATATTAAAAATGTGAGAGTTTGTTTGTTTAGTTTTTTATCTCATAGCACCTTAAGGGTTTAATCAAACGCTATGAAATCCAGTATACAGATACCATACGGGATGGAGAAAGACATAGATTACTTGTACCGATCAATAACCATATCTAAGTAACACGAACGAAGTCGCGGGTAAAAGCTAGTTTAACGTCATTAAAAACCATGACCAGATGATTTAAATAATGAGTCACTTATCAATTAAACAGATAAATATAACGTATTTTAAACAAAAAAAATGTTTTTTTCCTTTTATTTGAGTTTGAGCAGTAAATATTTAAAAGTGCTCGAGGAAGCAGGTTTACGTATTTCTGTTATTTAGCAAAAAATAGTACTCGCCCGTGATAAAATTTGGAAATAAACAAATACATAATTATATACAGACTAGCGACCCGCCCCGGCTCCGCTTGGTTTTTTTTTTAAGTAAAATACCATGTTACTCGCATACATTTTAAAGTTTGTTAAGTATCTTTTTAGTTTATTTAAAAAATCAAATCATTCCTATGTACCTATAATCAGACAGATTTTTTTTGATGGGTAAAAATGGTATGGTAACCCCGCCTGCGCTAACAGGATACGCTGGCGGTGCACCAGTGAAGGGTGATAGGTGAGAATGAAAACAGGCCAGTTAACCTATCATGATGAATTTATCATGATGAATTCATCAGGAATTAACCATGATAGTTTCCAGGGGGAACCGCGAGGAGGTCGACCTGGTTGGGTATATTGCTAGCAATGGGATTCTCAATCTCCATTACCAACAATCCCTTTTCCCCTTATAATCAGACAGATTAGTAGAAGTATAGATAACTGCAATTAATAAAAAGTTACCTACATCATCACTTTCCTGGTGTCTGATGGCCCACCATCAGGTGGACCGTCAGCTTGTTTGCCATTCTGAGTTGCATAAAAAATAAAATAAAAATTATAACCCATTTTATCTCAGTTAACCAATAAATTTACACTAATTTTAATAAAAATACAAACAAAAATATTTCTTAGAATTTTTTTTATATACCTACACCTATAAGGTGAACAAGTCTATTTAGAAAATTATTTTTAAAAAACAAGCTTTTACTCTTCATTATCAACTCTGAACAGCACGTAAAGTTACAATAAAATTTTTGTCAAGACAAATCAAACGAGCCCAAACACGACCCATTTATCATATATAGTTTTTTTTAATGGATGATAACGGAATGATAACCCCACCCGTGCTATCGGTATACACCGGCGAGGCACCAGTGAAGGATGATAGGTGAGGATGAAGTAGGTCAGTTAGCCCATCGTGACGAATTCAACAAGAATTGTTCACGATGGTTTCCAGGGGGAACCCCGTGGAGGTCGACCTAATAAGGTATATTGCTAGCAATGGGGCTGTCAAACTCCATTGCTAACAATCCCTTTCCCCCTATCATGTATAGTTGACGAGTTCCTATGGCCATCTAAGGCGTCAGCATGCCATCAAAATCATCAGATGAATAGATAGCAAATTTTAATAAGAAAAACTGAAACTACAGCAAATAAAAGCTTGTAAATGTTAACGAACTGTATTGGACATTCATGGACATAACAGAGTCAACTGTGTCGCCCATGAAACACTTCATGCGTTGCCATACCTCAAGGTTACGGTAATTTCTGAAGGTAGCATAACTAAGGTGTGATACCTCTGCGCAAATTGAAAAAAAATAAAATCGTAATATTATACGTGAAAAAAAAAACAGATTATATAGAGTAAAAAAAAAAGATCAGACGCATATTTTTAATAGAGCATATATCAAAAGAAAACTATACGTGATACCACCTAACGGACAAAAAAGTACACCAAAGATTGTCCCTCATCATACCATTCGTGTTTCTACCGTGATGCAGTTGTGTTTGCATGGCTGTGTTTCGGTTTGAAGGGTGGGATATTGCGTGAATTTACAGGGTACAGAGGAATAACACCTGAGTCCTCAGGAATGGCAACGCATGGGGGTATCATGGCCGAAACAGTATACTCTGTTATGTCCATGGTACTGCTTATGTCTATAAGCGACGGTTACCACTTTCCATCAGGTGGGCCGTCAGCTCGTTTGCCATTCTAAATTGTATAAAAAAAAACCATCAAACTAGTGGCGGAATATTTTAAACGTTATGAAATAAATGTAAATTTGTATGTTTACAATTGTTACCGTTTTCGGTATGTGAAAGCGGTTGTTTATATGCGGAACTGGATTTTTCCATAGTTTACGCCACTTTTTTCTCTAACCCGTTACGATATAGTCGACTATCGAGCGAGCAAGAAAGGGCAATAAACGTTAAACAGAAATCTCGTTCAGAAATTTCTCTTGGTTAAGATAATTGCAGCATTTTACCGGTGTGCTGAATCTTTACTAATATTATAAATGTTAAAGTGAGTTTGTTTGTTACCTGAGAGCGTTTTAACGGCTTAAACTAACCACTATGAAATTTGGTATTGGTCAGTAAACATATCGCTGTCACGCGGACAAAGTCGCACGTAAAAGCTAGTATTGTGGCTGTTGAATTATTTTATTGCTACTTTATAGTAATATTTTCGAGTTTAAAATTATATATATATATATATATATATATATATATATATATATATATATACAATAGAATTTGGAACAAAAACAACTCGGCTTCGACTGTGTTATGATTATTAACTATTATTGGTTTGCATAAAAAAATATATTCCTAATATTTCTATTAAATTGATAAAACATACATAAAACTAAAAATCACTTTTATTCAAATAATAAAATAGACTTGTATACAAGTTACTTCAAACTATCGTTCTTTATGATTCTACTACTGGGTTTAAAATGTTGTATGCTGTACAAGCGGTCGCTAAGTTCAAAAATTGCTAATCAAAAAAACAATGCCATCTTTATATTCTTTTGCCTCATGTCCTAAATTATCACGTAAGATAGTCTTAATAAGCGAGCATCATGATTCATCATCATTCTTCTTAGTATCATCATATCAGCCTTTAACTGTCCACTGCTGAACATAAGCCTCCCCTTTGGAGGATTTTGCCAGTAGTTGCCACATTTAACAGGCGGTTTGGAGGGGGAAAAGGATGAAAAAGGAAATGGAGTTTGACAGCCCCATTGCTAGCAATATACCTTATTAGGTCGACCTCCACGTAGTTCCCTTCTTTGTAGTTAGTTTTTTTATTGACTTGTCTGTTACTGAATTGACATCTTAAAAAAAAAAGTTTTGTTATTAAAAACAACACTTGATTCCTATTACTATTTATTTTTTAAATTAAAAATAAAAACATTCAGGTTTTAAAATTCAGCACAAAAGAATGATATAAAACAGTTCAATAGTTAAAATAGGTATATGAAAAGTTTAACATTTTTATGAATAAGGGGAGTTAGGATTTCTGTAAACTATTCGAGTCGTGACCTGAAGTTTTTGAGACATGGCATGACACAACGTTGTTTGTCAATTTCGAATGACATGTAAAAATGTAAATTCTTAGTTCAATGTTGTACAAAGTTAAATTGAAAATTGTATTGTTCATATGAGTAATATTATATAAAAAGCTGAAATGCGACATACCTACATAATAACATAGCCTAGTAGATAAACATTTTCGAGAATATTAGGTTATATGATATGATATTTCGAATAATATGCATTTATTCGGTTACTTTTTTATGTCTTTTTTTTTTATATTTTATATTACTAACAATCCCTTTCCTCCCAGGCCAAGACGGATTTTTTAAGACAGTGAAGTTACAGGGTTTGGGACCCTGTAATTCACTATCTTCACGACAATGAAGCTGGCTGCTTTTCTTTCAATCCAAAACATAACCATGTATGTATGTACACAAAGTTTGACAGGATCCAGCGTATACCAATAGCTCAGGCAGGGTTAACATTCCAATCGCACCTATTATAAAAAAACACAAATACGATAGGAAAACACGTGTGAGACAGAGGTGCCCGAGCAGACGACTTTTGTAGTCCGCTTCCAGTGCTTTACAAGTATTCTGACTTTCACGTAATTTCTAAATATAGCTCTATAATTACACATGCTAAGCAGTAATTATCGGCATGTTTACCCACATTTTCAATGCCAGGCCTGTTGTGTTATCGGTAATTGGCGGCATTGTCGCTAGCGCTATTTTCTATAGTAAATAGATAATATTTGAGATTAGAAAACACGAGAACAATTTTTTTTTATACAACTTAGAATGGCAAACAAGCTGACGGCCCACCTGATGGAAAGTGGTAACCGTCGCCTATAGACATGAGCAGTACCAATACCATGGACATAACAGAGCATACTGTTTCGCCCATGATACGTTGATGCGTTGCCATTCCTAAGGATTCAGGTGATTTCCTCTGTATCCTGTAAATTCACGCCATATCCCACCGTTTAAACCGAAACACAGCCATGCAAACATAACTGCTTCACGGTAGAAACACGAATTCCTAGGAAATTTAGGAATTCCATAGGTACCCAAGCAATCGACTTTTGTACACGAAAAAAAAATCAACTTCATTAGCTGTTCATTTTAAAAGTTTTAAAAGTAATAATTGATAGGAAAATTATTATAAATAAACTAGTTGACCCATCAAACGCTATTTTGGCCCGTAGCGCCATCTACTGGATCAATTTTTTTTCATCGAAATCATAACTAATATAAATAGAAGATCACGCTTCACGTTCTGCGTTAAGAAGCATTGTTCCCGTGAGCCGGGGGTAGTGCCCCCGGAGTTGAAGACGGGGTAAAGGGGTCCGCCCCGAGGCCCCCCCTTACCCCCTAATCAGGAGGATTAGAGGACCTATCGTCGTCATACCTATACTATCTCTCGAGTTGGAACAAACAATACACATATATATACAAAAATTTATTAAAATCAAATGACCGACTGTAGCATGAACGAACATCATAACACGGACTTTTTTTATATTAAAAAAAAAACTATTATTACTATTGGCACAATTTAAATAACACCTTACACTATTAGTTGATTGACGCAAAAAATAAATAAAAAGTTTGAAAATCGAACTCAATTTTTCTTTTTTGTTTGTCCTGATACCTACTGATTACGACCAGTTCTTATTTATCTCATTTTATTTTTGGATTAAATTCGTTATTTATTAAAGACGCCTTAAGAATCATCATCATCATCATATCAGCCCTTAACCGTCCACTGCTGAACATAAGTCTCCCCTTTGGGGGGTTTTGCGATTAGTTACCACGCTTGGCAGACGGATTGGTAACCGCTGTCAGGTTTTAGAGATGTTTTAAGAGAGACGCTGCTGCCCTTCCCTCGCCGTTCCTTAGTCGTCTTTTACGACACCTACGTTAATGAAAGGGGGTGGCCTATTCTGTGCCGGGATCACACGGCCATAAGACCTTAAGAATATCAGACAGAAATGTACATTTGTTTTAATAAAATAATCTACTTAATAAATTTATTATGCTGAGATTCGTTCCATGTAGAAAATGTTTTTATAAATACACTTCATTCTGAATTCACATACAAGTCCAAAGGTCATGGACAGGCAGCCTGTGTGTGTTAAGAGACAATTCACACCTTTGTAGCTCTCATTGGGTTATGTACACAATATATTAAGCAGCCTTGGTTTTATGAAATACTAGCTGTGTCCCATGTGTTAAAGTATCCTTTGGGCTAAATTTGAATATAACCGACCCATTACCAAATTTCATTAAATTCTGTTCAGTAATTTTTTCATGAAAGAAACATCTTTCCATCATTATAAACTTTCGCTTTGATCATATTAATAAGGTTAATTCTACATTGTCCTCATAATTGGGGTAATATATTGATTGATCAGAATAAAAAGCAGCCTATGTCTTCCTTGTGCCATATTATCCTGGCATAGAATGGACCACCCCTTCCTCTCTCATGGGTGTCGTAAAACTTGAATAAGGGAAGTTATTTGTTAAAGGATAGACAGTAATGTCCCTCTTAAAACACCACTAAAGCCTAACCTCAGTTGCTAACCTACCTGCCAAGCATGGCAAGTACTGGCAACACTTCCCTTATGAAAGAAGCTTATGTGTGAGCAGTTGAGTAAGAGTGAACAGTTAATGACTAATAAGTCCAATATGTCTTCCATATGAATCCTATAATTAGTATTTTATTAATACAAGATATCGTCAACTAGTATATATAGTTCATAAAATATTATGATATTTGATGAAAATGAAATGGCTGCTGTCGTAAATTATAAGTAATTTAGGAAAGAATTGTTTACGAATGTTCATATGTTTCGTAAAAGATCTCAAGTATTGTAATTTTTGACATTTTTTTTATAACATCTCTTGTCTCACACTTTTGTATTCCACATAAGTTGACTGAATAAATGATCGTGATTAAGCACTCAAGTTCTTTGTAATTTTGAATTGAAACACTATTGAGAACGCAAGAAAATATATAACAGTTGCTTAGTATTAAAGGATAACTAACATTATAAATGTGATAATTTATTTGTTTATTCTTAGTTGCATAAAAAAAATTATACCATAAATTATCATTCCAAAATCATTTGTAATATAAAATACATGCATAACTAGCTAAGGAGCAAACATTGTTTTACCCTCTACAACTACCTATTGGATTATATTTTCTTATTTAAAAAATATTAATGATAATAATAAATAATGTTTATTTGTTAGCTCCAGTCACACACATATAAAATCTTAAAAATAAATCAAATTTCCACAACAATATCATGGAAAAAAAATATAAAAATGTGTACCACACTGACACAAAATGGCCACAACTCACTGACAACAAAAAAAATATACAACACTGATATTGTATCTCGTTGAGTGGAGAAAACAATACATATTTACAATATTTTATTAAAAATGGTTGAGGAGTTTTATGGATTAGCATAAGTGATTATTGTGATAGGATTTTTTTATTAAGGTTATAATAATTAACAGTATAATAAATCTATTAAAATATATTATCTTTATAACACTGTTTTTATTATCATATATTTTAATATTAATTATATATAATTGTGTTAATTTTTTATGTGTAAATTGTAATTATTTAAAAACAAATTTATATATTGTCTAGATAGATCTATTTCCTAATACTCATAGAATAATAAATAAAATATATGTTATTCTACATATATATATAAACAAGAGTAATCTTCATTATCTTACTAATCTAGATATCTTTAGTAAACATGTAAGTAATGTGACTCAGTGTGAAGATGTTTTTTTGCCAATCATTTTGAGTCAAAGATCTTAAATGCATAAACTGCCTAGTCATCAAGTTATAATGTTACTTTACATTAAAAGTATATATATTTTTTTTGGAATTAACTTTTTCATAAAGCACAAGACAAAATATCAGAATTATGTGCCTAAAGATATACTAGACTAAAAACTGAACTCTGAAGTTTGATAAGAAAATGCTCATAAGGAAATAATAATTTTGTCTAAATATCTGGCTTCTTCAATACTTCATCTGAAGATGTTGTTTATTATAGCTTATACCATAATTTTTCAATAAAATTTAAGTAACCAAACCAATTAACAAAATAATACTTATCAGTGATCTAAGAATTTACAATTAAAAAATTGTTTCTAAAACATATTTTTTTAAAAAATTGATAACGTTTATCTGGTTTAAAAAACTCAAGAAAAGATATTTTGAAAATGTAAATTTGACAAATGAAATATTGAAGATTATGACAATAATTGATTAGAAAAATAAAATTCGTTTATCTTTTTGAAGACTAGGCAGCATGGTCTCCGACCTTAGCCTGTTCCAAACGGAACAAACGTACTAAAAAAAAAAAATGATAACGTTTATTTGAACGACTATGCCAACCTCATGGGTTAAAAAAATATATTTATGAACTTTGGACTTAAAATCTTAAGAGTAAAATCTTCCTTAAGTATAATAATTTTATAACTCACCTCCTGTAGAGACATGTTGTGTATTGTGGATTAAGGAACCTAGAACACAAAAATACAATTGTTTAAAATTAAAATTACAACTTGAGCTTACTATTTGACGTAGGAGTCTATCACAATATATCCAAGAAGTTTCAAGTTAACTTGAGAATGCTCGAAAAACCTGATGAGCTAAACTATGAAACTCAACAAATGCACTTTATGCAACAAGCTAAGACAACAAGACAGAAATATTTTAAAAGTTTCGTTTTTTTAATACGCCGGCACTTACTTTAAAAAAAGAATAGTGATCACTAGTGTACTTCGCGAGTACTTGTTGACGACTAATCTCACCCGAAACCTGACTGACGTAGTTATAACGACAGAAATGATTAATCAAGGTGTGAATAATCTTTCGATTTTCACGCACACTGAGATCACTACCAAATTAACAATTATTATACATATACGGTTGAAATAAATAAAAATAATACAAAATAACAATGCTTCTAATAATACTACCTAATTTTACTACAGTAAACAGGGTTGCCAGTAGTAATGATCTATTTATGCCGGTAAACTCCTGAACATATAGATACAAAATTGTCCAGTAACATGTAATCGCTACCTATCTGAAATTGGCTCACATAACTTGAATGAATATTTTGTTCAAGAAGGATATTTCAGTTTTTTGCTATGAATTTAAGTACATTACTTATATAAATCTCCTGTTCTGCGGTAATAAAATACATATCCTAAATATATATAAATACAGAATTTATATATAACAAATATATATAAATTCTGTACGAAAAGAATACTGAGAATGTCGAAAATTATTACCTTTGGCAACTCTGATGGTGTCGAACCAATTATGACATTTAACTTGACAGTTGACACCAAGGTACTTATTTCACATTCAATAATATGGCAGTGGAATCTTAAAAAAAGCTAATACCACCTATCCAGCAGCCATGTTGCTGGAGAGAATTGGTAAAAATGCATTCTTCTATCACAACTATTAAATTATGAACCAATGAAATAAATAAAGATTTTATTAGCATTATCTACATACAAAATTTGATACCACATGATACGGCGCGGCCGGCATTGGTTTAGACTCATTTTTAGACCCTCTAGCTAACGAATCAAATAAAATACGGTATATAAATTTCACATTTTTTGTTTCGCGTGCCGGTTATGTGCGTATGTCAGAGAGGTTGATGGCCCACGAGACCTTGGGAGTTACAAAGGCTAATCGTCCATTCTATGGCTGCGCGTAGATTGCAATGACCATCCCACATCTATGCGTATATTATTTTGTAACATGAAACCGACCCAACTTATTGAGCACGTCCAAATGGTTATATTTGCTTGAGCTTTCCTTCCGTCAAGTCGTGATTGTTGGCGAATTTAACCCATTATGTAAATGGCTTTATAATCTAAGTACAACCGACTATGCGGGAAGATCTGTTCAAACTTTGCTTTGGCTTATGGTCTGACACAGCTCTTACGCGATCCCTGATGTGTTGGACCATTCACCTTCACTGCTGGACCTTCTGCTGACCACCCAATAGACAACTATGTGATCTCCGTCGAAGCCCCGCTTGTTATCGTCGGATCACTGTTTGGTGCGGAGCGAAGTGCCTCTTACGAGTCCGACTCCACCTCGTTCTACGGGTAGACGTCGCATTTGGTACTACAGGTCGGCAGATTGGGATGAGATGCGGATTTTTTTCGCATCTTACCCATGGAGGCAGGTTTGCTTCACACTGGATGATCCCGACGCCATTGCCGATTCCATTGCTGATGTGGTGCTTCAGGGAATGGAATTATTTATTTCTAACTCTGTTGTCGGCGGGAAATAGCCCTGGTATGGACGTCGCCTCCTGTAGAACAGCATTCGTCTGAAACAGGAGTGCTTCCTAACCTGGGCTAAAGGTTACTAAAGATCCCTAACACCAGTGCTCTTAAAAAGAAGTATAACTCTGCCTAGGTCCTTCAAAAGAGTTATAGCCACAGCGAAGTCAGAGCATATTAGTAGAATTGGCAAGAGATTGGCTAGTTTGCCCTCTGGGACTAGAGCTATCTGGTCTCATGCCAAAGCTGCACAAGGGAATCTGTAAGTCATCTTTTCCACCTTTGACAGGAGAAATGACTCGTTGGCCCAGAACGCTAAAGAAAAGGCCGATCTTCTTGGATCCATCTTTGCGTCAAACTCGACATTGTAGGAGCTCTATGCCTGACATTAAATTCACGCATAGCTCAGTGCGTAGAGCACTTTTCTCCCTCGAAATCCATAAGTCGAGTGGGCCTGATGGTATTCCTCCAATTGTGCTGACGTGCGCACCATGAAGGTGGAAGGTATTTTATATATTTCGGCTTAAATATCGGGCATGTCCCAAAGTTTTGGAAGACTGCTCTGGTGCATCCGATCCCTAAAAAGGGAGATCGCTCAGATCAAGCTAACTATAGGCCCATAGATATCACTTCCTTATTCTCGAAGGTTATGGAATAAGATCATTAATCATGCTCCGGTATAGAAGAGCACCGGCTTTCTGGAAAAGTAAAACAGGACGTTCGGCCGGTGATCTTTTAGAAGGGTTAACACACCGATGGGCATGTGGCAACGAGAGTAGGTAGGCCTTAAAGTTAGTCTGGATATTGCGAAACCCATCTGCATCGGGTGTGGCATATATGTCAGTTTTCAATACACTTCATTTGGGTTGCTGAAAATTTGGGTCGCCAGTTTTCTCAAGGAACGTAGCATTAAGGTCGTAGTCGACGGTGCATGCTCTGATTTAAAACCTTTGAATGCTGGTGTCCCGCAAGGCTGTGTACTATCTCCGACTCTGTTTCTTCTGCATATCAATGATATGACAGATAAGTATATTCATTGCTATGCGGACGAAAAAATACATTATATACTTCATGCAAAAAAAACATACCGATAATAGACCATTGTCTGAAATCGAAACTTCAGTTTCAAGTTTCGATCTGTAACAAAATCTTGTCCAATTTAACCCCAAAAAGAAAAGTCTGCATTTACTAAAATAACCGTTTGTCGTATCTCCTCACTTTCAGGGCACTTCCCTAAGATAAAAAGTCAGTCTAAATTCTGGGCGTTGATATATCTTGCGACGTCCAGTTTTGCGGTCATCTGGAGGAGAAGGCTAAGATAGCTTCCAAAAAGTTAGGAGTGCTCAATAGGGTGAGACGATATTTCATGCCAGAACACCGCCTGAAATTATATAAAGCCCAAGTCAGGCCGCATATGGAATACTGTTCTCACCTGTGGGCAGGAGCGCCACAGTACCAACTTTTTTTTTAGATTCAAAGTCGGGCGGCTCGAATTATCGATAGTCAACGCCTTACTGTCCGACTTGACCCATTGAAACTGCGCAGAGATGTTGCATCTCTGTGCATCTTCTACCGAATTTATCATGGGGAGTGTTCTGTGGAATTGTTCGGATTGATACCTGCTGCTGATTTTCACCACCGTACAACCCGCCACAAACTAAAGTTTCATCCCAATCATCTGGACGAGTGGCGGTCTTCCAAAGCGTTTTTCAAGGCACTTTCTTCCACGCACAACCATTCTTTGGAATCAACTTCCAGCAGAGTATTTCCGAACCGATACGACAACATAACCTTCAAGAAAAATAGTATATTCCTTTTTAAAAGGCCGGCAGCACACCTGCAATGCCGCTGGTGTTGTGGGTGATCATGGGCGGCGGTAGTCACTTACCATCAGGTGAGCCGCATGCTCGTTTGCCCCCTGTGTTGTAAAAAAAAAAAAAAAAACATTAACTTATATAAATCTCCTCTTCTGCAGTAATAAAATACATATCCTAAATATATATAAATACAGAATTTATATATAACAAATATATGTAAATTCTGTACGAAAAGAATACTGAGAATGTCGTAATTACACAGTTATTGTATGGAATTATTACCTTTGGCAACTCTGATGGTGTCGAACCAATTATGACATTTAACTTGACAGTTGACACCAAGGTACTTATTTGACATTCATAATAATATGAAGCCATCTTAAAAATAGCTAATACCACCTATCCTCTTTTTACGGAGAGTATTGGTAAAAATGCATTCTTCTATCACAACTATTAAATTATGAAGTCTATTATGAAATAAATAAAGATTTTATTAGCATTATCTACATACAAAATTTGATACTACATGATACTTGTTTTAGACTTATTTTTAGACACTCTAGCTAATAATCTAATAAAATACGGTATATAAATTTCATCTATTTTTTATGCTACTTAGAACGGCAAACAATTTGATGGCCCACTATAAGACACTTACAAAGTGGTAACCGTCGCCTATAGACATTAACAGTACCATGCGCACATCGGAGTATATTATTTTGTCCATGATAACCTCCAGACATTGCCATTCCTGAGGACTAAGTTATATTTTTCAGCTTTCGGCCCGACAAACCCCGTATTATGCTTAATTAACTATTATGTAAATTTTATAATTTAAGGAGGATCTAATAAGAGAATAAAACCTCAACAGCTCTTACCATCTCCACTAATCTGTTATTTTATGAATAGGTGAAATCAGTTAAAGAAATATTGTTATCTGAATGAATGAATGAAAATGAAGAATGAATTCATTCATTCATTCTGTCTAGAATTTTTTTTAATATGTGAAAATGCATTGGTTGCCCCACCAGCGCTATCAGCATACACTAGCGGAGCACCAGCGAGAGATGATAACCAGGTGAAGACAAAAGCAGGTCAGTTGGCCCGTCATGACGAATTTAAAAAGTATTAACGATGGTTTTCTGGGGTAATCGCGTGGACGTCGACCTGATTAGTTATATTGCTAGCAATGGGGCATTAAGGCCCCATTACTAAAGATCCCTTACCCCCTCCTTAGTATTTATTTTCATATTTTATACATATGAAAATATGTACCAAACACTTAGAACAACACTGGAAGTCTGTCGTGAACTCCTGCACTACAAACATCAGGTCAACTCAGGTTAGACAGTTGACGTGAGAAATGAACGTCAGACAAACTATAGCAACAATATTTACTAACTTTCTGGTAATGGTAATACCAAATGAAGACTGAGTCATATCACAGAACATCTACAACAGGGTGAAGTTGGTTCAGTTGGCCCATAGTGATGATTTCACCATGAAGGTGGAAGGGATTTTGTATATGGAATAAATATGGTATGTTCACCCAGCTTGCTCTATCTGTATACACTGACAGGTCATCAGTGAAAAATGATAAATTAGGTTTAAATAAGATCAGTTAATATGTAATCATAATTTTTTTTTGGAAAATAAAACACGATATCTTCTAGAAGGGTTAGAGAAGACTGCATGAAGGTCAACGAGATAGGTATTTTTAAAGGATAAAAATGGAATGGTAAACCCATCTGCACTATCAGTATATGTCAGTTTAGTCAATACACCATAATTACTGACAATTCCCCAAAGAGATTTTCAATAATAGGTAAGCAGACCCCGTCGCTAGAAATATACTCTGTTTGGTTAATTCGTTACTTGGCCAACTAACCTGATTTCGTCCTTATCTATCATCCGCTGCTAGTGCCCCAACATGGAGTATCATTCTTTATTCATTATTGAAAAAATATTATTTATATACTTAAAAAAAAAAAAACATTACTAACTATCCATTTCCCCCAGTTTGGCAAATGCTTGGATTGTACATAATCTTAAGCCTAAAAAATGCATTATCACTATAATAATTTTATTATAAAGTCACTTGATAAGTATATAATCAAGCAGATAAACGTCTTTCTGACATGCATGACACAATATTTACTATTCTGATTAAGTACCGATGATGACATCAGCCGTTAACTGTCCACTATTGAACATAGGCCTTTCCTTGGAAAGGTTTTGACAGTAGTTGCCACATTTGACAGACGGGTTGGCAATAGCAGTTTTTTTCTTTTTTTAATAAATGATGGAATGGTAACCCCGCCTGCGCTAACGGTATACACTGGCGGGGCAGCAGTGAGGGATGATAGGTGAGGATAAAAGCAGGTTAGTTAGCCCACTGGTGCCCCGTCAGCGTATCCCATAGGGTACATTGATAGAAATGGGGTCTAACCTCCCCATTACTAACAATCCCTTCCTTGGGAAGGAATTGTTAGTGATGGAAACTGAGAATCCCATTGCTAGCTATATACCTAATCAGGTCGACTTTCACGCGGTTCCCCCTGGAAAATATCACCTGGTATTATATTAATTTTGACTATGCGTTGATGAATCTGTCAACACATTTCTCTTTATATAATTTCTTTTTTAACACGCTTAGTGGTTGAATCATAAAGAATACTGAAATAAAGTTTAATTATTTTTATGTAACATTTATAACAAATTTTTAGTACTTATCAGTAAAAAAAAAATTATTTTGTACAAACCTTCATCCTTACATTTACACCGTAAAAAGTCGATTTTCATGAAATCCTTTCTTATTACATGTATAGGTCATAAAAGGTACCAATTTTATTGTCAAAATTTGATAATTCTAGTGAAAATAATCATGGCAACACCAATGTTGAAAACCTTACCCTATTTTCTTTAGCAGTCGGCTAAAAGTTGCTTCATTTACTTATTACACATTACACATATTTACTTATTACACATTTATTTAGGTACCTATCTATTATCTATTCTTTCAGCCAACAATAAAAATAACGATGACTCAATACTTTTTCAACCAATAGCTGAAAACCACGCTTTTACTGTCTGAGTAAATCTATTAATTTTCATCATGCTATTAGCCTGTGAGTCATCACTGGCTGACTGTAATGACGGGATACACGTAAATACTACGTGGTCATGAATAATTGGTGTTAAACGATGAAACCTAGATTTCTTAGAAATAACAATGACAGTACAATTGGACAACGTTTAAATTGTGATCCGAGGGCCCAAATATCAAATCCCAGCCTAAACTTAAAAAATTTCAAATTCAATATATATTCCATGGTTAATTCTTGTTAAATTCATCACGATGGGCTAATTGACCTGTTTCATCCTCCCCTATCCTATATCCTCACTGGTGTTTACTATTCCAATTTCACCCATAAAAAAGAAGTAAAACCAATCCACTCAGTTGTGTAACGTCAGAGACTTTGGTATATAACGAAGGTGGCCTAGTAACGCTTGATCCCAGAGGACGTCACCCTAACACGAATAGTAATTGGTATCTAAACTGGAGGGTTAGAGCAATGGGGTCATTAATAATGGGGTTTAACTGCCCCATTGCGGGAAAGGGATTGTTAGTAATGGAGACTGAGAATCCTATTGCTAGCAATGAACCCAACCAGGTCGACCTCCACGCGATTCTCCCTGGAGACTACCATGGTTAATTCCTGATAAATTCATCATGATGGGCTAAATGGCCTGTTTTCATCCTCATCGATCACCCTTCACTGGTGCCCCGTCAGCGTATCCCATCAGCGCAGGCGGGATTACCACTCCATTTTAATCCAATAACAAAAATTGATACCGACTCTAGGCAAGTGTAACCGCGTAGTAACCGCGAGAAGGTCGACTTCGTTGGATATATTGCTAGCAATGGGATTCTAAGTCTCCGTTACTAACAATCCCTTCCCCCCCCCCCCCCCAGTCGGTATCTATTAACGCGTTAAATAATTAAATCCTCAATTCTTGACCCCAATTGCATTAAACACGATAAGATAACATTATGCATACTTATAATGAATTAAAATTATCAATCTTATTGATCACATAATAAAAATGCAAGTTCATCTATACATTTGATATTTTTTTTATACAACTTAGAATGGCAAACAAGCTGACGGCCCACCTGATGGAAAGTGGTAACCGTCGCATATAGACATGAGCAGTACCATGGACATAACAGAGTAAACTGTTTCGCCCATGATACCCCCATGCGTTGCCATTCCTAAGGACTCAGATGTTATTCATCTGTACCCTGTAAATACACGCCATATCCCACCCTTCAAACCAAAACACAGCCATGCAACCACAACTGCTTCACGGTTGAAACACGAATGGGACAGAGGCACCCAAGCAATCAACTTTTGTACAGTCTCCCTCTGGTAATGATATGATGATGATGGTACAAGGTACATAGAGGGATTCATAAAATAATGAACGTAGGTAAAGATAAATGCTGCAGAATGTTTTTTACTGTTTCACGTCAGTGTGACGTCACCATTGTGTGACATCGGGGTCATGAACTAACAATACCTTTCTTTCTACTTTTAAAGTCTGTTACTACATTGCATTGTTTGTAGATACAAAAGTACGTTGAATCAGGTGTTTTATAAGTAATAAATTATTGTACATAATATATACCATTATTATACTTTTATAAGCAAACAGTAGTTTTCTATAAGAAAATAGACGACAAACACTGAAAATGTTAGTCTTATTTTATTTAAGCCTTTTAATTTTTATATATATATATATATATATATATATATATAACACAGAAGGCAAACGGGCATGCGACTCACTTGATGGTAAGTGACCACCGCCGCTCATGATCACCCATAATACCAAAGGCATAGCAGGTATGCCGCCGACTTTTAAAAAATAAATATGCTCTTTTCTTTAAGGTTATGATGTCGTATCGTTTCAGAAATATTGCTGCTGCAAGTTGATTCCAAAGAGTAGTTGTGCGTGGAAGAAAGCGCCTTGAAAAACGCACGGTGGAAGACCGCCACTCGTCCAGATGATTGGGATGAAACTTTAGTTTGTGGCGGGTTGTACGGTGGTGAAAATCAGCAGCAGGTATCAATCCGAACAATTCCTTAGAGCTCTCCCCGTGATAAATTCGGTAGAAGATGCACAAGATAACATCTTTACACAGTTTAAGTGGGTCGAGTCGGTCAGTAAGACGATGATCATCAACCTGTTTCATACTTTATTATTTTAAATCGATAGTTCCAAGAAAATGTTGTTTTATAGACCATAATAAACTAAATTTATAATAATTTTGTATTATCTATTACAAATTTAATTCACATTGATCCTTATAATAAAGACTTTCCTATTATATCAAATTGAAATTTTAATTTTAATGCTAAGTTTAGAAAAATGACTACTTAGAATCGACCCAAATATGAGTTACGAGTACATTACCAAGACAAAAGAGATTCTTTGTAATGGATGTTATATTTTGTCATCAATGGTAATGTAGACCTCCACAGGGTCCCTCCCTCTCGGAAACCATCATCATTGAACTAACCATCTGATTTTTTTTATACCACAAAGGTGACAAACAGCAATCGGCCAGTCTGGCGGTAAATGGTCACTGTAGTCTATTGACGCCTGTAACACTAAGGGTATCATGTGCGCATTGCTAACCCTGAATAAATCTTAATATACCCTTTTTGAAGAACCCTAACTTGCAGTCTCTAGAGGAAACCTTAGCAGGGAGCTCATTCCACAGCCTGAGCGTTCGTAAGAGAAAATTCCTTTGGAACCGCACTGTACGTTACGATTTAGATTTAAGCGTCTGAGGACGAGTTTCCCCGTGGTGTGATGATAACGTGACCTGATTTCATCCTCATCACTTTACTGCATTGATGCCCCATCATTGTACACCTTTATTTATTTATTTTTTTTTTTTTTATAAAATACAGCCCGTATTAATCCATGACAATGAATTTTTATAGATGAAAGATTTTTTAAAATCCATTCAGTTGAAAAAAAAACAACTTAATTAAAAGTATAAAAACTAAAAAAAAATATTTTAATTAAATAAAAAGATTTTATTTTATATTTAATGAACCAAAAAATAAAAAACAAATTCATAAAAACTATACATACTTAATTATTAATACCTAATATTGATCAAAACGAGAGTGCACTATAGATAACACTAAAATTAAATTAAACAAAAGTAACTCAGCCGTATTTAGACTGTAGCTGCTTGGCCAAATCAATATATTGCTTCTTGGCATCCTCTTGTGAGATACCCTTGCGTCCTGTCCACGCCTTGAACTTCGCACCTTCCACGAGACCGCTGGGCGCGGCTGAAAGTGGAGTAAATATTATATAGGGTAAATTCAAAATTTTTAGTACGGAATACCAAGAATCCGGATGATGACTAAAATGATGAATGCCGAGAATCTATTTATGCTATAGAAGATATTAAGACAGAAATTTTATGAATCCAAAATTCTAAATAATTTTCAGTTTTCCATACTTTTTTTATACAACTTAGAATGGCAAACAAGCTGACGGCCCACCTGATGGAAAGTGGTAACCGTCGCCTATAAACATGAGCAGTACCATGGACATAACAGAGTATACTGTTTCGCCCATGATACTCCCCATGCGTTGCCATTCCTGAGGACTCAGGTGTTATTCCTCTGTACCCTGTAAATTCACGCCATATCCCACCCTTCAAACCGAAACACAACCATGCAAACATAGCTGCTTCACGATTGAAACACATGTAGATGTAATTAACTAACTTTTTTTAACTAACCACTGAGATACAGGCTCGGCCTAGTTCGGTAGCTAGTAGATGTAACTAGGTGTAAATGGTTATTCAATAAAGACTATGAAAAAAAGAATCATTCAAACTACGGATACATACGAATGTTGACGTCACCGACGGTCGCCTGCTTGTACAGCGAGTAGAGAGCGAGGTTCTCGCTGTCCGATGGCTTCGGCTTCCAGTTCCTCACCGACTCGGACACCTGCTGGAATTCCTGGAAAATTTATTAAGAAAATTTAAATAATGCACTATACTTTTAACTAGATCCAAATTTAAGGTAGGGCAAAAGAACTTTTTGGTAGCGCAAAAGCCATAATTAAGTGACTTCGAAACAGCGAATTTGTCTAATTTTCTTGGGCCTTTCATTTAAAGGTAGGGCATTCCCCCTTAATACTCTGTTCTCCAGCTACGGCCGTGCTGTTAACTTATAATGGCAATTAAGAACGTTCATAACTTTAACTAGCTTCCTCTAATAACTTTAACTAGATGAAGTATCATAACGTCGCAGTTATTTGTTAATTATCGAATACAATTTAATTATTTTCAAAATTTTTGATTTATTAAAAAATACTTTAATAGATGTAGTAGTAGTTTGAATGATTCTTTTTTTAATAATAATAGTCTTTATTGAATAACAAATTACACCTAGTTACATCTACTAGCCACCGAACTAGGCCGAGCCTGTATTTCAGTGGTTAGTTAAAAAAAGTCAGTTAATTACATTTACATGTGTTTCAACCGTGAAGCAGTTGTGTTTGCATGGCTGTGTTTCGGTTTAAAGGGTGGGATATGGCGTAAATTTACAGGGTACAGAGGAATAACATCCGAGTCCTCAGGAATGGCAACGCATTGGGGGTATCATGGGCGAAACAGTATAGTCTGTTATGTCCATGGTACTGCTCATGTCTATAGGCGACGGTTACCACTTTCCATCAGGTGGGCCATCAGGTTATTTGCCACTCTAAGTTGTATAAAAGAAATCCTTCACTGGTGCCCCGCCAACGTATATCGTTAGTACGGACGGGGATACATCATCTATTAAAAAAAATTGTTATTTACAAAGTTGTTATGGTATCCTTTTTATATATTTTTTCCAGGGGGAACCGCGTGGAGGTCCACCTGGTCTATTGATAGCAATGGGGACTAATCTCTCCATTACTAACAATCCCTTCCCCTCGATACTCACATGTTAAATATGACACTAATATAATATGTACCTTCAGTGACATAACATTTAATAATGTACAGATCCTAGGTAAATATATATACCTACATCCATTGTTTGTTCACGTTAACGCAATTTACATAATAACCTATCTCATTCAATATGCATAATGCTGTTATTTTTTTTTAGATAAAAATCTTTTTTACTCTGTACAACAATGATGACGCAAATATGACGGCAATGAATGCTACCGAGACAATTTTTTTCTTAAAGTTAGTTAGAAAATACAATTATATGACATGGCAAACGTTGTTTTGACCCCTACAATCACCTACGGGGGGGGGGGGGGAGGACTGTTAGTAATGCAAACTACCAGTCGCATTGCTAGCAATGTACTCAGTCAGGTCAACCTACCCGTGGTCCCCCCCCCCACCCCGGAAGCCATCGTGCTGAATTCCATTCACAGTACGATGGTTTCAGGTACTTACATTCATCACGATGGACTAATTGACCTACCTTTTCATTCTCATTCCCGGGGCTCCGCCCATAAGTATTATCGCATCACCTAAATTTCCTTAAACGTTTCTGGCCGTTTAGAAATAAAGAAGTCAAGGAAAGGAAAAAATTTGAATTTTATATCGATATCAATCCAAACAATTCCTCAGAATGTCTCCGTTCTATAATATTTTGAAATCTTTGCTTTCCGTTATGCTTTATTAAAAAGAGATTCCATAATTTTAAAGAAGTCTATAATTTTTTAACAATGCTAAATATCAAATCGTATAGAATACTTATTTAACCAAGCCTTTGATACGACGGGTCAACGACCCTATATGAGCGTTAAAGTTACAACTGAATTCATGATATTACCTGGTCAAGAGACATTGTAGTTTTATTGTAGGTTTAAAGATCTGGAACAAATAAGAAAATATAACATTAAACAATAAATAAAAATACCTATTCCATATTATAAAAATCGAACAAGCCCATAGACTAAAGTGCTCCCGTAAAGCATTACCGTTCTTTCTTCGACAGTCGGGTAGGTTATACTTCGTTTGATCGGTTATGTAAAGTATGATGCGAGTCCCTGCTGCCACTTCAGCCATTTTTAAGACAACTGATAATTGCCACAAATATATTCATAATATAATTGGTAGATAAATTACCTAATTTAGCTACCGACCTATTGCTTCAAATTACTTTTGAACCCTAACAAGATCCATTTCTAGCATACATAGCATTTTAAAATAAAATAGGTGGATTATCATTAGGAGAGGACCTGTTTTCATCCTTTTAAAAGTGCGTCTTTTTATTATTCATTTTTAGCATTCAAATCTTGCAATGTAACCACTTTTGGGGGACAGTTTAGCTACTAAATACATAGCGGGAGTGGCAACACTGCCGTTAATAAAAAAAAAATATCCGTACAATTCCATAGGTGCAATGACCACAATGGCGCGAAAACTGATGTACTTAACAACGACAACCACAATATTCGAATAAAAATAAGTTCGATTACTCGATTTTAATATCAAATTAAGTATGAGATAGGAAGTAGGTTAAATTAAATATGAGATTATATTTAAAGAAAGTCGTTTCAGAATCGCAATTCCTTAAATAGTTATTGTAATATTTATATATAACTCCTATTTGAATAATTATGTTACAATATACAAAAACTAATATATTATTCCGTTCGTAGATATTGCGACGCTACCCTAAAGTAAGTTATAATTTTAATTATAAACAAAAAAAAACTAGAAAGAGAACAGAGAGAGCTACGAGAGAACAGAGAGAGCTACGAGAGAACAGAGAGAGCTACGAGAGAACAGAGAGAGCTACGAGAGAACAGAGAGAGCTACGACAGAACAGAGAGAGCTACGAGAGAACAGAGAGAGCTACGAGAGAACAGAGAGAGCTACGAGAGAACAGAGAGAGCTACGAGAGAACAGAGAGAGCTACGAGAGAACAGAGAGAGCTACGAGAGAACAGAGAGAGCTACGAGAGAACAGAGAGAGCTACGAGAGAACAGAGAGAGCTACGAGAGAACAGAGAGAGCTACGAGAGAACAGAGAGAGCTACGAGAGAACAGAGAGAGCTACGAGAGAACAGAGAGAGCTACGAGAGAACAGAGAGAGACGGTATCCGTGATTCTGTCATTCTGCTTACTTACATGCAAATAATTCATCGCAAAGTATAATATCGTATAATCAGATTAAAAAATATATCTTCTCAGATGACGGGAGATCCAAAAACTGGGTTCCTAATTGAAATAAAAAAAAGTGTTTTAAAACGTGCGCACCCCTCATAACATGAAAATACATATTATTATTTCGTCTAACATTAAAATAAAAAAAAATAGACCGCTTACCACGATAGAACTAGGTTGTGTCCAAAAAAATACTGAAATATTTTTCTGACAGTATCACTTTTAAATTTTAGACTGGACACCATCAACTACACCAGATTATGTCAGGGTTGTCAACAGTAACATACTTTTAAAGTAGATATTTGTTTAAATTCTTCCAAAGGTAAGTATTCACTGAGGGAATTCATACGTATAAAAATATAATAATAGATACAAATAAGATTATTTATTTATTTAAACTATATTGACTAATAAAATTTGGTATAAATAGCGAACTTAATGTTTTAGGCAGTTTTACCAGTCAATCTTTAGAATGTCTAGAAATACTCTATCGGTTTAAATAATATAATAATAAATTAAAATTAAATGATGTATGTTGGTTAGCACACATTGAGGTACAATTGAGAATGCGTGGACCGACATTCCAGTTTTTATTTAATAGTCAGTTATTGGGAAAAATAATAATTTGAAATGTAAACTGAACAACGTGCGTCGAATCATTGATAATTCTTACTGATTCACTGTTGTCTAAAGAAATTCTTCTGTTGCCTGGAAGAGATCGCTTTTAGCGATAAGGTCGCCAATTGTTTTCTCAGTATGATTATTTCTTGTAATTAGTCCCTTGACTACAATATGAAATTATTCGAAAAGGAAATATTTAAATTTCTTTAAGGTCGGCAACGCGCACGTGGCACCCCTAGTGTTGCAGAGTTCCATAGGCTACAGTGACCGGTTACCATCAAACGGGCAGTATGCTTATTTGCCACCTTTGCGGTATAAAAAAAAAAAAACTTTTTTTTAGAAAAAAGCCATCAATCGCCAACCTTACGTTCAATTGAAATCTATGAAGCTATAAATAAACACTATCTGGTATAAACATTATAAACTAAAGTTCTTATCTGTGTTAATCTCAAACCCATGTTGATACGGTACTCGCGTTAAAAATACGATCGCCATGTGTGTAGATATACGGGAGGAGAAGTAGGGTCCTCCTTAGAAGCTTAACGAAACGAGTGCACATAACAATAATCTATTTTATGGGCACCATCCATTTGACATACTGCGAGAGTCGTTTTTAAAACTTATGTTAATTTTTTTTTGTATTTTCAATCTTTTTTATTCGATGTACATATGTAACGGGAGTTTGTTAATTTTCCATTACATATGTATATAGACATTGCGAGAGTTTATAAGGAGGGATGTATGAGTGTATGTATTTGTTACTATTTCACGTAAAAACTGCTGAATGGATTTGAATGGAATGAAATTTAATACACGAATCCTGCCTAATATTATAAATGCGAAAGTGAGTTTGTTTGTTATACTTTAACGCCTAAATCGCTGAATCGATTATGATGAATTTAGGTGTACAGATAAATGTGTTCCTGGAGATGGTTATAGGCCACTTTTTCTTGCTAAAAACTTACAACGGGTAATTGTTATACGAAACTATTTATTGCGTTGTCCGATTTGCTGTAAACGTTGCAGAATTATTATTTATAATTCATAATTAAAGTATAATTTTTTTTTTATTCTTTTTGTAAATATTTGTAAATAAAGAGAAAAAATGTTGGGACACTTGATACGACACGACGAACTTATGAACACTATATAATAATATAATATTATATAATAACTAAGTCGAGTCTTTAGGATATTAAAAAAAATATGTACTTTATCTTTTTTATTATTGTTATTGAACACTGTACAGTAAACTACAATATTTTGATCAAACAAACTTGAATCATGTAACCCTCGATTTGTGGCACTGCACGGAGCAGTGTAGACTGTATTACCTACATTTTTGCAAAATAAATTCATTTCATTATAATACAAGGTAAGATGGAAGGAAGGAGGGGAAGAGGGAGACCAAGGCAAATCAAGGAAGGAGTTGGTGTCGTGTCGTATCAAGAGGTGAAAAGACTCGCTGTAAATCGTAGTGAGTGGCAAAAGCTCCACCGACAAGAACGCAGATCTTAAATAGGATAGATAGATACATAGAGTAAATATTTCATCTGTACTTATGTCAACAACCAAAACTGGTGAATAAAATTAATATAGTGAACGAAAGTTACGGGATAAAATTAATATTTATATATAGATTTCTCTTACAAAAAAGATCATCCCATTTCGATATCGGTCGGATATCTATTTTCAAATATGTCACAAGATTGTTATCCAATGTTATTATTTGGATAACGGACTTTTAACTTTTTTTTCCGTTATTGGAAGAGTATATAGATATTGTAACTAAAATATATAAATATTAGGTACTACTCGTAAATATTACCCGCCCCTAGTTGTTTACTACGTGAACAATAGTTCCTACATCTTTATCATTATCTGTAAAGATAAGAATGATAAATTTAACAAATAAATTGGCGACTATTTTTTATCACTTTTAAAATGTTTTTTTTATTTTTTTATATGACTCAAAATAGTAAATAGCTGTACTAGTAGCTTACAAGTAGCTAACAATATTCTATGTATATTGTTTTAATCACGTGGCAACTTTTTATTTGATGGGTGAAAATGGTATGGTAACCCCGCCTGCGCTAACGGGATACGCTGGCGGAGCACCAGTGAAGGGTGATAGATGAGAATGAAAACAGGCCAGTTAGCCCATAATGATGAATTCATCAGGAATTAACCATGATAGTTTCCAGGGGGAACCGTTAAAAGGTCGACCTGGTCGGGTATATTGCTAGCAATGGGATTCTCAGTCTTAATTACTAACAATCCCTTTCCCCCTCACGTGGGTACTGATGTATTTTCTATATATTTTGCTATATTTTTACACGACGTTCACCACTTTTCATAAGATTTACCATTAAGTTGCTACTGAGTGTACAATGTACTTTGCTGTTTTTTTAAGATATTTTGTTAATATTAATAATGTCATCATCATCATCATCATCATCTCAGCCATTATCTGTCCACTGCTGAAGACAGGCCTCCCTCATAGACTGCCATAAGGAACGGTCCTGAGCCACCTGCATCCACTGACTCCCTGTAATAATTTCAGGTCGTCACTCCATCTAGTGGGGCTGGAGGGATCGTCCTACACTACATTTGTCCTTACAGGGTCTCTATACTGTAGAACGCAGAAGTTTGTGTTGTACTTGACTCATTTAAAAGTATTCATAACTTTCGCTTGTCGAAGTATAGCAACGTCGCAATTGATTGTCAATTAAAAAAAAATATGTAATTTTTTATATATATATATATATATATATATATATATCATGCATAATATTCTTGTTAATGAAAACGAAAAGTTTTATATTTTATGGCAAAAACGTTTTTGAAAAAAGTACAAAGATGCAAAGTTTTTTATAATATTGTCTAAACTATTATTTATTTTGTCTTTCTATTATTCACTGCGTTAATGTAATAGTTAGTTCGTAAAAATAAAATATCAACAAAAATTATTAATTGATTGATACAAAAAATGGTGAATCAACAAAAAAAAAAAACAAACATATAGTCGGTAATCTGTAATGTTTTCAATATACCTGCAATGGTTGATTCCACTTTGGTGCCTATCGAATACCTAAGTACCTAAATGTGTCAAGTGTGTGAATATTCCTTATCAAAATCAAAAAAATAAATTTTCCGTGAGCAAGCCGCCACACCTCATTTCCCTGACAAACGTATTTTAAAAACAGTTCCGAAGATATGCATTTCTAGATAAGCAGCTATTTACTGGACTTTTAATATGTGAAGTAACATTAAGTGTCTAATATAGTAGATACCTAATAATAAATAAATACTTAATAAACAACAAAAGCTGAATGCGTAAACTCAAACTCATCCGCGTGATAGATAGATAGATAATTCATTTACATGACGTACAGCACACAAATTATAATAAAAAAACACACACACACACACATATATATATATATATATATATATATATATATATATATATATATATATATATATATATATATATATATATATACATGATAATCGAGATTAAATTAATTTTAAAATTAATAAAAAATTTCATTCATCAACGTATAATGACATGACGTTAGTTGATCATGCACGGATCATGTAATTTTAGACATAGTACATTTAAATAAATACGCATAATTGTTAAAGAGAGTAATTGTTGAGTTTCTTGCAGGCTCATCTAAACAGATAACAACTTTCCGAACGCTGCAGTATATTAAAAAAATATATAACGGTTTAAAAGCGCTTGTAAACAGATCTATTTAAATAAAAATGATTTAAAATTTTAATTTTAATTCATAATAACAATTTCATAAATACATTAAGTAAGTATATTAAAAATATTTAAATTTAGAACGAAGAATCGCTCGTCTTATTATTTATTTATTTATTCATTAGTAAAAATATCGTCATAGTCGTAGAATACTGACAGATCTGTCAAATATTACATATATAGATCCGTCAGTATTCTACGACTATGACGATATGTGTACATGGTGGACTTAATGCTAAAAGCATTCTCTCCCAGTCAACCATAGGCAAGTGTCAGAATACTCGAATGCGGTACTAGTAATGTCTTATATTATGTCTTGTAAACATATTAGTTTTTGCTTCGCAACAAAAAGGAGACTTTGTACAAAAGTCTTTTGCTTTGTCACCTTCGCTCTATTCGTGTTTCTGTCACACATAGTCATGTACGCATAACTGCTTATATAACTACGTTTCGGTTTGAAAGGTGGGATGTAGTAGTGAAATTGCAAGGTACAGAGATATAACATCTTAGTTCTCAGGAATGGCAACGCATGGGGAGTATCATGGACGAAACAGTATACTGTGTTATGTCCATGGTACTGTTCATGTCTATAGGCGACGGATACCACTTTACCACTTTACAGCAGGCGGACCGTCAGCTTGTTTGTCATTCTAAGTTTTATAAAAAATTCCTTTCAGATAAAAAAAAATCCAAATCGTTTTATTACAAAAAAAATATTTTTTTTTTTTTTTTTTATAGAACTTGAATTTGTCATTCTAAGTTTTATAAAAAATTCCTTTCAGATAAAAAAAAATCCAAATCGTTTTATTACAAAAAAAAATATAACCGAATTGAGCACCTTCTTCTTTTTACCTAAATGACACGGCCAAAACCATGAGTT